CTAAGCAAAAGACACGTTTAATCGGGGAAGGGCCTAATATTATTGTGTATACTGAACTTGAATTGCACTCAGAGAAGAGTAAAAATAGTAATAAAATATGTGTTAGATAGTTTTTAGGTAAAATATATATATATAAGTTACATAAAATATGTAGAATACATTTTAATCTAAAGAATCTGTCCGTTGCAAAGACAGAACGCGTATCAGATAACTAAAAAGCATGGGAAGAACACGCCCGTAGGCATTCCCGATGACATCATACAAATGACATCATACTCGCGCACTCGCTTATCTCGGGGAAGAGCATAATATTAAAACGTACACAACATTTGTACTGCACTCAGAGCAAAGCAGTAATAAAACATAAGTTAGATAGTTTTTTAGGTAAAATATATATAAATTACATAAAATATGTAAAATAGATTTTATTACGTTTGCGCTGCTCCTCTTCTACCAGTGCTCGATTTATGGCTGTCAGTAAAACAAAAGATGTAGATCACAAATCTTTGCTCCCCATTGCTTTCATTGAATATGCGCAAACTCGTATATGCGTACGTAATGGTGAGCCGAGCAAGTCACTGCTTCCACCGTTACTCCGCTTACTAAGTTAACTTAAAAATTCATATTTCATAACCCCGCAATCCTGTCACTTCGGTCTTTCTGCCATCTAACAGAGCGGTCTTCGATCTATATAGCGGTTTCTTTTTTGCAAAACGGCATTTTAGAATTAAAGCCATCATAGCCATCCCCTTAATATTATGACAGTCTGTAAGCGACCGCAAAGCAACACATCCTTGGAATTACTCTGTACTTAGTTTCTAATAGTCATCGGCCAATATTCATCCGTGCTGGGCTTGTAATTTTATATTTGTTGGAGCAATGGTCCTTGAAAGGACTACGCTGTATGTTTATTCAACAACAACAACAACAACAACAACGGCTCTTCCAGTAAGTAATAAACGTTTAAAAAGCAGATAATATTCAACAGGGGCTATTCGAGACCCCCATCGACCATGTACTATTTTTTTAAGCCAAATCTGACCACGTATTAATGATCAGCAAATTTTTCTGATCTAGAAAATATTTTTTAAAATTTTTTTCGGAACAAAAAAATTCTGACTGCCAGTCCCCTAAGCCCCCCACAGTATCCTGGGCGGTAGCAATGGGACAAGGGGCAAAAATTTTATTTTCGTTTTGTTTTCACTGTTTCTAGGTAAATCAATAACGCTGAACTCGAATTTGATGTTAAAAACTGATATAAACAGTGTGGAAGAACCTTTGGCTGAGAAGAATGTCGATAAGCGATGTCACCTGAGTTGTGCAAATACTTGTTTGTTTTTACGTAAATCTTTTCGTGCTCAGCTCAAAATAAATTTTTAACATCAAATTCGAATTCAGCGTTATTGAATTACCTATAAACAGTGAAAACAAAACGAAAATAAAATTTTTGCACCCTGGTCCCATTGCTACCGCCAAGGATACTGTGGGGGGCTTAGGGGACTGGCAGTCAGAATTTTTTGGTTCCGAAAAAAATTTCAAAAAATACTTTCTAGTTCAAAAAAATTCGCTGATCATTAATACGTGGTCAGAATTGGCTTAAAAAAATAGTACATGGTCGATGGGGGTCTCGAATAGCCCCTGATATTCAACGCTCTGTTATCGCAAAGGAAAAACCAGAATGGAGATTTTCTTTCATTTTATTGTCACCTTTGCTGTGTGTCATACTATGGCTTGCCCCGCTAAGAGATGGTTGAGCCGGGAAGAAAGTAAGTACTAGTAGCAGGCAACAGGTAATTTACTTTGATTTGGCTTGTGGAACAAATTCTATTAAAAAACTTTGTAATACGCATTTAACTTAAGAACCCGTATTTACATATTACTGTACTGTGTCCAAACGTAATAGTACTCTGTATGTCAATAAACACTGGGCTAAATCATTTCGGTTAGTACGTACGTGCGTTGGTACGTACAGCTGATGTCTCTTGATTATACAATTTTTCACAACACAGACGAACACAGTTGGGTTTCTCGTTTCGTTAAAATTTTGTGTAAGTATTTGGAGGATCGCCGCCGTCTGAACCGTTCAATAGGGCCAGCTACGACGTCACAAACTGTAGTGGCACCATATAAATTAGCGTAGATATTCTGCAGTGAATTTCCATTTGTGATCGTTTAACGGTTGTTGACCTGTATCAGCTCAAGAAACAAATTCGCGCTTTTTAAAAGGAATACTTGAATAATTGAATTCATACTGACATTATTTTTTTCCAGAAACTGCAGGCGGATGCGCAGTGCGCACTGTAACATACCTCAAAAAAATACTTTGTGAAGCACTTTAAAATTTTTATCATTATAGTCCTAGAGCGACTAGATGCTGCCCGTTTCAGAAACCCGAGCGGGTCAGTACACCTAGGAAACCTCACCAATCCGTCTTGGCACCCGTATGCCCTTCGCAATGTCATCTTAATCAAGGCAGCGGAACGAGCGCCGGTAACGTTCCACTGCCACGACACCCGTTCTACGCGTCCTGACGGCAACAGCCACGCGGCGATCGGCTGGAATGACATGGAATTCACCAGGCCGGACAGTGGACCGGAGAAGAGCCGCAGCGCCACCGCTTGTGGATGTACCAACGCCACCGGATCGCTGGTTGGATTCAAAGTACATCCGCACAACAGCACCTTCCTCACTGTCACATTAAAGGACTTCAGCCACTCCAGTACCGGGCGCTACGAATGCCGATGGTACAGTGGGGCCGAGGTCTTTGTCAGTCAGCGGTATGTCGTCAGCGCTGTGTTCACCGCGCAGCAGCTCTTCACTCCGCCCATGAAGAACGTCACCGCTAAGATCGGGGAGCGCGTGGAGATGCGCTGCTGTGTGCGATTCGACAGTATGTTCGGCGGTCTGGAGCCGCGGTTTATGTGGACCAACGATCACGACATCCTGCTAGCCAATTACGCAGATCATCTGCGCCATGTAGTGCGGCGTCGGAAAGGTATGATTTGGTGGCAGAAAGCGATCGAGGGGAAGTGCTACATGGCGCTGATTATTGAGTCGGTGAAGCGGGAGGACGCTGGCCGGTATAGCTGCTGGTTCCGGGCGGATGATGTGCTGGAAGAATGGCTGGTGCAGAACGCGTTTTTGACAGTAACGGATTAGGCCGGTTTGCCTAAACGACCAAGTAAGATTTGCATACTGAACCTACGAATAATTTATAACAGAATCATTGAATTTCCCCAGATGTACAGATACACAGTTATACCGCTATTCGGTTTCGGTATAATCGAACGTTCTTTCAGCCGCTAAAGGTCACTGTAAAAAGGTACACGTAAAAAGATTTTAAGTTTAATCACAAAAGCACGATCATCTCCCTTGGCCGGTTGGCTGGCAAAAGGCAATTACGCGGTGCTAAAGGTAGATATTGCTCACATGGCAGCACCAAACGACCTCGCACCTAACTTTCCGAATGCAGCCCTTCCTCCAGACTTAGGTAGCAGCCATCTTACGGGAACCCTCGCATCGTGGAATCCCAAAATGAAATGCTTTTAACGGTATCCGTTTTTATGGCGTAATTCGGTTGTTGTTCAACGACATCTTTATTTTCTAAGAGCAGCGACACGTTGTCCTATTGATTTTAAGGCATGAGTAAAAATTTTGAAGGCTCCGCATACCACCTTTATACCACCTTTGGCTCCTAATACCACCTTTCGTACCACCTTTGGCTCCTAGTACCACCTTTTGGCCACTTTTGACTCCGCATACCACCATTTGTTTAATACTTAACTTCCGCAAGTGTCTATCCATTTTTAATTTTTTATATCTGGAATAACTGAATGATTACCTAGATTGCGCAGCTACATCCATATCTGCACGCTGGGCTTCGTACAATCCCGCATCTAAAGCGATATGAAATAAAATCCCGGATTGGTAATTCTCAGGGCTTCTCCTCCGGTGCGTCTTTTTAGTGGAAGCAGCTTTTTTTCTCAAATTATTCTAAAATCCATTTTCGAATACCTTGCCGGTATACGATGTCTCTGCCGGGCTTCTTTTGTAGAAAAGGACATATGCGAATGCCGCAGCAAATGGCCCACAGTCAACACCATTTTTATATCATTTTTATTAAAAGTTGAAAAAAAGGTTATGGTGGTATGCGGAGTCAAACGTGGTGTGCAAAAGGTGGTATTAGGAGCCAAAGGCGGTACGAAAGGTGGTATTAGGAGCCTAAGGTGGTAAACGGTGGTATGAGGACCTTCACCAAAATTTTATAGAGCTTTTAGTTGGCTTTAGTTTCAAACCGAACCGGTTAAACTTTGCTCCTTCATTCAAAGTGGAGATACGAGAAGGTTATTTGCACGCTTTAATGTTGGCAGCCGAATGAATGCGCTGAGTTGCTGCATGGATTCGCATTTGACCTATGGCACGGCTAGTAGGAATACAAGTTAAATTTTCCCGGGCATAAGTTTTGGCTTGTATCCACAGAATCCCGCAGTTTTTTCTGTTTATCCTTTATGCATCCTCCAAAATTTCAATTTTTTTAGGCACTGCCGTACCACACTATATCTCTGCAGTATCCTTCAGGCTTCAGAAATCCATAAAATGACGGTAAATAGGGGGTGCACGATACCATAAACTTACCACTTTCCTTAGATGTTATAATAAGTTCATTACAGTATACAATTACATTGAAGGACTCAAAAATCGTTCATAAAGTGACCGGCATTTTTAACATGATACGTATTACTATGCTCGGTAACAACTAACAAAAGGTTGTTACCGAGCAGTTCCGGGCTGGTCCTATGTGGCTCGTGTAACAGCAATCTTTACCCACCCTGCGGGATCGCCATTTCTTTTCCGTTCGCCCTTTCAGCAATTAGAATTACTGTATTTTACTTATGGTAAGGCATACTATATATTATATTTTAATTGTACTCCACATGAATTTGTGCACACTCCACATTCCACAATACATACTCCACAATAGTACAATACTTACTAAACGATGGAATCAATATGTTGCCATACGATATGGTGGCCCTGGCTATATTCGCAATGCGTACATAGTACTTTGCCTCAGCCATAAAATTAATGTACAGTAGGTACGGGTTTTTACTATCGATCTTGACGGCAGCGTAATGCTGGAAGTATCAGGTTTGCACATGTCAGTGAATGGATGCGCATGGTGCCAATGTTGTTGTATGTTGTTATCGATCGAATACTCACTCCAGACGGTAGACGCAAAATGCCTACTATTTGACTTTGCTACGCCATTTGGTTTTAAAGAGGAAAGCGGGTCCCTTTTTCTATTTTTGCAACGCGAAGAGATCCGAATTTAGAAACTATAATACATTTTCTGCATTAACCATTGTGGTACAGTATATGCCAAGTCTCTGTCTGCTCCCTAATGCTTCGTAAAGAAATCTGGAATGGACATAAGCAGTATTGATCTAATTCGGGTGCATCGATACTATCAGGATTTCTTCGTGGATGTAGTAGGTGATGAAAACTGTTTTTATCGCGGTTATGTTTTGGATGTTCAAAGTAATGGACTTATAGTGAGTGCCAGCAAAAACAGCGATGCGCAGTTGATTGAATGGAGAAATTTGCGTGAGGGTGAGCGTTCGTCTAACAGGAATCGTTCGATCAGCTCAAGAATCACGCACATCGAGGTATTAGCGAATTTGAACGCCAATGCGAAAGCAACAGAAAGATGGCATCTCAGCGAAATTGTTACTCAAAAGCGGATAAAAATATTCTTCAAGAAGATTATAATATTTCGCGTGCGTATAAACACGGTCAGAGGAGACGTTATAAGGACTATTATCAGTGATGGAAAATACGACGCACGGATCCGCCGCCCCATAAGGCACCGCAGCGTCCTCAGACCGCGATCATTTTTCAAGACATTCATTTCAGTGGCAACAACCATTTCCTTTATCGGTAAACATCCCTTCAAACGTCCCGACACTTCGTTGTGGGAGTTTTTGTCAATTATAAATAAATGCCAAGAATGTCGATGGTTTGCCAGTTGGTGGCTAGATAAAACGGAAACAAAAATCATCAGTGCGCACGAGAACGGCGTGTATGTTTTAAGCGGGAAAAAATTAACCAAAAGGCAAATTCAAGGCTGCCAAGAGCGTTTAAGTCAGTTGCCCATCTTCTTGGAAACCTTTGTGAAACCGATTGGTTCTGTAAACCAGTCAAAACGTTGGTCGACGTCGGTCGCAGATGTGGTAGCCGCTCCAGGTAATCAATGTCCGAATGATATTGTCCATGTTGCGAGTTAAGACCAATGCTTCATAGCGTTAATGAAGCACTTCCGTCTTATCATAACGAGCTTGCAAGGATTAAATTTTGTCTTTTTAGCCATTCCTAATTTCGACTACAATGTGGAGATATTGTGCGCCCCCAAGTTCTCGATCTTCAGTTATGTAGACGTTTGCCATCTAAACCTGTTAAGAAGGTAACTCACTAAGCCCGGGTAGCTTTTGGATAGTATTTAATGTACTTCACAAACTGCAACTCGCACAAATCTGACTTCTGCCAGAGTGGTTGATACCAATTAATTAGAAGGCATGGCCGTGCGCCATGATATCGGTCGGTCGTGGACAGGGGCATTAAGCTGGACTGACGCCGGACGGTTATGAATTGGACGCTGAAAGCAGGTTTCGACTAGAATTTAAAAGCAACCGTACAGATATTATTTCTTTGTCGGTGCCCATACTGGCCGTACACGAATAAAATATGGCCATACCCGTCCGGTGTTCGTTCGACTTGATGACTTCTGCCACGGCCGTGCTGTGTAAGGTCACTGTCCGTCCATGTCCGCTAATTACAGTCATCTACGTAGATACTAGGCATCGGCGTGACAGAAGAAAGCGTCCAGGTAGGCTGTTATTACGGAATACGGATAATAATCAACTTTGAACAGGAGTAAGTGCTTAGGCAGTAGTTTCATTGGCAATGGTCTTGATGACTTCTGCCACGGGCGTGCTGTGTAAGGTCACTGTCGTCCATGTCCGCAATTACAGTCATCCCGTTACTAGGCATCACATCCAGAAGAAACCCAATGTCATATTACGGAATACAAAAATCAACTTTGAACAGGAGTAAGTGCTTAGGCAGTAGTTTCATTGGCAATGGTCCAGTGGGCGTGGCAAAAAGAATCTAGTTCCACGTTTAAAATGTATACAGATCGCTACGGCACGGACCCGCACCAAAAGCCCACTACATACACATATTGACACCAATGTCATACAACAACAAAACACAAATTGGGTACCATGTACCGGGTCACTCCCCTTAATATTTGACCGAAGCGTAGTAAAGTCCTCTGTGCGAGTGTGTAATCAAAATATATTATCCGTCGTCACCATCACAGAATGCTGGGTATGGGGCTATGCGACCATTTAGTCCTACATTGTACATGCGCGTTGGCCGCATATACGAGTACTTACGCCACTTGTAAGTAACTCGTGATGTCTGTCCGTGCACACCAAATGCACATGTACACTGCAAATGCTCTGGTAAGTCCCGGTTTAAATGCGCCTGCACTTAAACCGGTACAATCCTTCGCCGGCCCAGAAACACATTCTGCGTAAATTGCCGCCTGTGTTGTTTCCCTTTCCGAATCATTAGAATGCGTATCGATGTGCTGACCCGTACAGTAAAAGTGGTCGACTTCGAAAAAGAAACCGAAATACTCGTACTTTTGGGAGTGACTGTTCTATTGCGCGCTCCGGTTGACATCAGCTAAGCGAACGTAAAACCACACAGAATATGTCAATATTTCTCGTATAGGTATTATATATGTATAGCCGGTAATTAGTCCTGGTTAGCCATTCTACAGCCCTGCCAAGTCAAGTTGGGGCAGTTTTTCCCAAAATTTACCCTAGGTCACCTGTTAGCAAATACATATTGAACAATTTTTAAAATTATCACTGTACATGTCCAACACTTTTTGCACTCGAGATTTCCGAACCGGAAGCGTGTTTCGAATTATAGTGAGATACAAATTGTAACTGGGTAGCTAAAAAAATCGGCTCAACCCAGTTGCTTCAAAACCCATCCTCACACTTAAAATTCGCTCTTCGCTTTGTTGGGTTCCAGAATCCCAAGATGATACGTTTGAATAATTTGGCAGTAAAAACTCTTCTAGATTATGCTATGAGGGGCCGATTCCTACCAAGCCTGTGTGACCTTTGCAGTATGACTGCGGGCACTGTGGAATTGGGCGATGACCTTCTTTGCATGCTTGCCGTATGGTTACGGGAAATCATATATAGCTGATTTCGATAGAATCTGGTTGGCTGAGTATTCAGTGTTAATTTAATTGTTTTCGTACACAGACTTTGCATGGTTCATTTTGTTTCAAGAGCTTTGAAGAGCAGCCACAACTTTTATTCATCGTCGCTTTATTGATTTTTTGTTCATATCTTGTCGCACTTGCAACTTCCGACCAATGTCATAGACATCGATCGGAATGTTAAAATGATCTGATGTGACCTACGCCCTATCCATGAAAAATAGAGACTCAAAGCTGCCTTGATCTGTGCGCTAGGCAACCTCATGCTTCGGGAGGTACTCTTTAACATAGAAGTCTGTGGGAGATGAACCTCTTTCCGAGGCCAACTCAAGCATCAATCGCGCACGATTATTTTGCTTGCTTGCAACATATACCTCATGGGTCACTTAACGGTTTCCAGAAAAGGCCCACGAAAATATATTGGTTGGGGAATGTTTCATGAGGTCAGTTATAAGCACCCCAAAATTGACTAGTTCCCCCTTCCCCTAATTCCCCCCTGGCTGCTTACGTGAATATTAAAACTTTTTGATTTTAGTTTTTGTGGATCCGCAATAAAAAGTTACACTAGAAAAGTTTAAGAAGAAACAGAAGATGGCTTACAAGAATAATTTTCAAATTATTTTATGCAACTGCGGAACTGCCCCAACTTGGCTTGGCAGGGCTGTAGTTTCTATGCCCTACTGCATTACATTACAGATACTGTTCTTTGTCTTTTAGTGTAATAGCAGTATCAATCAGCGAAACTGGCAGTCAATTCATCGTACGACAGATCCATTTTTTGTAGAGTTTGCACCACCTGGAACGCAGTAATCTCATCTACCGAATCCAAAAAATTCGTTATATTGACGAAGAAGCCGTACATAAGTCCACTGGTGTTGGCTAGATGCCTTCATGACACAATAACCTCGTCAACTGTCATCTTGTGCCTAAACGGAACTCATCCATTCGGAGTGGTATATGACTTACTTCGTTTCATGGAACTTAAACTAGATTGGCTTATTATATGCGACTGTAAAGAGCTCAGGTTGGATTATTTTGTACGTCACAGCAGTGTTCCGGTACCTGAATATTCGGAAATAACAAAACGCTTCGCCATTAAAAACAGCACATTCACGGACTTTGATGTCAAACCAAAATCGCCCGCAGGGCTTGAGAGGATCATGCGGTCTTTCAGTACAACTCATTGGTGTAATGCTATCGTTCCGGATATTGAAATCAGTTTTTCTTTGTGGTCATATCAATTCGCAAATAACGACAACCATCTTGCCTTAGCAAGGTCCTTGCTGACTAACCTGGAAATAAATTGTCCACCCTTTGATCACCGCCACCTTAGCCAGCTGCGAAGTCGAATATCGGCCATAGCCAAAAACGGGACTGAACGGAAATGGAAACGTTGGATATGGCCAGCGTTATGCTCGTGCTTTACCAGGTAAAACTTACTGCAGCCGTTAGATGAAACTGCACTACGAGTACAGAGTCTGCAGCACGATTTATGAGAAATGGGTACTTGTATTCGGCTCGATCCCACTAGAATCAGTGCACGTTTAACTAATATACCGTACCGTAATTACCGAATTTGTAACCTTGGGGTGCAAATAGTTTGAAGATCATGGCGGATGGGCTTATTTCGGGGATGGGGTGTATATTCTTGTGCCGGTGCTGTTAACGCTTTCACAACTTCTAATCTTTCTCAAGAGCAACCTTTTGCGAAGTTTTACGGAATGGTTTATTAAAAAGTTTCACTATCATGCACCGAATAAGGGAAAAAATGGTTCAAAGCAAAGCTTATCAGTTATAGGCTTCAGGACTCCCGGATAACGCTTTTAATGTCTTAGGTATTTTGTTGATCCACCAAATGATGTGGAAAGTTTGAAGGTGTTTATAATGACCCAACACAAGGGCTGCACCCAACAGAATTTGATTCTACATACCTTGCATGGCTGGATGTCAGAGATCAACAGAAGACACGCAAGTATCGACGCGTACCAAGCGCGCTCTGCCTTACCAGAAAAGTTGAATTTCCAGGTAAAAAGAAGAATGTTTTCCAGAAATTTCTAGTTCTGCTCTAATCTGATTTTGTACTTTTAGAAGGGTTCCGGCCAGTGCGGTAGTGGCCGTATACCGTTACGTTTAGATTACAGGCGACGCGACAAGTGTCTGAGCTTATACGTGTTCGAGGAAAATGAGAGACCAACTGACCAATCAAGATTTGGACAGCTTTTCTACAAAGTCTGCCTCACACCTGGAACACACCTACCGTGAGTTATGGCTACATTATTTACATAATACGAGCTACAGCCAGTCGGTGGAGCGAACGAATAAGAACAAGCTACTACTCTGTAGTTACTCTTTTAAGCTACTCTTTAAGCAAGTACAACTCTTTAAGCACGTAGACAATACTGACCAATCTCGTTATATTGACGAAGAAGCCGTACATAAGTCCACTGGTGTTGGCTAGATGCCTTCATGACACAATAACCTCGTCAACTGTCATCTTGTGCCTAAACTGAACTCATCCATTCGGAGTGGTATATGACTTACTTCGTTTCATGGAACTTAAACTAGATTGGCTTATTATATGCGACTGTAAAGAGCTCAGGTTGGATTATTTTGTACGTCACAGCAGTGTTCCGGTACCTGAATATTCGGAAATAACAAAACTTTACGCATGCGAGTGCAAGGACGATAACGAGTGCACTTATCCTTTTTTGGATAAAATTGAGTTATCCTGAAAATATAATTCTACGACTGCTTACCAGAAATTTGTGAAAATGGTAAAGCAAGAATGTATTCTATAAAAAAGGGTAAATTACAGAGCGTTGCAGCTCTGCAATCAATGCAGCAGCAGCTTTAATTACCTAATGTATGTTTTCACACCGCTGACGTCAAAGGACAACTCGGCTTTCGTCAAAATATGGTGGATCGTTATCGCTGTCTTTGTACTGTACATATCTGTACTTCCACAGATTCGTATGGGCAGTATGGGCAACCGTCTTTGTGCGCGGTTCACATTAGTACTTGCAATTTCGCAGCCGTTTTAAATAGCGGGGCGCCCAGATATGCGCCTGTTTTCTGTTTCACAAATATGATTGAAAGCAGTATCCTTATTAACTTTAGCTATGGAACTTCTGGTCAGAAAATGAATTGAGGTTCACTTAGTTTGTGAGGAAAATGAGAATCCTGACTGTCGGTCGATCACGCCTTAAGCATGACTAACCACCATGTTGTAAGAAAATTAAAAGCTTATAAAATACGCCTATAAGACGTTAACCGGGTATTTCTATTTAATAAATGACAGGTGTCTATAAAATGCAGGGTGCGTAAGGGATGACTATATTAACGAGATTGGAAACTGAAGAGGATGGCCTATAGGCTATAGTGGTTTCCTGTATTATTAGCGTACCATTATTTACCTTAGAAGCGCGACAGGGTTTCATATACACATAATACACTGTATTTCGAGCTTGCATGCAACGGTAGAAATGGAATGAATTCAAGATGCGAACATGGATTCAAAGCTGATATTCCTGGCACGATCATAATAAACCTAACCACCCTGCAACGTTTAAAAAAATTTCAAATAAAAGAACTAATTGCGAAATCCCGCCCTGAGTAGTTTGAGCATGTCTGTCTGCTATCTACACTGTCATTTACGTTCCTACAGCGGTTTTTGACAAGGATACGTTCTGTACGGGAAGGCGGCCCTGATATTACCAGAAATGAATGGTATTGTAAATGCAGCTGGGTAAAAACTGGGTCTGCGTAAAGTGATCGAAGAGAACAGAAAGTGCGAAAAAACTTACTTAGAAAGGTTAAAAAACGAGTTTTAAAATCACGGAATTTGAACCTAGTCACAAGTATAAAATAATCACAATTTACAAGCAAAATTTCCCAGGAGAAAGCTGATGTTTTATTTGGGATGTACCTAAATCAGACACCTGTCTGTCCTGTCATGCTTTAGGTTAACTTTAGATGATTTTGTTCATAGTTTGAGGAGTAACTTCTTGGGCAAACGTTTCGGGCTTCGCTTCGGTCTTGTAGTGCTAGCCAAAAGCGGTGCACTTCCCTAGTTAAAAACCCAAGCGGGTCCTGACTTTAGGCAACGCCAAGCTATACTTCAGTATTATCCTTTCCGCAAACGACTAAATTTAGTCTGAATACAAATCAATCGCACAGTAAAACGCAGGTTTGACAGACAAAGCATGGCTGTTCGTGGATTCGGCTATATTCCCACGACAGGAAGACAGTAAAATTAATGGTACTGTACCTTTATAATTATGTGGGTTAGCCATGTCTGCGTGACTTATAAAGAAGACGGGAACCGTGAACCAAGATGCCTCCTTCTGCAGTGATATTTATACATAGTAACAGCCTGTAGATACTTCTTGCAGTGACAGCCTCATACAGCTTCGAATACTAGCAAACTGCATACAGTCGTCGTGTGGGTAGAAGTTGGTCCTTTCACAAGCCGAAAGAAAGCCGAAAGCAGGCGGATAACTGCCAACAAACCCTGGGCTGGCTGACATCATTTCACTGGAAAAATATTGAACCTGTCGATATCTGGCGCACATATGTCGAGATAGCCGTATGCGACCAAGAACAACAGTCACCGGAAAGGATCGTAGGCACGATTATACTCGATTTAAGCGGTAACAGTTTTTTGCTCCAAAAGTGGAACAGATGAGATAAGCCGAAGTGCTTTTGTAGACCCGATTCACCTGGACGGCGTCACGCGTTGGTATTCGATTAACGAGGATCTCTGTTCCCAAACACCAATTTCCGGTCAGTCACACCCCTCATCTGGATCCGTTAGTTTCCATTAGAGTGTTGATGTTGTTTGGGCTTGTCAGTTAATGGCTGTTTTTAAATAGTGATTTGTTTTTAATATACTTTAGTATCTGTACTCGTATATTTGTACCCGGTAAGAATGTTCACGCTGTCAGCAAATTTGACGGGCGAAACGGCTAAGGATATCGTGCATCCTAGGCTGGATTTCTTTTGTCTATCGACTGAGATGCTTATATAATTATTAATAAATCAAGAAAGACTGCGCTCATACGCAATCTGCCGCTGTTGTACTTGAAGTACCTATACTTGAAGTATATGAAGACGACCGTAGATAGTGAGCCGGTGCATGCTTTTGCTTCCCATTAAACGAATCTTCCAGCTCGATTAGCTACGTTTTCCGGCTTAAAGTTCCCGTTTCTCGCTGCAATTTTAGTTTACAGTTACTTTGTTTTTTCTGCAACCGTGTTCCTCTAAATTCCCTCTTATGTGAATTCCTCAACTATGTAAACTTGAATACCATATTCATATACTGTCCACAATCATTTTTAGCATCTTTGATATCCTTGACTACGATAGAGAGCGCCAACTGCTGGCATCAGCAACGGCTCAGTGTTTTCTTGGCAATAATAGCTTTACAAAACTTCAGGCAACACGAACGAATACCTTCGTTAAAACATATGTTGAGCCTTCCCCAATCTGCAGTGACAAGCGCTGCTCAGCGAAAATATTATCTCTGTTGCTGATTATAAGTAGACAGAGAAACAAATTTCACGGCAGGATTATAATTTGGGTATGCATCACGAAGTCAGGTACAAGCAAATTTTGCATTCAGAAGCTGTAATTTTCCTGACAATTTCAGAGCGTGTAGCAGAGGCAAATATTGTCGTTAATAACAAAGAGAATCTCCACCTAAAAAATGGAATGGAATAATTAAGAGTCAGGTAGCACTATCCGGAAACCAGGAAGAAACCCATCTTGTGCCAGTTTCAGAATTAAGTGCTTCATTGCTTAAGGCTTCATTGACGAGCGGTGCCGTTGGGCATCTGGAACTCGCTGGCGTGTACCGTTGTCAGGATACTGGCAAAGGTTGGACGGCGCTCTGGCTTGGCGTCCCAACAGCTTTTGATCAGCGACACGAGATCCGCACCGGCTCTCTCCAGTGCGTGGTCGGTGGCCTTGTTGAGCAAATTTCCTAAGAGCAAGCCCACCTTGCTCGGCAAAGTGTTCGAACTGGTCAGCGTAGGGCTCCTCCTCGGTGACCATCTCATTCAGCAGGATGCCGAATGCGTAGACGTCGCCGCTAAAGTCTGGTTCCTTAAAAGTGGGCTCTTGATCACAGACCATGGATTCCGGTGGCATGTAAGCCGGAGTGCCACCTGTAAAGCGTAAACACTTTTTTACGTTATTACACCAACATGTTGTGCGTATAATACAGAACTAGGAAATCGTTAATCGGCATTCAGAAATTTATTAATAAATTAACAAAAAATGATGGTGCAGGGACACAGCAGAATGCGCAGAGATCGCCGGGGTTCAAACAGAGAGCCGCTTTTTTGCGCAATATGCGTTTAAAGAAAGCATAATTTCCTGCCTTATGTTGATTGCACTTAAAAACCGTTTTATGTGATTAAACACGTACATAATTCTTTCGAGTCCTTATGGAAAATCTGGCAACACTTGCATTGGTATTGCACTTACAGAAAACCTCATAATCGCATCCTTTCTCAGCATCCACCACCGTGGACGCCTTGCAGCACAGATTCGCCAGGCCGAAATCGATAATCTTCGGCTGGTACTCCCGGGTCAGCAGCACATTATCCGGCTTCAAATCCCCGTGCACCACCCCGGCAGAATGCAATACTGTCATCCCCTCCGCGATTCCCACGACGATCTTCTTCTTAATCCGTCCATCTTTCACTTTCGCCACCACCTGGGGATCCTGGCAGTAATGCAGCCGATAATGTAGATTCCCCAATTCCACGTACTCCATAACAATGCTTAACGGGTCCGGACAGTACCCGTAGAACCCCACCAGATGGGGATGACGGCCTAATTCCGCTAGGATGGCAAGCTCCCGGACGAATAACTGCCGCTGGCGGGGAGAGTCATCCTCTTCTGGGCTCAGGGTCTTCACCGCGACCTGTTTGTGGCCCCAGTCGGCTAGTGTTACCTCGCCAAACGAACCGCAACCCAGTCCCGTCTCGGTGAGTTGAAGAGCAGCGTACGGGATCGCGCGAGCTTCGTTTAAAGAAGAGTCGGCGGTCGCGCAGGTCTCCGACCGCTCTTTCAGCCACTGATACAACAGCGCGTCGTCCTGTATCAGATCGTTTATGAATTTTCCAGGCGCGTCATCTTTCTGGTTTTGCCTGTATGTTAATCGAGTACCATATAAAAGCCAACATTTAAAAAATGAAAACACAAACGTATCCAACTTTTACTTTGGTACTGTTAAAAAAATTCGGTAAGCCCAAGTTATAGTTCTTATACGTACAACTTTCATAAGTGCCATATCGCCAACTTTTTATACGTAAGTAAGTATAAGTTTATAAGTGCCATAACCGTTTAAAATGCGGCAAAATCACATGCAGCGTTCACAAAATGTTTTTAATAGAACATTGTTCCACCATTCACATCCGCCTGGACTGGAGTAAACGTACCTTGCTGAGGAGTTGTTATCTGCCGTCTCCTTAGAACCCTTATCCTTATGCTGCACATCCATATTCCCATCCGTTTTCAAATGCACACCGGTACCGTGATCTTCCGACGCACCGACTGATTTCGGGGGACCACTGCGCATATCCACTTCCCGTGAGCCAAACAATCTCAGAGAAAAAGGATTAATTAATAAGAATTTAACGAGTCTGAGGCGGACGGACTGCGCAGAAACAATTCGACGTAATCGGTCCAAACAAAAGCGTAGGTAGTATTTACTGATGAAAATACATCTGGATTTTGGCGCAAATCGCAAAACAAAGTGTGTCTCAGATTTAAAGCTTTCCTTTGAAAGTTGGCACGCTAGAAATCAATACATACGATACGCGGATACGGTGTAATAATATTAGCCAGCGAGCAAAAATTGTACGATGTGTGTTCAACCGTTACTGTACCAGTACTGTACTTCTATGCACCGGCAACGCATCTACCGGAAAGTGGAAAATTCTGCTAGCGTTTCGATGAATGGATTTTCAACATGTGAGAGGAAAGCAGCATTCAGCATGGCAGCATTCAGCATGCAGAGATGTGCAGTGTAAAGCGGATGACTCATGAAAGTGTGACTTGCTTTCAGCCAAGCCGGTTTGTTCGGCATAATCGATAAAAGCCAAAAAGTGTGAGTAGTCGTTTAAACATTTATGAATCGAGATTCAAAGAGTCGGCTAATAATGATACTGGACTATAGGTGATTTATATCAGCCGCTTTTGCTGATGAATGTGAGATTAATACGCGATGTCCTCGGAAGGTTTTTTGGAGCTCTGTACAACTACAGTTGTGTGCGTAAAAACAGTACAATGCAACACAATTTGTCTGTATTTACAGAAAACAATACCAGAAGCGCTTTGCTTAATAAATGTTGCAGATATGTTATATTCGTATATGCGCTAATTGGGAGTAATGTATCTGATATAAAGGCTATTGATTTCTACGCAAATGAGGCCTAACCAGGCTCATTCGGTGAATATCAATTCCGAAACTGTCAATTTTCTGCAGAAAAGCGAAATACTTTCATAGATAGCATTTATTTTAATAAAAAACGATGAGAATATCTTAAAAAAATATGAAACGTTCTTTCGAATTGCCGAAAGCATAAAGTCAGGTAACTTAAGTTGGCATTTTACGTTTTCAAAAGCATACGAGTACAGTGTACAGATACAGTTAGCCAGATCTCTCGTTCTGCAGTATTGATGTACTGTACTCAAACTGTTGATATTGACAGTCGAAGGAAATGGCTGCTAAAACGTCCATTCATCATGGACAATAAAAGGATTTGCAAATAGTTACTGTATTTAAATTATGGCATCGCTAGTTCCACGTACTTGCACAATTTTCTGCTTTGTTTATTTCAGCAACAGCGTTGATCAGTGCATGAAAACAAATATAGATCACTTTGGGCTTCAGTTCAACGAGACTACATAGGTAAATACGGAACTGTTGTCGCTCGCGGATGCTCCCGTCATGAAAGCATTCCCCCTATCCGTTTCTGACAAATGGAGCTGCCTTTGCGCAACACCACTTGGCACTGTTTACCGGGGATTCTCCGTGAATAAGCGCATTGCAAATAATTTCCTATCGGTCGGAACAGGTTGGCAAGTTTACTATATATACGATGCGCCCGGACACAACAGTTTCTGCGCGTCTGCTTCCCCGGTGATTTTTCCCACTCGTATGTTCCAATACCGACAGGTCACTGTCTAACTGCTTTGTAAAGGTCATAGCCATAGGTAGTTTTTTTTACGCAGAATTATTCGATAAACTTCTTTTCTTTGACCATGAAGCATACCGTACATTTCGCAGTATGCTTCGATGACTTTGCGCGTGCAGTCTCAGTACTCCCATTGGCAACTTAGTTCGATTGGCGGTACTTTAAAGAGCGCGTAATACCAAATAAATATATTTGTTATCCCGCGCTCTGTAAAGAACCTCCTGGTCGTAGTGTGGGCACAAAGGATATGCTCAACAATTCTTGGGCTACTGCAAATTTTTATGCTTGCAATGTTTGCTGTCCGCTGCCCAGGGTTTTAAAAGTTTCAGCGAAGTACTATGCAGAAGCAATAATAATCATCGTTCCTAATGCTGTCCTCCCTAAAATGCGACGAACCGAGGAACTTCTTGCTGGAACGTGTTGCCGGTATCGTGCCAACCAAAACAGTAATGACCCCATGGATTTGTATTCATTTCTGGATGGCGATAGCGACTGGAAGTAGATCTGTCACGGAATATTTTGGGAATGACGGTTACCGAAGTAACTTGGAGCAAGACGATATTATCTGGCGGACGCCTTGTGCTGCTCAGTCTTAACTGCAACACGGATACCTTTGTCTCCCGTATGGAATATCAATAACCTGGGTAGTGCCCTTTACACGACAACTGGCAATCATCCCAAGCGACCTTGTCAACGACCGTAGCCTTGCCAAGGTCATTTCCGAACCACCCTTAGTTCAGAAACGAACTTGGATAAGCTACAGCCGAACTTCGGCATAATCAGAATATTGTTCCGCGGTATAAAAAAAAACTGGTTAAGCTTAAAGTTATTTACTACGTTATCGCTAGCCCGGAAATGATGCTATTGAGTATTGACATCATTTCCGAGCTAGCGAAAACGGGCATTGCGTTCACTTTGGAAACCGAGACTTTAAATACCGCTGCCATCATGATCCTGTACACCATGCGCTTCACTTTTATATTTCTGAGAGCGGTAACTGTTGTCGTGGCGTTAGTAGCGGTTAATCGAATAAGTTGGCGGAACGCTGACATAGTTTTTGAGGCATGTGGAGAACCTCGCTTCGGCCGCGGAGTCTCGTGGAAAACGTCAGAACATGCTCGACCACCGGAAACAGCGTAGGTGTATCACTGCGACCGACGACAGCGGGTGCGTGACAACGTGACGCCTTGGTTCGTGTCCAGGGAATGAGCTGGATCCTGGTACGTGGCCAGTGCAGATATGTTGCCATATGCAACGTGTTAGAGCACATACTTTGCCGTTGTTGGCTACTGGAAAACAAATCGGCTTAAAAGGATTTCCCAACGGCGCAACACAAAACCTTCACCATGAATGTTAACGGAATATAAGTACCGAATGTAGCGCGGGAAAGGGCAAATAGAGAAGCTTCGCTGTTTCGCTGTCGTGCTCCACGATCGATTGTCACCCCAGCGATCAGTGCTTGTTGACAGTTGGTTGTGTAATTAAAAAATGGTCATGACTCATGTGTACTACGGAAACGGGGAATTACCGCATCACAGGCACCACATTTTTTTATTAATTTTAGCAGCAAGTACGACAAATAAATCAATGGCTCAATAAGTGTCAGAAAGCGAAGCCAAAACAAGAAACAGTTCTTTAGGTCGACTGGATAACTTAGAATTATAATTATGGAAATACGGATTCAACGGCTATGTGGAATACGGATACAGCGGCTATGGAAATGCGGATACCACGGCTATGTAAGACCATAATCAACTGATTGTGGTCTGCATTCTGCAGTATTAGCGGTACTCCTACGGAAAAATAATCGGTGATAAAACGTGCGAAATGCGGTGCGACATTGAACAAATGTTTTGCGCTAAACGTCGTAAATTTAATCAAATACAGGGAATCGTTAAGGCCCGATGGAAGATATCTGGTGTATGCTGAATGGCCGAGAATAATTCAGTTCAGACCGGGACCGTTGGGCATCTGGAAGCGATTGCCGCGAACCGTTTCCTGGATGCTGGCAAAGGTCGGACGACGCTCTGGCTTGGCGTCCCAGCAGCTCTTAATCAGCGCCACGAGGTCGGCGCGGACCTTCTCTCCGATGCGTGGTCGGCGGCCTTGTTGGGCGAATTTCACAGCGGCGAACGGACCATGACCGGCAAAGTTGCGGTACTGATCAGCGTATGGCTCTTCCTCCGTAGCCAGCTCGTTCAGCACGATGCCAAAAGCGTAGACGTCGCTGCTGAACTTAGGCTGACTGAAATTAGACTCCTTGGTGCTGTCCATGGATTCCGGTGCCATATAAGCAGCAGTGCCGCCTGCAAAGCGTAAAAACGAAAACGTTATGTACTTGCAGATTTCCTGTATACTCTACATGAAACGGTTGGTATTTTCCTGGCACACTTACCGATAATCTCGTAATCCTGACTTTTCTCCGTGTGCACCACCGACGATGCCTTGTAACGCAGATTGGCCAGCCCGAAATCTGTGATCTTCGCCTGATACTTCCGGTCAACCAGGACATTCTGCGGCTTCAAATCCCCGTGCACGATCCCGGCATCGTGCAGCGCTTTCATCCCATCCACGATCCCGATGATGATATTCTTCTTAATCCGCCCATCCGCGATCTTCAGCTCCACCTGGCGATCCACACAAATATGCAGCAAATTATGCAGATTCCCCAGCTCCACGTATTCCATCACGATGCTCAACGGGTCCAGACAGTACCCATGAAACGCCACCAGATTGGGATGCTTGCCTAACTGCGCCAGGATGGCGATCTCCCGGATGAATAACTGCCTCTCGCGGCGGTTGGGTTGCGCTTCCGGGCGCAGTGTCTTCAGCGCCACCTGCATACTGCCCCATTCCGCCAGGACCACGTCGCCAAACGCTCCGGAACCGAGTTTCTTACCAGTGATCTTTAGAGCGGTATACGGGATCTCGCGGGCATCGTCCAGACGAATGCTGTCAATGTCGCCCCGTTCCAGCTGGGTGTACTGTTGCCGGATGGTCGCCAGATGTTCCGGTGTTATGTATTCCGGTTGACGAGGAATCTGGATGACTTCCGCCTGCTGTTGCTGCCACAAACGCCGCAGCGCCGCTTCCTGCATCAGATTTTCTAGATACTCCTCCCGAGCGTGGGCGTTGTAGTTATCCACTTCTTGTTGGGCGTTACGGCTGGATTTGTAGCGCATGTCCAGGGTGCCGTCCTTCTTGTAGTGTAGTTTTTCCGGAACGAGCGCAGCGTTAGGCTGGGAACTATATAAACAATCAAAAAGCAATTAAATGAAAAAAATGTCAGTGACGACGTTAGTGAAACAATTTCCTGGATAAAGTGTATGAACAATGTGAGTGAATTTTCGTAATCCCGAACATCCAGATTGCGCTGATATTCACAGTTGAACTGTGTCGGTCCGTATAACAATTAAACATTTGCTGACCAGCTGGATCCATGCCACTTAATTGCCAAATGATGTTAGGTAGTTTGTTATATTGATCGAAGTATCCGTTATAACCGTGAATAATAATTATTATTGGTTTGGTTTCAAAATCGTTTGGAAGCTTATGAGCTTACCCAGCTGAATGGTTGTTGTTTGCCGCCTGCTTAGAACTAGTATATCGCATGTCCGGCGTCCCGTCCTTCTTGTAATGCAGACCGCCATTACGATCTTTCGCTACACTAGCTAATTTCGACGAAGTATACCGCATGTCCAGCGAGCCATCTTTCTTATAATGCCGATCATCCCGCTCAGCAGGCGCCGCAGCTACGGGACTGCTGACGCTGGCCGCCTGTTGCGAAGAGTTGTACCGCATATCCAGCGTCCCGTCCTTTTTATAGTGAAGGTCACTGCTGGCTGTACTGGCCGTCGGGACTGCCCGAGCGACACTGGGTTCGGTTGAAGCGGCTCGCGATGAAGTGTACCGCATATCCAAACTTCCGTCTTTTTTGTAGTGCAGATCACTGCTGGCGGAAGATTCGCGGTACGAGGGCATGGAAATGTTGGAAGAGAAGCTGGGACTGGGTGCCGACACGGAGGACGATGGGTACGCTGTACTGCTGCTGGGATTGGTAGATGTGAAGCTGGGACTGGGTGCCGATATGGAAGACGATGGATACGCTGTACTACTGCTGGAACTGCTGGCGGCGGCGGCTCGCGATGACGAGTAGCGCATGTCCAGTGAACCGTCTTTTTTATAGTGTAAATTACTCATTCTTTAAGCGGTTTCGAAAGTACGGAGAAAAGCGTAACTTAGCAAAAAAAATTAACTGAGCGAATGCTTAATTGCGAAGAAGCGGTTGTGAAGTTCCTCAGCAGAAAAACCACAGAACGACAGATTGCGAAGAAACAGTTGTGAAGTATCTGAGCAGAAAAACCGCAGGTATTTATACTCTGTAGACTGAAAGCACTTTGGCGCGATCTACACAAGGCGTGACACTCCCAGCTGATTCGCCTGAAATGTGATACGTTAATAATTCAGTACGTATACATACTACGATGTACAGTACGGTACAACGTACAATGCAAAGCACGATGCACGAGTAAAGTACGATGCGTGCCTACTGTCATTTTCTGTACACGGACACTGCATTTACTGGAAATTTCTGCGCGTACCATTATGCCGATGAACGGATTACCGGTGGGACGGTTTAGCGTTTCCGGTTTGCTGAGGCGAGCCGGTTCGGTTTCCGATTACTCGCGTGCCACTTGACAGTCAGCGGTAGGAACGTTTGGCGGAAGTACAGCACCGCAGGGTTAACGGATTCCGTATCGCTTCCTGCATCGGTTACAAGGTTCTGCATTAAACATGCGGAGATAATGACAGGCTGTACAAAGCGTACAGGCCATTAAAGTGCGACATGCCTCCAGGCAAAACCGCTTAACGGACTGCGCTTTAAAGGTATATTGTAAATCACAGCCATTACATAGCAAGTTTGCTGATACCTTACCTCATGACTGGTTGATTACCGCTCATGATTGTGAGATACATATTGAGGAATTCTCCCACAAATTTTTTTGATAGCTCTGTCGGCGTGTAGTTGATCAACTGTGTATTTCTTTTTTGTATTGTTTTCTACCTTGAGTTTAATTACCATGTAAATGAACGAGGGTGTCAAAAAACAGTACTGTACAAGTACGTAGTTAGACACCAAAGGATTAAACTGTAACGACCGTATATATCAGTTACGCAGTGCCACAATCAGTATTATTGCTGTGCTTTATCGGGTAAATCGGTACAATTACGTAAACCAACACGCCGAAAAGCAAAGATTAGGTTAGGTTTTCATAGACATTTTGTATATATCTTTGTATTTGTATATATATATTTGTATATATCTATATCTGTATTTTGTATACGAGTATATATCTATATTTCTACATAGCCGCATTATCGTGTGCACTGTACACGTAAGGTTAATGGACGATGCTATGAGTGAGTAACAAACGCATTATACTGCTGCCAGTTCCATCCTGCATTTTCATTGCAGGTGCGCCTAACTACTCTTTCCATTAAAACTCGAAAACGCTTTCTCGTGCACATGGATCTTTTAAGCTGTCAGCAGGTAATCGATGTATAAACAGCGCAAGGATAATTTATAGGCTACAAGGATAAATCCTGCCGAAACTGTACCGCGCGCGATCAATAATCTCTTCACCATATAAGAGTACAAAAACGCTCGTCTCTCGACACCGCGGTGTCCGCACCACACAGTATTATTCCGTTTTATCACGGTCGATTTGTCTGAGTCGAGTGCCTGGCAATTTTGGATACATGGGTGGAATAACAAGATATTTTCGTCTGGTTAACCCTGCAAGTCCAACGATGACACTGGATACAATTCATAATCTGTACTCTAAACGGTGCTTTCTGTTGGGCTTGCATGGTTAGGGTCATTACAATATTCATCCTTAAACTAATCAGTGGACGTACTAGTAATCAGTACTCTGAGATCTGCCATTTATCTGACCGTACTGCTTCAGTCCGTTGTGGATATTCTGGTTGTTTATGCTTAAAACACAGGATCGTGTCATATGGCAAAGTCCTGTGAACTTAGCATGAAACAGCATAAAGTGGTTGGAAACGGACTGCCTTGATCTTCTGGTATGTACTCTACAATGCACAATTTTTACATAGGCGAAAAAAAGTATAGACCCTTCGGTTAAACGCATACGGCGCAAACAAACGCTTTGCTGTTCCGCACCGCGGTGGTGGCGATTATACGCACGCTTGATGTGTTTATATCGCACGCTGTTATTACATACTAGTACATTTTTTAACCACGGAAGGACTAGCTGATTCACCTTTATTTCTGTCCAACATTCTAGCATGAAATTCGCTACAAGCACCAGTTATCGAGATTCGACACCTTCACCACATGTTTACACTGCAATTAACAATTTAGCCATTCCAGTCATCGAATGCGTTCCAATTACAGGTAATGTAATAGAGTATGATACAACAAAGACAGCCATTTGATCGGCATAAACGTATAAAAAGATCCAGGTTTCTACTGATATTTACGTAACTTGCACTGCCTTATTCAATTATCATGGACCGTAAGGGCTGCATGTATCCCCGAACCGGTGTGCGGGCCACGGATATCCTGCGCCGACAGCTTAACGGCCGCGGCAACTGTACACTGGGACACGGATCAAACTCAAAGGCACTACCGCGTCCTGTTACAACTTCCTCGTCCAGATCACCTGCGCGCAGTAAAAATGATTAAGTACCTAGCCCACCTACAATTCAGGACACAAAACTGTCTCCAGTTAATCGTCAGGCCATTTGACTAATTAACAAACCGGTTAACGATAAAACCGTCGTACAACTCATATAAAACCGCATATAAAACCGTTTTTCTTACATCTAGACTAGAGCTGCAAGTACGCTGCGGTACATAAGTTGGTTTTGAACATAAAATCGTTCATCCATGCGCTATGCTGTCATTCGACGGAATCACTTTATTGCCATCAATTTTAAACCAGCGTTTTACTTCGTATTAGACATAAGGTTCAACATAATGTTTAATACAAAGTTAAACGCTGGTTTAAAATTGATGCTTGCATATGGATACTTCAAGTATCCATATGTATGTTCAGGTGGATGGATAACTTACAAAAGCGGCACCGTACATTTTGTAGCAGCAATGAAGCGGTTTTGTTAAATGTAGAGAAAACGCTGTTTACTCACAACGGAACGGTTTCTTTCAATATCAAGAAAACGCTTTTCACTCACCAAGAAACGGATCGGTAAATATCGAGAGAACGCTTTTCACTTACCATGCGCTGTCTGTCGCACCAACGAACTGCTTCGTCCCGACCGTCGGGACACGGGTCGTAAATCCAGACTAATATCGCACCTCCCCGAAACCGCCACTTCCACCGCGGGCAACTGCCATTTCCCGGCAATATCGTTCCACGTGGCCGCTTGCACGACATCATGGAGATTGCGGTAGTTACATTCCGGAAGGTGCGGTAGCACCGTATTGACAATCTGCCGGTACAGCTGCGCCAGTTGCTGATGCTTTAAATTTTCATGCTGGATACCATCGAGTTCTTTCTGGGTGTGGCGAGATTCTTCATGCAGCCGATTTTGCAGGCAGTCTATCTAAAATTATTAAAATATTCATTACAAGCAAGATGCTGGTTAATTATTGAAAATTACTCGAACCTCCGTTTCCTTATCGTGGATATGCTGGATGCACTCGTTCAGCTGCTCTTCGTATTCGTGGTGCGCCGCTTGCAGTAAGGACTCCGCGTTGATACCGGCAACCGCCTCTAACAAATCAACCGTTAATTTCTAGATGATCGTTACCAAAATGTAGCTGCATAACATATCAGTGATGATTTCATAACGCACTGACGATTCTCCCGTGAGTCGTAGTTACCTACTGATTAGAGCTTCTCGTCGAGCACTTGTTGGTCGTTTTGGCGCCGCTATACGATCAGGCTTTGGTGAATCAACAGAAGCTGCGGATGCTCTAAAAGAAAAGTTAAGACTCGTTTATTATGTACAATACGTTCATCATGTACAATACGTTCATCATGTACAATACGTTCATCATGTACAATACGTTCACGTACAATATCAAAATAAAAATACATGGATGCAGTTTAAAAATAAATAAGCGTCTTTATTAGGCAATACCGCAATAGCCGTCAAAATACTAATACCACAAAGTGCACACTACAACAGAATTTGATTTACAAAACAATTAAATAAAAAAAGAAAAATGTACTAAAATAAAATACGTAGGATTACTTACATTACGGTTAAATATTTTTTAGTCCATATGTATTTTAGTATATTTTTGGTATATATTTTGGTTTTTGCCACATATATTTTAGTATATTTTGGTTAAATCTTACTGTATTCTAATTAATTATTGTATTGATATGGTTTACCTACTGTGACACACAAGACTTCTGTCAGCTAGTTTCCTTCCGGATACCGAAAGCTGCAGCATCCCACTCCCACCGTTCCCGCTAGGGACCCGCCCATGCGGAGTGCGCAGATTCCTACTCTCCATCGCCGACAGCATCCCGTTCTTCCCTTCCCGCGGTATTTCCATTGTCCGCACCTTATTCAACTCCCGCATCTGCTGCTCCACAAACGCTTTACCATCCAGCGCAAAATACCGCTCTTCCCGCAGCTTCTGAATCTCGTCTTCCATCTCGGCGACCTTCTGTCGTTGATCGGCCAATAGCTCCTGACTAGTCTGCAGTTCTTTCTGTAACTGCTCGCACTGAACGGATTGCTGACTGCCCTTGACCTTTTCTTTTTCCAGCTTAATCAAATCGCTTTCTAAGCGAAGGATCTGTTGTTTGCAATCTTTATTGGCGCGCTGCAGTGCGCTGATTTCTTGTTGATAATCCGAGCGCAATTCGGCGATTTCGTTGGTGTATTCGGTTTCGCGGTTCGAATTTTGAACTCGCTGCTCTTCCAGTTCCGCGTTCAGCGTTTCGATCTTTCGCTCGTACTCTCTGGTTAATAAGTCTTTGGCTTGTTCGATCCGGTTTCGATGCTCGTTTTCTAGTTTCTGCAGATTTTCCGCTGAATACCGTTTTACTGATGCGAGTTTTGCCTCGTTTTCCAGATAAATGCTTTCTATTTGCAGCACATGCCCATTTTTTAACCGTTCAACCTCCTCCACGTGGCCGTTACTTAAATCTGTTATTTCCTTCAAATGCAAGATTTCCAGCTTTTTAACAACTTTAGCTTGATTATCAGTTGATTCCAGGCGGAGGTTTTCAACTTCACGTTCATGACCTTTTCTTAACTCTTCAATCCGCTTAATATATCGCTTTTCCATAACGGCATGTTCTTGTTTATTTTGTTGCTCCAAGCTGGATATTCTTTTCTGGAAATTAACGTTTTGCTCTTTTTCTAAACGTTCTTTTAATTTCCCGTGGTTCTCCATCAAACGTTGTAGTTCTCTCTCTTGTTTATTCAACAGTTCATCCAAAAGCTGGCGTGTCTTGGAAATATTTTCCTCGTGTAAGCGTTGTATCTGAGCCTCTTTTTCATCTTGATACTTCTTCAGATCGGCGGTGTATTGCGCTTTTAACTGGCATCTGATTTCTTCTACTTGACCTTTATGACGTTCCTCTAGTTCGGCCAATTTGGTTTGCAGTTCTTTATCGAAATGGTTCTTCGCTTGGTCAATGGAATCATCGCGCTGCTGATCAGTTTGCTCTTGTAATGTTTTTCTGTACATATCAAGATCCCGGCGTTGCTGTGCTTCCAGTTCTAGCTTTTGCGATTGGACATTTGCTTCAGTTTCTTCCTAAAAGGGAAGATAATACCATTGCCTGGTGGTAATGGCAACAAACGCAGCTGCGCTTTTCTTTTTTTCAGTTGCTTTATTCGTTTTGCTTTTAAGGCGCTAGGAACGCCGAAATTCTAGTACAACGGTAAATTATTTTACGTATATTTATGGTATAATTATTTTATTTATTGGATGGTCCATAATAAATTTACCTATACTAAACCTTTAATTTTGTTTTATATTTTTCAAAATCGTATTGAGTATTCGTATGTGTTAAAGGTTATTTAAATTCGTTATATAACTCTATGTGTTTTTTTATGTATGCCGTTCTCCTACTTTAAACCGCTTCATCTCCTGCGCGAACTCCATCTGTATCCGCCGCTTCTCTTCCTCCGCCGCCTTCGTCAGCTTCCCCTCCATTCGCTTCAGCTCCTCGACCTTCTCCATCTCCAGCCGCTTCCACTCCTCCCGCTCCCGCTGCAGCACCTCCTTATAGATCCGATCCAGCTCCTCCTCCTTCTGCCGAACCAACCGCTGCTTCTCCTCCTCATTCGCCTCCCGCATCTGCCGCGCGAACCGCTCCAGCGTCGCCTCCTGCTCCTTCTCCAACCGGCGCATCGCTTCGTGATGTTCCTCCTTAATCGCAGCAATCTCCCGCTGCCGCTCCTCATCATTCACCGGGATGCGGGCGATCTGGTTTTCCAACCGGCGGATATGGTCGAGATACTGCCGGATGAGGGCGGTCTGCGGATCGGTGTTAACTACCGGCTGGTTACGGATGGCTTTAGCGCGGCTGGCGTAGGAGAGGGTGCTAAGGGACTCCTCGCGGTTGTCGTCCACCGGGGAGATACAGCTGATCATGACGGTCTTGGCGTTCCCGCCCAAGGAGGTCTCCAGAAGGCGAGTTAGTTTGGAGTCGCGGTAGGGGATGTGGGTGGACTTGCCGTCGGTTAGGGCTTGGATGACGCGACCCAGGGTGGATAACGAGAGGTTGATGCGGATGGCTTCGTTCTGCCGGTCTCGTATAGCGTCTGTAATTACAGCGCACTTTCTGTATACCTATTCTGTATATTCTGTATATTTCTGTATATGTAGTCTGTATATTCGCACTGTGTTTATTGCTTAAAACGTTTTAATCCAAGAATCCAGAAACATGTGTATGAGTTACCGTCAACTGCCCCGTATTCCTGCGAAAATATCTTTTCCATCTGATTTTACTGAAATTCTACGAAGGCCTTAAAAGCTGGCAATTTTTAGCAAACGAAATTCAACAACTGTCAGCGCGTGTTACAGGTGAAACCGCCTGATGTATTAACGCCGTGTGTGTCTGCGTTTATGTTGAAAGTTTTAAAAAATGTACAATTTCGTTTCATTTTCATTTTCGTTTTTGCTACTTCAAACTAGGTTGTTCTGCAAACATTAGTCAGAAAAATAAAAATTCGCCACCAGAAATTCGGAAGCCGTCTTGAGGGGCCAATATGCCGTAATGGCCTAAATTTATTGAAAATCGCACGATCATATCTACTCTACGCGCCACATAGGAAAACGAAACATAAATTGTTCGAGTATTAATAACTGTGGGCAACGTAAAAAAGCGAATATGAAAGGAAATCAGGAAGCCCAAGACACTTCGTTCGCATTAATCTCATTAAACCGCTATGAAATTTTGGAACTGACAGTTCTCTTGGAAACCTTGCTTATTATTTCAGCTGAAGTGCAGAAATGGGGTTTGCAGTAAAGAACAGACATACCGGCTTTGGCCTGCCGCTCGCTCCCCGCCAGATCCACAAAATTCACCTTAGCCATGGTGATATGACTGACCCCATTCACCAGCCGGGAGACCTCCACAGTGATGGTGAAGATGGCGTGACTCCGGGAACTGTCCGTGTTCATCTTCGTCGCCGCTTGTTGGCGCGCGCATAACCCTAATCAAAACCATACATAAGTGACGACCCATTAAAGAATGTTTGCCACTCACACCTTTCTTAAGATAATGACGGCACTCTTTGGCATTCTGCACGGTGGCCGTGGTCAGACCTTCGACATACGGCGACCGATCTTTAGCTTCATGCAATGATAAACGGGATTTCCCGCTGTCGGGGTGCTTCGCGGATGGTGGCCGGGTTTCAGAAGGTCACGGAATTCCTCCATGTAGATCTCCAGAAAACTGCAGTACACCAGGGAGCGGCAGCCGTCTGCCTGCTGGTCCATCTGTCCGAAGATGTAATCGATGGCACTATAACGAAAGGTCACACATTTAACTGAGAGCCTAGGCGGTTCTAAATTTTCTCTTCAAATATTCAGAATTTCCAAGATAGTTTTCCAATATTAACTAATATTAACTAATGTATTAATCCAATATATTATCCAATATTAATAATATATTATCCAATATTAACTAATATTTTTCCAAAAAGGGGTTTCTAGGGTTTTTTAAATCGTTAACCCTTAGGTCGTACAATGTAGGACTGGGTTAGTCTGTTCTAGAACAGAGAAGCACTTCCATGCACAATACAAATTAAAACACAGTCATTCAAGTAATACTAAATTTTGAGTTTTAATTTTCCCGTGTAGGCTTCTTAGGTCTCTTAACCGTTCAAGAAATAAACCGAAAGTCATCAGTTAATATCGTGTTTACCGAAACACTATACCTTCCTCCGCCCCCGTCTGTTCCTGCCCGTGCATGGTGTAGGTCTTGCCACTGCCGGTTTGGCCGTACGCGAAAACGGTGCAGTTATAGCCATTCAAAGCGCCCTGAGCGAAAACTCACAATTTACTATCTTTTCTATTCACAATGCACATCAACGGATCGAGAATTTTATTAAAATCTCTGCGTACATCGAGGAGGTCCACGATGCTCTCGGTAAAGATACTGGCCGTGGTATCCTGGGGACCGTACACCCCGTCATAAGCAAATCGCCGCAGCTCCCCATCCTTGCCATTAGCGCCGGCCACCAGCACTTCCCGGCTGTTCTTATCCACCGTTACGATGCTCTGCAAACAGTAAACTTGTAAGTAATGCACAGTTTCCATAACGAATTAATAATTACATTGTTTTATGCAACAAGGACGCTTTACCAGTACAGTCATACGACAATTAAAAACGGCTCCGTTATACTCGATTACTGCGTAATGCGGAACGAGTGAATGACCTTTGGGTTACAAACCAAATTTTACACAGACAGTGTACACGGGCGGGGATAATGAGTGCACCACCCTTGTACGCATGCCCTATATTTTACTGAAGCTTCCCATTAAACTATCAGTTTTACTCTTAAAATTTTTGATCAGTTTTTGATTGATCGGTGTACAAGTTCGGCGGAGTTTTCTTTTTTCCTAAAAAAACTGTACAGGATCGTACCTTGTTGTGCATGTCCATGTCACGCTGACTGAGTGGCCTGACCCTGGTTATCACTTTGACCGCTTCCATGATCCAGCACACAAGTCACTTATAAACTATAAATTTTTGATTAATTTACTGAAATCTACAAATCCACTTATAGATTCATTAAGTGATGAAAGTGTAGTGTTCTAGAGATGCAGATTATGGCAAAATGGACCGATTTTTATATAGAAAATCAGATTACGTATTCAGATACTCGTAATGTGCGCACTCGATGATCACAATTTCGTGCTTCAGAAAGCAGTAGACACTAATTTTTGGTAGAAACAAAAATCCGAAATACAAGATCATTTTAATTACGTAGAATATCGCGATGCCTCTCAATTTGAATGATTCTCGAGACTGGTGTTACGAATGTTCATCGAAATAGTGGGACGTACAGCGTACGCATGATACGCATCCATTCAGGTACGCATGAAGGGAACGACACATTGTATTAGCAGAATTCTGCTGGAGACGCTGTCGTTGTTACTTAGTGATACAGACTCTGTATGTGAATAGTAGCTCCTGCGCTCCCTGTCTCCACAGTTCCGCTACTCGTATGCAAAAAAAGCGGTGTAGCGTCCCTGTAATTTAATTTAAAACATTACGGTATGTAACCGTATGTCACATAGGAAAATCAGTGTCCTGCCGCGAACTTCGCTTCTCGTCTTTTCTGAAAAGACTATTCAGTCTATTCAGTTACAAAGATAATCTTTTAGCTGAGTAGCGCCTGTCACTGCACAGTGTTGTTAACTAATCATGCGTCTCAATGAAGGCGAACGTCGTATTGCTTGACGTTTTGTAACGTTGTTATTATCAAGGAAATACTGCACCATTGTTGATGCCAGCAGTTAGCGTTGCCTATCGTAGCAAAGGGAACAAAGATGCTAAAAATGATTTTGGACATTATACATGTATGAATATCGCTATCAAGTTTACATAACAGAGGAATCCAAGAAAACAGGAAACACGTTGCCGACGCCGGAAGCGCAGTTCTTCTATAAAAGTGTTTAACAGGAGGGAAAGCATTAAAAAGTGAGCCATGCCATCTCAACGTCGATATGTGTTTTGTTTATGCGACAGTACATCATATACTGCACCATTCGCGACAGCTGGCTCACATCGGAAGACTCCAGTTGATCACTTAACGGCTGCAAGTCAATGCAACTCTTCCGAGGATCCCCATGCTGGCGCCCACGTAGGATCTGCAAAAGCGCAAAACGTACACCACATACTGTACGGCGCATCAGTTACAACGGCTTGCAAGCGTTCTTCCCATTACCACAAGTATTAGGCTGATATTACCTTCCGTAGGTCTTTATAAACAAAGAAATTATTATATAGTCGTTGGCGGCCACTCAAAACATCGGAGAGACGATTCTTTTGTTGATCGTCCAACAGCGGGAAGCTTTGCTCGATCATGTCCCACCAGTCAGTGACAGTGAGACGCCGTTCGTGACTCATTTTTCCGAAAGGAATTCGTATCGTCATCAGTACGCAGCCATCAGGGTGAGACGTTGTAGCCTGGAACATGCAGTTCTTCACGGTCAGGTTGTGACAAATCGCCGCCAGCGAGTCAAAGGCGTTGTGAAGAGCGGCAATGTAATCGTCGTCAAACGGTATACTGCAGCATGCAACTTATTTCAGTACAAGATTATCCAAGAACACTTTCTGTTCGGCTCCTCCCGGCATGCTCTCACGCAGGAAGAAGTGATTAAAAAATAGTAAATCAAAGGTATCTCTTTTGTGCCTCGAGCGGGAGCAGATAACGGCTACATTGCGGTTTCCGCGACAGTTATGCGCACATACATCCGGGACATAGTTCGTGCCACCGGACGATAAGCGAAAGCATCGCCGAGCTGAAGATCCCTTTGAGATGAAAGTCTGATGTGTGTACTGCGGCCGATGTGAGGATGCAGTTCCAACCGGCGCACACCGCCCGCAGACGGTCAACGGTGCGCAGGTACTGGAAGACCTCGGCCATAATTTCCACGGGCAGGAATCGGAGGCCGTCAAGTTCACCCGGGTAATGAGATGCTCTGCTTAGTTTACAGATGCTGAATCACATCGAAGTATGGGGTGCAGTTACTAGTTAGAAGTCCGTATCCCGTATTGAAGTTTTTGATCGAACTAGCTTGGTTGCTTCTGTGTTCTACGAAAAATAATAAAGCGGATTATGCTGCGGATACGATATTATATCAATACTTAAAGTACATGTCATGTACTTAAAGTACATGCCAAATACAGCCCTGTTCACATAACGTACGTACTACATAGCTGCGCAAACTTGGCTTTGTATTAACTCGTACTGCTTCGACGTGACGTGTTTCGTTTGCTCCATATTACCGACGTTAACAATTACTAGCGGTGGTTCCTAACCACATCAGTGCACCGAGCGAGCGCCATACCACTGGGAAATGGGACCTTCGATAGATCTGACGAGCCGGTGCAACAGTGAAATTAGATATTTTTGTTGACATCAGAGAGATCTATCTGTGTAGATCTCCAGGCACCAAAGAGCGGCAACCGTCGGGCTGCTGTTCCGTCTGTCCAAAGAGCTAACGATGGCACTACAATGAAAGGTCACATCATCAGTTGGATGCGCAGTCTAATTCTCACCAGTCAGAGTCAACAGTCAGGACGACAAAGGTTACTTACTATGTTACATAGATAAACAAAATTAAAAGTTGTCCAGGTTTCTTAAGAGTTTAAGAACTCTGCGAAAATAGCAAGGCATATAAAGAGCATAAAATTGGTACACAAGCCGCACAAGTTCGTGTACATGACTCCAGTTATGGTATCTGTTTTTGTTCTAAACACGTTTTTAAATTCCAAATATAAAGGATTCTATAAAATATAAAGGTTTCATCTTTCTAACAACGTATCTCTTCCGGCAAGGTTCCAAGAAGATCGGGACACCTGCTTTTAAATTCGCGAAAATGCGTCTGCAAGTTTTTGCGCGTTTCCAGCCCAATCAATACACAAATCATTTCCACTATTGAATGACGTAAAATACTGTAGAAAGTGTTTTGGAGTGCGCGAAAGCGAAAGGTTTAGCGGATTATTAGGACGTAGTACTTCCGTACTTTTACTATTTATTAGCCCAGTTCGTCTAACGGTAAACGGTAGACGTAAAGGCTAATTAGCACTTGCTTACCGAACCTCCATACCTTTATCCGCCCGAACTCCTGCGATCCGTGCATGGTGCAGGTCATACAACTTCCGGTTTGGCTGTAAGCGAACACGGCACAGTTATACTCGACTACTCGTGTCCATTTAGAGCACCCTGGACGAAAAACTCAGTTCGCAATCTTCTCGCAACACGATAGCGGATAGTTCTCTTGAAGCCTGGGTGTACCTTAAGGAGATCCACGATGCTCTCGGTGAAGATGCTGGCCGCTGTCTCCTGGGGATCATAAACTCCGCCATACGCAAATCGACGCAGGTCGCTATCCTTGCCATTAGCCCGGCACAAGTACTTCGTGGCTGTGCTGATCCACCGTGAGAATGCTCTGCAACCGCTCTCACAGTTCACAAAACGAAACACACTGTTGTGTCTCACACAAAAGTCATGTTTCACTCATACAATCAAGTACAGTAATATAAATTCAGCATATACGTACATTACGTTTACCGTATAATGCGAAGCGAATGATTTCACATAAAAATCGATTTTGCATGATAAGCGTAAGCACGCCTCGTATTTTGTAACGCATTGGACCGAGGCTTCCCATTAGAAACTCGCTTTTCATTATTACACGTACTATCTGTATCTGGATTATAAAATTGCGATCAGTTAGTGTAAATGATTTAAAGGTCAGAACGGACCCAATAGTTGTCCCTAAAGTGTAAACAGTCATACTGTACCTTATTGTGCATATCCATATCACGCTCACAGAGTGGCCTGACTCTGGTTAGAACTTTAAACGCTTCCATGATTAAGTACACAAATCACTTATATATTCAAACTTCACTTGACTAAATGAAAATCCACCAGTATCATTAACTGTTCTAATTCAAGTAAAAAGAGTGCACTATGGGCGCAGATCATCGTAAAATGGAACAGTTTCCATACAGGAAATCATACTTCGTCTTCAGCCACTTCGATTGTGACAATGCACGCGCAGAATGATCACAAATTCGTAACTCAGAAGCCAGTGAACGCCGGTGTTTGGTAATAGCAAAAATACGGGATACTAATTACGAAGACGAACGTGGTGTTTCTAAAATACTCAATCCGAAGAGTGAAGACTGATATCACGATCACGCATCGACACGGTGTAACTAACAATTATACACGCTACGTATGCATCAACGTGCGCAGGAAGGGAATAACATAGGTAACAAGCACGAACAAACGGGAATCGTGCTAGAGACGAACTCGTTGTTGCTTAGCGATAGGGCATGAGTTATGTAAAATTTGTACAACTGCAACAAGAAACAAAAATTTACTGTACTGTACTTGTATACCATGATAACTGAGGCGCAGCTCTCCTGCAGGAAATAAACTTGCAAACAAATAAGATTTTTGATTTGATTAGTAAAACTGTAAGAGCACATCATTACCATGCAAAGCAAGCCTGTATGTCAAGAAAAAAACGGCTAATAATTCTCTTTAACGCTGTATGTACGTACACGTATTTGCTACGTTAAGAGGTTCATAGAACGTAGAGAGTACCTGCTCTGTAATCTTGAGATACGTACGGCACTTACAAAATGATTACAGTATCAAATCGATTTTCGAGCGTCGTGTCAGTTCAATTAATACGGTAACATGCAACTATTTACCGAAAACTAATAATTCCGGTACCAGAACTGCGACCACGACGGGTTTATAGTTGTTCGTATGGCACATCAAACTTTACTTAGGTAATTCTATTCCCAAAATATACCGATCGATCTGGTGAATATGACGCGATGATTCGAAAGACGCTATGGATCCCATTACCCGGACCTACAACGCACAATATGCCAACAAACGGTTCCTGGCTCCAGAAACGCTATTCCGCGAAGACCTAAGCCGGATCACTGCCTCGCGATTGTTACCACATTGGACGACCGCTGATAGCGATGAGGGTAACATCGAGCGGCCGCTCACGACGGTCCCGCAGAATTCACGGCATCAAGTGTTTGATAAGTACCGCACGCCCGGACTAGATTACACTCGAAACACCCATAGAAAGCGTCCAAAGCCAGAAAAGCCAGAAAAGCCAGTACGTCCAAAACCAGAAAAGCCAGTACGTCCAAAGCCAGAAAGAAAGCAGCGTTCATCACGTAGAAGGAGTGCGTGTGATGTGGCACGGTACTGGTCGAGGAACAACTTCCGCTGCATTGAAGAATATCTCCAGAAGACCGCGACGCCGCGAACAGCGAGATGTTTCAAAACTTCGCGTTCTCTCAGGCATCAGGGTGATGCACCGCTGCGGTTGGGCGGTATCAGAAGAAAAACATGGAAATGGCGGGTAAAGTAGACCACGGTATTTGCATTTCTAACACAAGCACATGTTGGACGTGGTGAAATTGTCTCTGTAGATCCGTCCAGTAACGTCAGTTTCTCATCTGCAACTTTGGGGACGTCGCATCCGTATCGCGGCGCGCGGAAACCGGCGCGATTCGATCTACCTTCGATATAAGTCGTTGTGCAGCCGGGAAAGCGCAAATGAATGCGCCCGACAAAGAAGTAAGGTCACGTTAAGGCCATGCAGAATGTAACACAATAACGATTTGTTGCCGGCATTGGCAAACATGAAGGTAGCAGGTTTATACTTATCATTAGCTGCATGGTACGAAAAAAGCAGAATATTGCCCCTGCTCGTTATGGCAACAGATCGAAAACGGTAACGCGATCATTACTTATTGCAACGCTGCTGTTACTAATGGCGCCAGTCATTACTGAAGGTAACGGGTCGTTACTAATATCGTTTGTATAATGGCGTCACTACTAGTGAGAATACGGTGGTAATCTATTACCTAATTCTTTTGTTGGCAGGTCCTTTCCCTTCTGTCGGTGACACGGTTCCCTATTTCGAGCAGCGCTCACCGTCCACCAGCGACATTATCCGTTACTTGCTGGAATCCCATCCGGGCTTTCAATCGCCGGATGGTTTCCGTCCCGCAACACCGACAATCACCGTCGGCGGTGAGAAACATGAAGTGAACAACAGTTTCATCCAAAAAGTGAACGAGGTCCTGGAGGATGAGCGGTTCGCCCGGCACACGTCGACATCCGACTTGAAAGCGCTGACTGCCACCAAAGTGATTGTACACGCTTGGGAAAACGATGGTTTGATCGACAGTCTGAAATTATTGGAACACGATCCGCAGGCTGTATTAGGCGGATCTTTGGAGGAAATCCAACTGGACCGCATGGAACCAAGCCCTAATACCCAGCGAAAATCCAGCGCCCGGGAAGTAACTGAGATAAAGAAGATTCAAGGAAACCGAACTTCGGAAATTTCAAGCGCAACTGATTTATGTGAATCGCGTTTTTCGTCTCCACAACAACCGCCCGCGGCAGTGGTTACCAATGTTGTACCGAACGGCCATCATCCCGAAGAGACCGAACCTTTTCAGCCACCGGAACCACTTGCAAATAATACCGGTTACGAAACCCGAATGTCAGTGAACGAGAAAAAGGAAAGCTCTCGTTTAAGTAGACAGCCAACGGTACCACGTATTTCGCTCAATACCCGGGAAAAGACGGTAACGATGTATCTGGAGGAGAGCAACAACGATGAACCTGGTGCATTTCCGGGACCACGATTAACCGTTACTTCGCCACATGGTGCCGACATTGCGGAGCGTCGTTTGTCCGTAAAGAAGGCGTTAAAAGAAGAACAGCGTCGGCAACGCGTGGCGAGTATTGCGGCCACCATGGCTTTTAATGAGGATTTTGTGGAAGTGGTACACCGACGCACCTTGGTCAACGCCCGCAAACAGTACGCCAGATGTTCGAATTTATTTTTACTAGCGAAACAACTTTAAATTTTCCAGAACCGCCGATCAAGCCAGCATGAGTCGAAAAAGAGACAGAATCGAAAAGCGAAGTGTTGCCGCTAAGAAGAACCTCGTTAAGAACCGTCGTAGTACGGATACCCCAAAAGCAGATACTGGCGCGTTACCTTTACGTAACTCATTAATCAGTGGCAAAGAAATAAAAAAACAACGCCCTGATTTTCTTCAAGAAGCGATACCGGACCTTTTTAATAAAAATCCACGAAGTGACGAGCGGCCGATGGAGATACTAGAAACCGATACGAAAGGTCATCCTACCGAGTCAACGGATATCGATTCACCAGTAACTGGCGTTATTCCTGCTAATGTCATTCAGAGAACCCGCAAACAATCAGCATACTATCACGAACTCCGTCGGCGACTGTCGACCGCACGGAGCAGCGACCTCGGATGCCGCAGCAATCTCCCCCGGCGCCGGCGGTCCCTGTCCCCGGCGTGGGCCAACCAGTCAGTGGACGTGCGGCAAAAATATCGCTTCATCTTGCAAAAAATGACTGACCGTCAAATTCACGAAGGGAACTGGGTGGCGGCATACACCGCAGTCCAGAAGAGTCTGGAGTACTTCCCACATTCAGCAGCGGCGTATCTGCGTCGAGCCGAACTGGTCGATACGTGAGCGTTAGTACACTGATCGGTTCTTCTTTACACGGTAGTTTTCACTTTTATATTTATGGCAGTACGTGTCCGTCAGTCGCCGCTAAGGATTTCGGTCTCGCCACTACTTTGAATGTACTAGACCAACGGAACATTGGAATGGCACTGCGGCAACGTGGGTTACTGTATTTGGCATCTGGATGGCAACAGTATGCATCAAACAAGCGTTGTAATTTAGATTTAGAACAGCCGTCATCTAAGGTATCTGTTTATCAGGATGGGTCTGCGCGATATTAAGAGTACAGTGGCGTATTTTGGACATTGTCCGCAAAGTGCGTTGGCTTTAGCCGTTCACTATCATGCACAGAAAGAGTACTTCCGGTAGGTGCACTCTGAGAACGTATTCAAAGTTCTTAGCAGGTATACGACGGTATAGGACAATGCAAAAACTTAAGAAATCTCACGAAAATCTGTAAGAACCTTAAGAAGTTTAGGAATCTTGGAAACGTATCTAAAAAGTCTCGAAGGAAATAATGCACAGGTGGTTGCTCGTTACAGTTCGGAAGCATATTTCGTCCTGGCTCTTAGCCTTATACCGGGAACCAGCGAAACGGTGTGGCTGCGCTATCGGATAATGCGCGCCCTGGCGATGCTGCTGTATCGAGCAAAAAAGGTAGTTTGACCAATTAGCACTTCGATTATATCTGGACAGTTTTAAGTCACGTTTGTTGGGGCAGTTCGCACTAGCACAGAATGTGTGGACGGAAGCGTCCATGCTGCTTGGATATCCCGATTCCTTGTTCTACGTCTTTCTCGTAAGAACGGATTTACTCGTAATTTTTTCTGGAATTCCTGGTGGAATGCCGTTTTACTGTTATTTTAGGCATTATGTTGGAGAAAACTGGGAAAGCGTGAAGACGGTGCCTTATATTTACGGTTCGTGTAGATACAATTTAATACAGTATTCCCTTTCTGCCAGATACATAGTACACTTACAGAGCCATTCTGTTTCATTAAAGTAACGACCGTTCAGCATGTATCTCCAACTGTGCAAACGCCTCTGAAACGTCAGACACAAAACCGGTTTTATTACTGTAGTTAGATACTATCTACTGTGTTCAGTGAAAAAATAAACGCCCGCTTCGTCATTAAAATTTTGATCAGCCAACCTACTGGGCGGGCGATAAATTGTTTGCGCTGCTGAATGATGACGACATATCCTTTTTCCGAATCTGCAGCTCGAGATGTGCAAGATGCTTACTGTGAAAAACGGGCGCGTCAGTGCTGACGTAGAGCGCGATGTTGGGAGCGTCCGCCAATCAACACGCAAAATATCGTTTTAGATCCAGCCTTTAATCTGTAGCGGCTGTTTGATTCGCCTTGCAATGACTGACGTAGCGTCGACTGCACACGCTACGATTAGCATCGGCTGGCTTCGCTAAAATTGGCAGTCTGCAATTTTCGAAGGCACAGCTCGATAATTTTCTTTCATTATTTTACGCGCGGCTCTTCGGTTTAAACTCGCTGTTTTGGAATTTTCATTTCCCAGTTGCTGCGGTAACTCGTCATGGCTCCCGGTGAAGAAACCGTGTCCCGTCCCGCTGGAGGATCCATGCGGCCGTCTTCTCCACCGTCTGTGCCTGGAAACGAACCCAGCACTGCCACACCGCCGTCTGTGGAAGAGTTTCTGCGGATGCTGCTGCAACCGATTTCCCACAGAAAGGTGAAAGCGTACACCATCACCGCTGAACTGGGAAACGGCCAAGCCTTCACTGTCCAGGGAGAACTGTAGCGTTGGTGCAGAATTTTTTTAATTTGTCTATGTTCTATGCGATAATTGTCGTGTATGTTAATAATTTCCGTGTTGTACTGTGTTACTAGTCTGTATACTAGTCTGTGTGACAGTCTGTGTAACAGTGTACAGTCTGTGTAGTGTATGCTACTGCATCCTGTACATGCGCCGTCGCGTCGTGATGAATCTGCATGAACTGATTGAATTAAAACGCGCGCTGTGGCAAATGCTTCCTTGTCTGCTGGTTAATGTATCCGTATGTTTGCATTCCGCAAGTGTACAGTTATCAGTCCATCGGTCAACGCGCCTTGGGTTGGGCACTGTAGTAATCAGACTTACCCAGAAATGCCACAAAATGCGCATCATTTACGGTACATGTGGCTTCGGAGAAACTGTCAGATAAGCGTTCAGCATTCTTTGACAACGAGCACACCTGGCCTCATGCAGTGCAGCACAGCTGGCAGGAAAACCGGTTTGGGTGTGAAACAGAAAAACGGCTTTAAAGTGTGGGCGCAGCACGTCTTTTCGTGCAGTACAGCCGGCGGCAAAACCGGTTTATGTGTTGCAACACCGCCGGCGGCTAAACCGGTTTAATGCGTGCAGACTGAAACACTGGTTTATCGTGTGGGCAGTGGGCACAGTGCTTCAGTCAGCGCAGCCGGCGGAAAAACCGGTTTTATGCGCGCAAGACTGAAAACCGGTTTATTTTGTGGGCACAATTTTCGCCGGTTGTGCCATTAAAATTTGGTAGATGCAAAACACGGGTACTGGCTCCGTGCACGGTATTTCAAATTTCAGTGTTTTTCGTTTACATGTTGGCAGTTTTTAACTTTCTTCACGTCTTTCGAATTTTGATGGTAACATGATTTTATACGTAGTTTTTCTCACGTTTAATTCACTGGTCAGTCACAACAGGTCTTTCTACCGCTTTTCTGACTCGTTTTTCTCGTGTCGTACTCTGGGAATAGTTACTGGCATTTTTTTCTCTTTAAATAGCTCATATTCGTCTTTAAATAGCACAAATTCCTTAAAAGAACTAAACTATTTCCCTTCTTCCGTAGCGAATGTTACAGAAATTGCCGTCTTCGATTTTTCTTACTGTGACTTTCAAGTACTTCATAGCACTGCACTGACAACTATTACCAATTAACATAATATTTACTGTGTACAATAAAATCTGCGGTACTACTAACTGTATTTTGTTGAAAAATTATGGTTTAACTGTTTAAGTGAGTCAAGTTCCACAGTAATTATGCAGAAAATTGCGAAATAAAAGAATACCAAAAAGTATAATTAATAATAAAAGTTTTAAATAAATAAATTTAAAAATAGATAAATGACCCGTGCAGGAATCCCGTGCACGCAGCCAAAACCCGTGCGGTCCCAAAAGGTCATCCATGCACGCAGGCAACACCCGCGTTTACCCGTGCACGCGGCCATAATGTGAAAATTTGATCTAAGTTTGTTGCAATTGGGTCTAACTGGAAGGGATTTGGTCTAAAATTTGGTCTGACTGGAATGGATTGTTCATCTGGATCATGTGAACGTTGGCTTTTGTAAAACATACTGATTAAAATTATTACACCCATGTTGTTTCGTATCCGACGGAAACAGAATAACTTTCTAAGACTAAGTGGTACACTGCTTGCAAGCCAACACTCACAATGTGATCTGTTTTTAAAGGTCATACATTTCATGCCTCGAAACAGAGAAATCCCAACAAAATCGAATACGTCGGGTGTGCGTGCAGTTGCTACTGGGCGATATCGATCAGGTTCATTATTTCCGTTCATATTAGTTAAATTTCACGATGTACCTTCAAACTGATTGGTTTCTAACCGATTTTCATAGGCGCTTTGCGAGCTGCAAAGCTGTCACCCCATGGAACTGGTTAGCGATCCGAAGCTTCTGGTCATCGCAACCCGGATATTCTGGAGCAGGGGGAACTTTTCCTCATCCCGCAATTGTCTCCAACAAGCTTCGAAATCAACGGTGGCACAAAATGTACTCCTCTGTTTGCGACGTTTTTTAACGATATACGTTTCGTAGAAAGTATCGGTACCTCAACGTGATGGGATCGATTGCAGTTTGCGCACACTGGTTTTCCTGCAGATTCTCATGCATGTACGTCAGCGACGCTATCAGTCAGCGTACGAAATGTGCACGATCGGCCGGGAAAAATGGGATGGAGACTTCCGAGTAAGATCGTTGCGTTACCAGCATAGTACTTAAAGCAATGTTATCGTGCTGTTTACTGATAATAATTATTTACTACAAACAAAACCGTTAATTTTCTCGTTAATTTTGATAGTTCACCGCATGGTTAGCATTTATCAAGTACGAATGCGGATTCGACTGGGAGCAGAAGCCTCTGCCGATTACCTTGATCCAGCAGTGTATCAAATCTGATCCAAATAACTGTATGGTAAGCGCCGTATCCGGCACACACATTTCATAAATAATCGGTTATTACTCTTCGCATTTGCAGTTGTGGTACGCGTGGGCGCGCTGCGTATTCTATCAGCGCAAGAACCACAAGAAGGCTGTGGTGTATCTGACGGCCGCTATTAAATTGGCACCGACGTTCTACGAAGCGCGCTTTTTTCGGTACGTTACTGCTTTACTGGATAGATTTTATTAAGATGACGTCTTTGCCGGTGTTTTGTAGAGCCTGCATCAGAGCGAAACTCGGAGCAGCATCCAGTGCACTGAACGACTTTCAAAAATGCTGCGAAGTCTACCCGAAGAGCGGTTTATGCTGGGCGGCCATCGGCTACTGCTACCTGCTTTTACACCAAAATAAGCCGGTACCTTAGGAGCAGCAGCTGAATAAATCCATAATTTATATCTCTAGTGACTTTTTTCTAGGCGCTGACAGCGTTTTTGAAAACGTCTGCACTGCCATGGGCTACCCGACTAAATTGGGTATTTACGCTTTTTTAGCCGGCTTCGTTTTTGAAATGCGAATAAACCGCTGCGTTGATAGTTGTTGTGCATTCGGGGATGGACGTTCTGGAAGTTTGGCATGAATAACCGCGCGGTCAACGATTTTATCATTTTAGCACGACAGTTTCCCAACAATGTATACCTGACCAAATGCCTGGTTTTGACGACTTTGCGGTAATTTTGCCTGCATTTTCAGCATACTGTATTTAAAATTCAGAAACCGTTGGATCTAAATTTGCAGAGCGAATGGACCGCAGTGCGCTGCCGCTGTGATACATCAGCGCGGTGTGCGACTGGAATTGCATCCGACGCTCTGGGTACGGGCTTTTCGCAGAAATCTGGCTTTGCTCGTTCGTCAACAGACGAAACCTATTTATCAAACATTTCGTTTATGACAGATGATCTTTGCGTTATCCGGATTTCATCGTTCACATCCGGCAACGTATGACCGGGCGCTAATTATCCTGCAACAAATCATCCACATGTATCCACAACACTACCTGGCGCGCTTTAACTCCGGTGTGGTGTTCTACTGGAAAGAACGTTTTGCGCAAGCCGCACTGATTTTCGATATGTTGCACAGCTTTGGAAAAGCAGGTATTTTAATGTGGTTTGCATGCGAAACGTTTTGAATGCATTACTTATGACATTGTAATATACGATACACGCTGCTGCTTATCAACCAGCTTTAGCAAGCATTTACTAGCAACGAATTTGATCATGCGAGGACTGGCATGTGGCGGGCGCTTCTTTTACGAAGTCATATAGCAAAAGCGTTATGACTGCGAAAAGCATAAATATCCGTAAAATATTTGCTAGATTTCTATTGGCGTGCCGCGTGTGTATAATATGTTTACAGTGTTATTAATAACGGCGTGGTCGCATGTAGATCTTCCGTGCCGCAATGCCACCTACGGAGCCCTGGGTACCTCCTTGTTTTTGGCGTCCGAACATTCCAGTTCCTTTAGCATACTTCAAGCAGCCGCCAACAGCCAGTACATGGATGAATACTTCTACATCTTTTACGGATATTTCAAAATGGTCAGCCAATAACCGACGACGCGCGAGATTGAAAAATCATTACTAAACCGAACTACCATATTTGGTGCAGGTGATGAAGTTGCCAACCGACGCCGAGCACGCTTTTCGCAAAGCCTGCCATGTCGCCACATCCAAGGCCGAAACGCAGTTTCTTATTGGCGGACTGAATATGCTGCTGAATTACACCGGAAAGGTCGCCAACACTCACAATCGTTTTTATCAATCATGTGTAATCGGTTACCGTTACAGGCGATCCCGTATTACACGGCGCTTATTAAGGGGACAGACGAGCGATACCGGAATCTGGCGTATATGAACCGATGTCTTGCTTATGTACGCTCAAAATTTGCATATTCTTTACGGTTTAATTCAAATTCCGCTTTTCAGAAACAACTCGAAATTGTACAAGGAAGCGCTAGCGGATATCGGTAAGGTCTCGACAGACGCTGTAGGTTTTACCGAAACTGACCGGAAGATGGTGGCGCGGATGCATGTGGAACTGAAGAAGCAGCTACTTAAATTGCGCAACACATTTTGATGCCGTTTACAGTACAATAACCGGTATTACTGGAAGGCGTTTATTACTGTAAGTTTTGGGTTTATAACTTGATATTGATAGTAGTTGATAGTGATATATTTATCATTTATATATGCTTAACTTTGCCGTGATGCAACGATTCAAATGACTGTCAATGGATGAGCGACATCGAACCGAGATTAGCCGCAATTGTAATCTGGAAATGGGAATATTAATCAGTACATTAAGATGTGATCTTTACCATCGGCGCTATATGTACAGATTATGAGTAATAAAAGTAATATTTTTATAGGCAACAGCCACCACACATAACAAAATGCTTGTGCTCTTGCCACTAACAAAAAGCACTCATTTAAACATTGAAAAAACAACCAAAATCGTTAATGATACTCGTCCTCTTACAATGCGCGTTCAAAGTTCCTACAACAGCTGCATCATTTCTTTTAACAACTCTTAAACTTAAACGCTTTATAAAAGTTTGTGCAAATTGATTGCCGTACTCAAATAGTCAAATAAGAGAGCTTGACAACTTGTTTCGGTTCTCGGTAATCCCAAGTGGCCACGCAACCGGAAACCGGCGCAAAAAAAACGGTAAAAAATGACCGAGTACAAACATTTCCGTCCTAGGTTTGTGTAATTGTCCCGTAAAAACATATATTGGATTACCGGAAGTGTGGTCAGATGGCACTGTCGTTCCGGTGCTAAGTTTCGGGCCGACTTCAATCCAGGCAGACTGTCCACCGAATGTAACCTGAACTGCCGAAGAGAATGTAGTTTGCCGCTTAAACGGCACCTACCGGCATACACTTGTCATATGTCAACTGCGGCCCAGTTCACAGCAGCGGGTCAAATGAACAACTGCCAACTTATCGATTTAACCGATGCCGCTCTAAATGGTGAACAAATTCAGGGACGACATTCCCCGATTAAGCTTTCTCAAGCTCTTTTTCCAGTGCACCTCCATAAACCCTTTTGCACACAGTTCTGGTACAATTCCATAGGCGCTTTTTTCGTAAACGCTTTTTTCGTAAACGCTTTTTCCGTAAACGCTTTTTCTGTAAACGTTTTTCATAAAAGCTTTTTCCGTAAATGTTTTTTTTTGCGTTAAGCGCGTTTCTTTGCGTAAACGCTTTTTCCGTAAACGCTTTTGCATAGACGCATTTGCTTCATCAGGATATTTTGGTTTCTCATTTTAAGAGCTTGCTAAAATGAAGTCACCGGCAAAAGAAACCATCATCCCCATGTTCTACTACCGGTGGATGCAGATCCTGGGTATTCTCCCGTACAGCGTCCCGCCCACCACCCACTATGCCATCCTCCTCAAACTCTGGTCGCTCTTCATCTTTGTCATCTTCCTGTTCCTCATGCGCGCCAGCATCCTCTTTCTGTACGGGCTGCACGCCACCCAGCTGCAGAATCTGGAGCTCTTCAGCGTCATCCAGTTTATGTTCGCCAATACCCTGTACATTCATGGCGGGCTGATCACGGTCCTGTGCGTCGTCCAGATGCGCCGGCTGTATACGGTGGCGCGATTGGTCTATTCCGTGGTCCCTCCCGCGGTCCGCGCGACCACCCGCGTCTGGCCGGTGTTGGTAGGAGTAACGTGGGTGTTTGTTGTCGCCAACGTCGTGGCGATGGTGGCGCCGTATATTGATACTCGCCTGCAGAGCACCCAAACCTGGAAGAAACCGGTGTTTCGCGTTCTGTCTACCGGTAATGAGAACGACACCGGCGTGAGCTTTTACATGCATTTCGCGGCGCTGATCTTCCAGGTAAAGTTAAACGGCAAACCGTGTTAAACGTTTTTGAAAACAAAATGCAGTCTGATTTGAAAACGAAATGCACAACAAAAAATATTTCGATAACGAAATTTGTTATTAAGATAGTTAACATTATTTTGCCAAATATGGTTTTGCCGTTTTTTTTAAAACAGTATAAAATTTTGATTCTGGGTGCAAATACCTACCAAATATCAGCTCTTAATTTCGTGATTTTTTTGGCTTAAAATTGTTTTAACAAACTTTATGCTACTCTTGTGTTCTTAGGTATAGTTTCGTCAGGATTCTTAGCCTTCTCTAGGTTTCTTGTACTTTCTTATGTTTTCTTAGGTACTCAGGCTTCTCAGTTATTAGGTTACTTAAGTTCCTTAGATTTCACAGGCTTCTTTGATTTCTTTGGTTGACCTGGTTTCTTTACGGTTTTATTATGATTGCAGCGGAGAAGGATAAACTTTAAAAAGCTTCTTCCTGAACATTATTTTCAGGGTATCGTTCTAAGCTGCAACTGTACGGTGCCGTATGGCGTGCTTTTCGGCATGGTGCACTATCTGGGGAAGAGCTTCGACACGATCCGCCAGGAAGTGGAATACTTCAGTTTAGCTGCCGTCAAACCCGACGAGATGATTAAAAGTATACCGCGACTGCAGCGTTTATACGGGCAACTGGTATACTCTGTACAGGAGGTAGATGCGCTGTTCGGGCCGTTGGTGTTCCTGCGTTGCGTTATCCTGTTCCTGACGTGGATCGCTGTCATGGGGGAGCTGCTGAATCTAGAGCGGGATGCGGTGAATTGGGTCAACTGTATGGTGGGCGGGATTGGGTTCGTGTGTTTTATCGTGGATCTGGTGGTGTTAATTCGCTTCAGCGACAAGGTCAGTTCGTATCGGCCACGAGCAGAATACAGCGACCGGCATCGCAACGTACTAGTTCCAGTGGGAAGCGAAATAGCTGCCCTGGGCACAATTAGAGAATCTAAACTCAAAATATTGTTTTTTTGGCTATTAGAGAATGATATACTCCGCCTTAAAGATATTTTGACCGCGGGCAACAGTACAAAGTGGCGAAAACGTTGGGTAGCCATTTAAGCACTCAAATTTTGTATACAACAGCCGAAACATAGAACCAGTGGTCAAGTGAAAAAGCTGAACCTACGTACTGCAGACGTAGGTTCTGGTGCATAAAACTCTGTGGTATGATAGTTGCAGTCTGACCTGCACCAATATACTGTATTTCTGTTTGTCGATGATGGGCTTCACGTACTGGTAGTTTTGCTTTTGGTAATATTTTCCAGTTTTCCCAGCGCCGACATGCGTGCGCTGAGTTACGCCCTGTGGTTGATGCAGTTTTGGGTTACCCCAGTTTTATTAGTCAATAATACGAGTTTTCGTGTGTCATAAGTTTTCATTAAGTAACGTAATCAGCCGATGATCAGCGAAATACTGGAGAAAATTATGTACTGCTGACGAATTGCGCTTCGTAGGCAAAAGACATCAAACGGTCAATGAAACGCCTGCTAACCGTGGTAACCGACGAACGAGTGGAAAAACTAGTAGAGAATTTTGTCCAGCGCTGCGAGAATGATGACGGTGTCATAACCGGAATGGGATTCTTTCACGTCAACCGAGATTATGTTACGATTGTAAGTACTATGCATTTATCTAACAACGGCACCTCGTCGTTGCGGTAATAACTTTAGCGAAGAAACCTTTACAACTGGTTTGTGTAATGCCGTCCTTAAAAAATTCTTCACTTAGGTCCTGCTTCTAATTCTAAGATAACGAAAACGTAATATAACTGTTTTATAAAGGTCATCGGGATAATTGCGACGTATTTTCTACTGATCTACCAGTCACGCGATCAGAAACTGGATCTTCGCACACTGCGCACAGTTATCGATCCGACAAACGCGAGCCATTTAGCGTAGAGCAATCTTCCTGCTGGTGTATTATTTTGGGTGACACACGGATATTTTGACATCCGCTTATATCAATATGTCGTTGTTTTTGTTATTGATTTCCACGCTTTAGTAGCAGTACCTATATTTGCAAAATTTATTCGTTTAGTACATAACGAGCGCTTCCCACATTGAGGAAATAATGCAGATTTCATCGTTCAGGGTGAATTCCACATAAGGAAACCGATATTCGAATGCGCAAACAACATCTGTTCAAACAATAAAACGATGAAACCGGAACCACGCAGTTTTCGTAGAGCATGGCTATTTTCGGGGGATAGCCGTGGCGTTGAGCAGGATAATATCGGCTAAGCTGTGATATTGTATGTCATCTTTGCGCATGATGGCGTTAACCTTCACTTGAACATCCCGGGCTTGGTAGATGAGGATGAGGTAGGTCAAGAATATTGCCATCAGCTGCAAACAAGTTGTAACTGAGTTACACAACGCAATCGACGCACATCATTACCGTAAATTGATAAGTATTCAAAAATCAAAATCCATAATACTATATAGAATTAAGTAATTAGTGTGACTGCCATAAAACCCCGAAATCCGGGGCTCCTTAAGAAAAATCTTCCGGAGCAATGTTAAACGTTCAGTTCAGGGTACGCGGTTTGTAATTACGGGTACGCGGGTACGCGTTTGTTCAGGGTACGCGGATTAATGACATACAGCCAGAATATATTCCCGCGTAACACTAAAGCATCCCATGGCACTGAAGGCCCGGTCGAAAGCGTTGCAGGTGCCAATAAATTTATCACATTCATCACGGATTTCCGGTGCGGGATCACTGATAACAATCCTTCGCAATGCCCTTTGAACAGCGGATACCTGTTTCCGAGAGCAAGAAACATATTCAAAAATTCCAAGTCATGGGAAATGTACGAGTATTAAACATACGAGTATTAAACAATGTACGAGTATTAAACATACGAGTATTAATCGTAAACAATGTACGAGTATTAAACATACGCATTGGCTTCTTATTAAACTTTATTTGTCCCATTACTCAGTATTTATTCCAAGGCACACTTAAACCAAACTCAGCAAAATAGCACATTAAGTCAATATAATAGTGCCACAAACTTGTTTTTTTCGGTCAGCAATCTTTAGATACTATATATTCGGCAAAGGTTATACTTCCAAAATTTGAGCGAAACTTTACTACTATAATCAATCGTTTTAAAACCTCGTTACAGTCTCTGGGTGACCTTTATAAAAATATTTATATAACAACGTAACGTTACCGAAATAAACAAAAAATTCCAAATAACTACAGTTGTTGACCCAATATAGGAAACACCCTTAAGGTCATAAAGGTCACGTCACTTACTGTATCGAAGAACAGCGTCAGCGCCAGCAGCAGCACAATACTGTTGATCATCATAAACGACGAGGAGATCAGCAGCGTGCGATCCGTATGATCCGCATCAAAATGTAACGTCTCACTGGCCAACGCACACCACGTCAGCAGCGCACAGAAGCAGTCAACGGCAATGAACACCCCGAACGTGTCACTCAACAAATCCTTGGCGAACAACAACCGCTGATACCGCAACCGCAACGCCTCAAACGCAATTTCCCGCTCCGGGAACTCGCCAAGTATCCGCACAATCACTTGGAACTCGGTGCGCAGATGCAGGGCCAGCGTAATGAGGATCCCGTAGGGTACCGTGATGGCACAGTACACGGAGGATTTGTGGATGAAACGCAAGATTTGGGCGACGTAATTGCGGACGGGGTAGCCCCACACGGATAGAGGGTCGCGGTACCAGTAGTCTGAAGGCTCCGTGGCGCTTTTGTAGATCAGTTCGGTCATGGCGCCGGATATGGCAAAGGTCACGTTGTATACCGCGGTCGCCCTCCACCGGCGGTCTAGTTTCCGTAAGGTTTTGGGGAAGCAGAGATAGGAGCGGACCTCTAGCTCTACCTAAGGGTGAAACTCAAACACTTCGGAATCATTTTTGAAATGACCTGAGAATGAAACGAACTTTGAAAAACTAATCGAAATTTGAAAAATAAGAAGCGATTTTTTAAACAGTGTTTTCGGAAATTTTTCGCTTTAAGCCACTGACTGATTAAAATAATGATAACCCGTCTATGTTTATCATTTTATCGACGGCCTTTCGTCAAATCTTTGTTAAATGCAGTCTTTTCTTCCCTTAAAAATGGTTCCATAAAATATTGTACGAAAATGTTGAGCGCTCCAAAGTATTCGGGGCCGTAGCAAATTAACTATACGCAGCGACCGATTTTGGCTGCATCAAAGTGACCTTTCTCACAACTTAAAAAAACTTGATTTTCCCATTTACAGAGTAGAGCACGCGAGGGTCTCGTTGATTTTGAAATGAGAAAAATTAATTTGATTTGATGTTTGAAATTTAAAACCTAAGAATTGTGGTTTGACCCCTAGCTTCACCTGAGTATAGAGGTTCTTCATCTGCACGGCGCAGAGGATGGCGATGATGAGGTACTGCGCCAGGAACATGTTGATATACGTGTACTGGATCAGCGCGTAGTGGTCCAGCTTGCTGACCTCGTCGCCTTTGACGTCCCACATGACAGCGCCGGCGATTTGCAGGAGGATGGCCTGCAGGATGAAGAGCCCGCCGCTCCACAGCATCCACAGGAGGTCGGACCGCGAGAGCCCGGGGGTGTGGGAGAGAGAATACGGGTGAAATCCACATACCTGCATCCAGCGGTAGTAGTAGTGCGGGATGAGCGGCTGGGGAGCTGGCGGTTCCTCGGTGTCCTCCGCCGGCATGCTGATGCTGCATTGGGAGGGCGTAGAACAGTGGGGAATAGTGCAGATCGAGAGATCAACTGGTTTAATAAGAGTTCCGGGGATTTGGAAGTATAATACTCGCTATTGCAGAAATGGGAGAAACTGTGGGGAAATTGTTTATGCGAGCAGGGTGGGATCATGTTGCAGTCATCTGACTGAGGTACACAGCAGTACAGAAGCATGGTGGTACGCGCGGATGATGGGTGTGGTAGATCTGTAAATAAAATCGTAGTGCACGACTAAATGTAATTACGCACATGTGACTCTGTGAGCAATCTTACAATTATTAACATAAAAGCGGTAAATACAGTATTAGCAAAGCCCGGGTACGGTAGTTTTTGACAGTACTTGAGGACGTACTGTAAGTTTGTAGGTACTGTACGGAAAATAAAATAGTGAGTATGTAAATACCTATTTTTATTGGTACTTACAATTACAGATGCCATATTAGGCTTTAAAAGCATACAAGTTGAAAACTACAGTACTCGTAGTTACCCATTACGTAGTTGTAAGGCTTGGTACCCTTATCCGCCGCAGCGCAGCCAGGATCTCCTAATTCAGACAAAATCAGAAAGCCCTTGTTACGAAAGTGGGAAATCACGAAGCAGAAGAACCGTAACCTGGATACGGCACTTTTTAATAAAATTTAACAAAAGAGATAAACTAAACATATAATTATCATCATACATACAATACGTTGAATGACAGTGCTTACCTACTCCGCTACTCGTACATAAATTAGTATGGACATGACAACGTGCGGAGTTTTGGGAAGCACAAGAAAAAAAATTGCTTAATAGCTGCGCTTCGACCTGCGAATGCTGACAAAAAGTTCAAGCTTTCGTAGCAATCGTGATAATTTGCACCACAATCAATCAGTCTTCATAAAGCAACGAATAGACAAACTACCGGTGTATTCTATAGAGCGGCACTCGTTGCCCAGCAATAAGCGCTGTATACAGTACACAGAGATACTGAACTGGGACACATTTATTCAACTTTCAAGTTTCATATATTTTTTGACTAACAACAATTACAGCCGGTAATGTCGGCTGCCATGTTGGCCGGAAGCTGACTAAGAGGTGTTTACAGGTGTTGGCCAATGTTGAAATCCGCAGACCTGACAATGCGGTTAGGTAGAGCAGAAGTAAGAGTACTAGTAAATAGAGTATTATTATATCACCAGCGCGATGATTCTATTAACCAAGCTAAGAACCGCTTTGATAAAGAACTGCAAACCCGGTTGGCCGAAACTAGAGGAACGTCACAAAGGTCAGTGGAAGAAATCAGATGCCATTTACACCGCCGATCTGAAAAAGTATCAAGATGAAACAGAGGCGCAGATACAACGCTTACACGAGGAAAATATTTCCAAGATACGCCAGCTTTTGGATGAGCTGTTGAACAAACAGGAGAGAGGACTACAGCGTTTGATGGAGAATCATGGGAAATTAAAAGAACGGTTAGAAAAAGAGCAGAACGATAATTTCCAAAAAAAATGTCCAGCTTGGAGCAAAAAAATAACCAGGAGAACATCGCACTGGAAAAGCGATATATTAAACGAATAGAAGATTTAAGAAAAGGTCATGAACGTGAAATCGACAATCCCCGTCTGGAATCGACTGATAATCAAGCTGAAGTGGTTAAAAAACTGGAAATCTCCCATTTGAAAGAAATCACGGATATAAGTAACAATCACACGGAGGAGATTGAACGGCTGAAAAATGCGCATGTGCTGCAAATAAAAATCATTTATCTGGAAAACGGCCACCAAAGACTTTATTATAAATTTATAAGTAGGTACTCGCGTCCATAAAGCTTAAGCCATCCCTAAAGCAAGTAAGATCGTCCATAAAGGCTAAAGCATCAAACGTTCACCGAAGGGAACGAAGAGCAGAACTCCTCTGTAATCCTAACCAGGGGATACGTCATATACAGAAACGTGTAGAAGCGCATCGCATGATGCATTTCTGCCGTACTAAGACACGAAATTACGGATACTCGTACATGTACAAGCCTGTCCCGTAATTCCTATCGCATCAACACAGCGGCAAATGCAAATTCACGGGTTACACCACTCCATAAGGGGCGCGCCACGTCACCACACTACTTTTGCTTTAAATGCATTTCGACACGGTGGTTGCTTGCCAACTATCCGTCTAAATTAGAAACGGTCGACACAAATTACAAAAAAATTTATTACCTTGTCTTCTTTATCACATTATTTACTCGCACATTCGTAATAGTTATGACAGGGTGATGCCGGTAAGCTATCTACCGCGATGTTTGGGCGAACGGATGGGCAGATTTTGACGCGCCAAAGCGCCTCCATATAACTACGTACAAGAGCGAGTATACAGGCATACGAACCAAGCCGAGACGTGCGGCCTAGCTCTAATTGCATCTCAAACGTGAATGCTAAATTAAATTAATGTTAAACAAGCATTAAACCAGTAAAACTCACGCAACATAAGTACGAACAGCGGAATTAGGTTTCTTAGGTTTCCCTTAAGATTTTTGGGGTCTTCGAAAATTCCTATTAAATGCCAAAAAACAATGTTCGCCGATAAATTGTATAAGAATGTAGATTTCCGTATACTGATTATCTTACATTTTGAGAGGAGTGAATTTGTCATCGTATTCGTGGAACATGTACAATATATTTATACTTCGTATTGTAAGGGCAGCCGCTCATACCGCAAACTTCGCGCTAAATTCTTCTCTGTACCTTACGGTAGAAATTATAAATACGGATAAGAATACTTGTGCAGCGCTCTTTTTCGGATTCCGGCATACAGGGCCAATAATCTCGTAAATTCTGTTGTTTTATTGAACACCAATAAACATATACTCGTACCGAACGATAGGTCAGAGGCGACGAGCCATCCAACTCCGTTTTATCGTGGTACGGGTGTGTAACCCTAGTTGAATCTTAATACTGAGTTACCGTTGCATTATGTATTAAAGGAGAATATCAAAAACAATGGTTGCTGGAATTAATTTTAAATGTTCGACCTTGTCGTTCGGTCTTTTGGATCGGGTATTAGTGTATTGCCATCTCTCTCCATGACGAACATTTCAAGCGAATCAAGCCAGCATTGTTATTCTCCTTTTAACATATAAAATTTACATATTAAAAGGAGAATAACAATGCTGGCTACATACCGCATACACGGTTGTTGAGCACCACGACCGGCAGCGGCTTTACGCGGCATAACAGCAGATACAGTACTGTAACTGAAGTAATGCATGCTTTGTGTATTATCCACGCGGGCAACGCCCATGCGGACAACCAAAGAAACTGTCATATTACAATAATGTCATAATAAGCGTACTATGTAGCTCTTTAATAGCTCCGCAATTTTGTTTTTAATGACCCTTTTAGAGATCAGTAACGGGGTACGCCGATTTAGTGTCAAGTCTTGTGTTTAGGCTATAACAACAAGGCTTTTAGTATCTTTCTAACATGCAAACAAACCAAATAAAAAAATGTGTACTGTAGTGGCTCGCACATCTTGTACCACAGAGTTGGTGTACGGGAAAAATGTGCATCCAATATACACACTCTAACCGGGCAAAATGCACGCCTACGAAATAATGCTTGATTTGACTTCAAGATGAACTCTCCTTCTGAATCTGTCCAGAATCAAACATTTTCTTTAAAATTGTAATTCACCTTAGAAAAGAAGCTCTGTATCCTGAGAACTCCGAATTGTTCTGTAGCTGTAGAATGTTGACGCTGATTGCTGAACGTACCCTCACTCTGCAGGGGCACCCCAAAACCACAACAAATCAGTGTTTGAATTCGAGCTGACAGCAAAGATTTAAGTTAATGGCTGCTTTTGAGCATAAATTTAATTAATAATTAGAACTCTAATTTTTTTTAATATTCAAGATTATGCCTCGGCATAATCTTGAACAATATTCAAGATTACGCGGATTATCACTCGCTTGGGACGTGACCTGTAGACACTGTTGCGCTTTCACATGTCAAAGGCCACTTCCACCACAACCGGAGCGGCCGCCATGCAAGCAGAGTTACGGAAATCAGGACTATATTCCTATCTGGTTGGCCGCTACCTATTCGTCCGATCGCCTTCGAAACACTGGGCCCGTGGGGACCGTCGGCGATCGCCATCATCAAGAACTGGGAAAAAGACCTGCAGCACACCGGAGAAGCACGCTCGCACGAATTTCTGCACAGCGATTGTCCATAAATTCAACGGGAAATGCGGCGTCAGTGCTGGGCACGATGGAAGGACTGGATAAGCTGAACAGAAATTTCCGGCAATTTGACGGCAAAATTAATAAATTACTTTGAATTGTAAGTACATATGTAAGGTCTTTGAATTGTCTGATGACCGATCAATCTATCACAACGGATGACCACTGAGCCTGAGGCACAGACCACGGACCGACTTGCAGTGGCCTGAGAGACAGCGCAGATCTGAAGGCGCAGGCTGATAGCAGAGCGATTTTGTTTGGCTGAACCGTGCACCTGTGCAGTGGACCATTCAGGCAAGCCGATTACACAATCGGCTGTACTCTGTACTGTACCAGCCCGATTCTACAGCCACGCATCGCATTTTCAGTGCTTCTCTTTTTATCCTGACAGTTCTTGCCGTGCACCATTCGATAATCGATCCATTCGCTTTACTGATATTCTGTTTGTTGTTTTTACTTTTTCAGTTTCCAAATTTTACTTGTGACTTTTCCTGTCCTTGGTAAACAACCTCCTCTCTCTAGACTCTAGTAGAAACCAGCGATCAGCTAAACGTGGTTTCGTAGGTTTCCACGCGTGACGCAGCTGCAGCCAAAATCCAGGCAGCGATGTCTGTACGCGTCAAGCTGTGCGATTCCGTCACCAGCAGCAGCACCATGCAGGCCCCCAACATCCGCTACATGAAACTGGATGCCAGCGCTAACTACGCTGTGCTCCAGCAGCGTGTCCGGGATTTGGTGGGACACGACCAGTTCCGAATGTTCTGGAAAGGTAAACGGCACAAAGCACAGCAACCTGTAAACTATACCTACCTTCTTCAAACTATGTCACGATAACGTTTATCTGTCGGAGATGGTACTACCTGATTTGTTTTATTTTCGAGGAGCCAAGCCACTCTAACAGATCCTTATCCGTAGAAGAACATCAGATATGCTAGGCTAGTCAAATCACCAACTCGTTAAACACCACTTATGGGGACGCTAGAGAAGCAACACGTCACGATGTTGCTATAGGCTAATCATAATACTGGCACATAGGCGGTGAAAAAGCTACGTCCTGCACATGCACTTCAATGGATTATCGGTATGGCTGTTTTAGATAGCAATGGTGAAGAGCCCGTGTGCGGCTGTGACGATGAACTGGAGATGGCCGTGGTGTCCCGTCCCGCCGACGGCCTGCTGACGCTGTGGGTCCGCCACTTGGCGTCATCCGCACCGTCCAGCGCGACTCCGTCTCCCAGCCGTCTGCCTCCCGTTGTTTCATCAACGGCTCCGGTATTCTCAGGTAAACCCCAAACTCCGGTAGTTTTTAACTGTGTACTACGCTTACAGCACTAAGCTCACAATGTCATGGAGAGGCTTATCTGACAGACACAACGATGATTTCGGTCACTTTTAAGGCCAAGAAAAATCAAAAGCGCGTTTACTTGTCAATTTATTTTTCTTTCGCTGTGGTTTTTGAAACACCGGGTGTCTGGAGTAAAAAAAGCTGAGTTTCAGATCAATAGACTCGGTAAGATGCTCTTTGAGAGGGTACAAGAGAAGCGGTCTATTCCGTTTCTGAAGCAGAGAATCAGTGTCGCTTTAATGCGGGGTTATGCTGCTTGTGTTCAGGAAGGTTTTGTATCGGTAAGAGACTAGACGAAGTGTACAGTATTATGTGCTGATGTAACGCGTGATTTTTTGTTTTTGACAACTGTTAATTTGAATAACCCCGTAAAGTAAGTAGAGTTTAACTTTTAAACGGTTTCATATTCTGGTCGCCGGTCACTTACAGTCTTACACCAGCCCCATGTGGAGCGCTACAAGAACTACCCTTGGGAGTTCCCAGATCTCCCGTATCTGAACTTCCATCCATTTTAGAATTTTTAGAGAAGAGATTTTAGAACTGCTACCTAGCTACCTAGCTTCAAAACGACAGCCCAGCCATTGGTTCTATTTTTGTGCCGCAGTGTGATCGTATGCGCTTGTGACTTGGCATTTTCCTTGTCAAATTGAGCACGTTTTTCCGGTGTGACTATGCGAGTGAACGGGTATCCGTATGGTTGCAGGCATGATGGGTACGGCGAGTGCCATCGCGGTGGCATTTCCTTATCCAGTCGTTCAGAGTAAGAACTCCATCACCGCCCGACGCAGCCACCAGCCCCAGCTGCCCATCACTCATACCGTGCGAGTGACGAAGAAGCCGCGACCTGCAGTGAAGCACCGGAAAAAGATGGTTTCCGCGGTGCCACCCTCACCGTCGCCGAGTCCGCCCGTGGAGACCAGCAGCGCGGTGGTGTACGAAGCGGAACCTCCCCTGGATGTCGATTCCCCGTAAGTGCGTGGAACCCACCGTGGTTCCATGTAGACGAAAAAAAGTTGGTCCGCTGTAAGACAGTTTAACAATGAAATCAGTAAGTACAGTGGACGACAAAATTTACTTAACGTCGGAACCGGTTTTGCGGCTTTAGCCTTATGCGCAACTGAATGACAGAGAAGCAGAGAGAACACGGTTGCCGCGCTTACGTAACTGCTCAGTAAGCGGATATAGCGATGAATATGCGACGCTCATTCATCGTATGCGCTGTAAGCCGACAGCATCTAACGATCCCCGTTAAGTAAATTTTGTCGGCCCTTGTTAAATGTACAACGGGATCATGCGTGTGAATAAATCGCCGGCACTGCGTTCGAACAGAAAAATACTTGTTTGCCGCGTATGTGTGGAAGTGTGCCATTACATGTTTCACAAATTTCCAAAAAAAAAATTGTGGAGTCATTTGGAACTTGGAGAAGAATTTTAGAAAGCTGATGCGGTGTACAACGACCTTCACCGTCTGTTTGGGTTGGATGGTGTAGGTTGTGCGTGGTGAGCAACATATGGGCCAATGACCCGGCTGCCGTGCTGCCCGCCGCCCCCGTCGACACCCTGCGGGGCCCGCCGTCCAGCCGTCGTCGCCGGACCACACCGGGCGCGGGTGTGGCAGCCGGTGTTTCCATCATCGCGGTGCGTATCCGTGCATCCATCTCCGCCGCGTTCGTCGTGAATTTCGACAAAAAATTTCTGGTTTAGGCGGTGTCGGACGGGGCTAGTCCGCATCGTGCGGCTGCGCCGGATGCCGGGGACGTGACGATCCCGGAAACCGCGCGGGAAGACGCCAATGGGGTTTCTTCCAATATTCCCGACGCGCTTGGTTCGTTTTGAATTAGCTGCTGGATGCATAAGCTCGATACAATAAATCAAGAATAATTTACCGATTTATTGGCGGAATTTGGTATTTATCTCTGATTGGTTCGTTTACCAAAAATATCACTTCGGGCGTTTATCTGTCCATTTGCTTAACTCTGGGTTGATATTAACATCGGTAAAATAGAATTATTTATTTATTTGTTAAATTTATTTTTTTCATAATTTATTTTCGCAAAATTGTGGAAATTTGTTGTGGTAAACGGTGACGCGTCGACTGCAGTGTCCAGCGTGGAGAGTGCGGAGGAAACGGTGCCGGAAGTGGCTGCTGTCGGTGGTGCTGGTGCGGATGGATCCCGTGGGGCGGTTGCACTGGCGACGGATCAACACGGTGCGTTTAATTTTTTCCCTTAATTTTCACCTTACTCTTTAACTCCCATTTTTTGGTGGTTTTATTGACAGAAATGGAAGTCCTGCCGTCGGCCAGCAGTGTGGATCAGTTGGCGGATGTGTCGTTGTCGCTCTCCATCAGCAGCAGCGACTCCAGTGACACCAGCCTGAACAGTAGCTTTACGGCATCGGAAACCGATTCCGAAATATGTGGTTCGTTTCCGCTGGATAATTCTGGTGATATCTTAAACCTCTGCTGTAATATTCTACAAAATGAACATAAAAATTCATAATAAATTATAGAAAATTATGAACAATTAAAAACATTATAATAGCTGGAAAAATAATAATATAACATTAAGAGATAATGCAGAATAAAATTTAGAATAAGAACTGCAGCACGCGTTGGTATTTAATAATCCAAGATTATAAATAAATAATAATAAAAAAAATAGTAAGTTTATATTCAGTACATAAGTAATTAAATGAATAATCAGAACAATAATTAAGCAAACAATAATACGTCATGTTTATCTTTATACGGTGTGGCTGTTGCAGCTCGATAACAATACTGTGTATTACTTATAACATATGTTTCCGCACGGATTTGCAGTTTCGCCGATTGCATCAGCGAATGGTGCGGGTTCGCACAGGGGAATGATCCATTCGGTCCCGTTGCATGACAGTCTGAGTCGGGCAGACTTGGCCGTTGCCGGGTCACAGCCGACCGCGGCAGCTCCCGACGTGTCCCGTGAGAATCGTACGTGAAAATTTAGCGTTCCGGATTTTGTTTTATAATTTCGCAGAAATAATAATAAATCGTTAATAATCAGAATAAAACCCAATTCCTTAAAAGAAGATTTTAATTCCGTACTAATTTTTGATTGTTAATTGCTTAATAGATCTTTATTTACCTGTACAACCGGTAAAAAAAATATAAAAATGGAATATGTAGAAGCATACGGTATAAAGTTGGCGGAATAACAATTAAAATTTGCAAAATAAAATTCAAAGAAATGCAAATTAAAATTTACATATAAAATTCTGGTGTAAATTTAGACAGTCAAAATTAGCATCGTGCATGCTCTTATAATGCGAGACAGGGATCGACATTTTACTGCCGACTGGCCTGCGGTTTGACCAGCGCATCGCGTAATTCATCGTCCATTCTCAGTAATCTTATTTTGCATTTAATTTCTGTAAATTTTAATTTGCATCTTTTTACCTTTGCGAAATTCCCATTTTGGTACGTTCTTTGAACAGTTTCAAAATTTTTACGATTTTTGAATTTATTTTATTAGCTTTTTATTTTTTACGTTTTTATATTTTTGATACATTGGTAAAATATATTACTTTTAAGCTTTGCGGAAGCACGATTAATCATTTATAATTATGCGTGTTTCCAAATTTTGTAACGTTTTTATGTAATAATATGTAATTTCAACCTAAAAGCCATGGCGAAAATATTGTGCAGTTAATGAACATTCTGTTTACCGAATTTCATGTAGACTAACCGTCTAGCGTAAGTTCACTTTGATACAGTCACCAGCTAAGTAGTTAAATTATACAAATTTTTTGTGAAATTTTAAGGAAGCGATTTAATGTGTATATTCAGGATATAGTAAACTAATTTAAGTATTTATTAAATTAACAAATAGCTGCGGCAAGAATATTGTGTAAAAACTGGAAAAAAATCGTATAAAAATTCTCGGTGGACATCAGAGTGTCAAATTATGTTTGCATAAAATTTTTTTATTTATCCTCGTAATTTTACGCTGATAAATTTTTGAGGAAGAAAAATTGCATGTGTGCGTTAACATTCCAGTGTCCCTGGATGTAGGACGACTGGATTTCCGTGACGGGATCCAACCGCTCCCACGTGGAAACAGCCTGCGCACTGATGAAGGATCACACGTGGCCGCGACGATCACCGGCGTATCCGATTCGAATGGTATTCTGTTCGTTTATATGCTTCTGTATTCTGATGATTTTTTAATAAGCAATGTGTATCATATTTCTTATTTGTTACAGTATTTTTATAACGGTAATTTTTATAACGGTAATTTTTATTACGGTAACGGTAATTTATAACGGTTATTATAACGGTAATGACGGTAATTTTTATAACGGTAATTTTTATTTAATTTTTTATAACGGTAATTTTTATAACGGTAATTTTTATTTAATTTTTTATAACGGTAATTTTTATAACGGTAATTTTTATTTAATTTTTTATAACGGTAATTTTTATAACGGTAATTTTTATTTAATTTTTTATAACGGTAATTTTTATAACGGTAATTTTTATAACGGTAATTTTTATTTAATTTTTTCATTATATTTATCTTTATTGATTCTTTATACTATGTATTTTTATGCTGTTTATTTTTATACTATTTTTTTACAGTCTATTTTTACTTACTTTTTATACAATTTATTTTTAATAATTTTTTATAACAGAATTTTTTTAATTATTGTGTACGAAAAGCGGAGCGTAAAGTTGATTAAGAAGTGCAAATCTACTAAAAATTAAGTACGTTGGACACAAAAACAAATCGATAAAAATGGGTGTTTATGTGTGTTGTCATTTGCAGTGGCATTGAATGCACCGGCACCGGAAAGCGGTGGAAAGAATCACCCGGGACCTTTAAAGCCGGGCGGGGTGGCAAAAGGTCACCACCACCATTTGCCGCGGCAACCAGCAGTGTATCCAATGAAAACGGTAATTTCCGTGATAATGTTCACATTGTATAGTACCGGTCGTATTTTCCGGGATTTCGTATTTTTGATGACATCCATTACAGTCGCATTATTTTACTAATAAATTTAGGGATTCACAAGTCAGTGCAAAGTATGAAATCTAAACAATTCTATCCAGCAACAGAAAAATTATTAAAAATGCGTAAAAAAGAACTATTTAATGTAACCAAAACCGAGCATTTACGTACTTATTTAAAAATTATTTAACGGAATAAATTGGATAAAAATTGGATTCGTATAACGGTAAAGACTGATATTTACGGATATAATTGACTATGCGCCCTAAAATTTTGGGGCGCATAGCACTTTCGTTTTTTTTATTTTATATACCATATTAATTCAAAATGGGTGTCTGTAATAAACAGGGTGTGAAAAGGGGTGCCTTTAATAAACGGGGGTTTTAGGGGGTGCCTATAACGGTTTCCTAAATAAAAATATTCAGGCCATTAGACCGAATAAAATTTTTAAAAAATGCAGTAAACGTACCAATATAAATTCTAGATTACATAAAAATAACAATGCCGTTAGACGGATGAAACACTTACGAAAATTTACAAAATAAAAGAATGCTATTAAAAATTACGAAACAAATAAAATTTTAATTTCTAATTGTAGTCGGACCGTCCAGCCGCGCACCGACGCCGGTACCGGCTGTCTTCCAGTTTCCAGCCCGTCTGCAGCGCTGCAACTCGATGCCGACCAGCGCGGCGCGGGCGGGTCAACGCCAGCGCTCCCCGGCAGCCCCCACCACGGGGCGCGCCCCCAAACGCCCCCACGCCGCGGACAGCGACGAGGAGGAGGTCGTCCCCATGCCGTGGCGTAGCGGGGTACGCCGACCGCCGCCGCCGCCCAGCCGGGAGCCCCCGCCGGCCCCGCACCAGCCGACGCGGGTGCGCTTCCAGGAGATGGTGGAGGTCTACTCGCTGGAGCTCAGGGGACCCTGCCAACCGGCCGCCGAGCACCGGGAGATGCGCCCGTCCTGGCCGGCGGCGTCCACGGCCCTCCGACGTGGCTGGCGCAGTGCCTCCGTGGCGCACTGATGCGTTGTCAGAGAGCCATGGATATTGGACGTAAAAACAGGTACTTAGATGCGTATTTAATTTAATGATATTTAATTTAATTTTAATTTAATTTAGATAATTTTGTGCGTATTTAATTTAATAATATTTAATTTAATTTTAATTTAATTTAGATAATTTTGTGCGTATTTAATTTAATAATATTTAATTTAATTTTAATTTAATTTAGATAATTTTGTGCGTATTTAATTTTTCTGTTTGATTTTTATTTGACTTCATTATTTGAACAGGTAAATGATTTTTTCATACGTTATTGATCAATTCGGCCGACTAGCCCATTTGCGCTTTTTGTGAAGCCGAAAAAAGTCGCTGTTTTGTTCTGGTCAGTTTGATTTTTTATTTTGATGTTTGTATGAATTTTCTGCAGTTTAATTTAATTATTTAATTGCAGCCGGTTTCCATTTTTTGTAAGACGGGAAACGGTAAACGCTTCATTTTGAGGCATATTGCGCAAGCAAATTCTGCTCATTCGGACCCAGCGCCGGTGATTTATGCGCATCGGATGTGGCTTGTTGCACCCTTTTTCTTATTGATTACAGTTACAAATTACTGTATTTTTTATTAGGAAAATTTCTTAATTTTTGGGAATTGTTTTGAAATTTATTTTTTATAAATTGTTTTTTTTCAGATTTAATTGTTGAAGTTGTCCGCATTGCGGTAAACCGGTTCCCTTGTTGTTCGCAAGACCCGAAAAAATGGCAGCGAATGTGTCTCGCTTGGCATTTTTTATGGATTGAGTAGTTTTTTTTAAATACGATAATTAATCTGATTTTGCGAAATTTTATTTATGATTTCAATTTTTTAATTAATTTTGTAGCTTAGTTTAAGTATAAATTTTCTAAAAATTCTGCTGACTTGCCGATTACATTTTTTTAGTCGTTTTTTTGTAAATTTGCTTATTCCAGACAGTTTCACGGGAGAACGGGGATACGGGAAAATCGTGATGGATTGTGTTGGACTGGAAAGCGTCTGCGGCCAGAGCCGGGTTTGATTATTACGTTGATTATGAAGGGAATTTTTATGACTTTTTTATGATTATACTGTACAGTTATTATGAATAGTATTTGTCGGTTGTTGTTGATTATCGAGTAAACGGTTGGAACGTGATTTTCTGCTGATGGATTGATCGCTTGTGATGAACTTTTGGTCGTCTTTGTGGCGTCGTATCCGTTGGATTTTTGTGCCTTTTTTTATTATGCGCCAGTCAGAAATGACCACAAACTTTCTTTAGTTTTGTGCCTGATCGGCGATGATCTGGAAGAGAAATAAAAATTACAATGAATTATAAATTATTATTGTTGTCGGCACCTTCCAATAATGGTAAAATTTATTACGGTTTGTTTATTATGGTAACGATTTAATCCAGCGATTTGTTGATTCTTGTAACAGGAAAAACATTGGAATTTTTCGGGAGAAAAATCGCGCAGATCTTGATTAATAACATTTATTTATGGATTTAATAAAAAATACAATTATAATTAATTTTTCTTATAATAATAATTATAATTAAGATAAAATCATAATTAAGATAAAAGTATTTTTTATAATTATAATAATTATAATTAAGATAAAATTATAATTAAGATAAAATTATTATAATTATAATTAAGATAAATTTATTTTTTTATAATTTTTCTTTAAATTATAAGTTGCATAAATTTTTTTTTATAAATTACAATTTGATTTTCTTTAGTGCGAAAGGTGAACGCGGAACCGACACCGTAGACATTCGATTAATTTTATTTAATTTTTTCAGACGGTAATTCTAAACCGGCATTTCCATAATATTCCGCTTATTTCTGTATCGTGCATGCTTCATCATTCAGCACACCGAGAGTTCTCGAAAAACCACTAAACATTTCACCAACAAATACCTCATACGTCAGGAAAACTTTTAGTCTGGAACTTAAAATCATTGCAGATCGAATGAACAAGGCAACGAAATATGTTCACCATTAATTTTCCATATCCAATATTTAAATATTCATTTTTACTTCTGCGAAAGCCGCGACCGCACCGCGACGGCGCTGGCCAGCCGCAGCACGCTTGACCGCATTCGTTGCGCAGTCGGTGGTGAATTCGTGATTAATCATGTTTCACTGCACCTGAACTGAATTTTCAGTCTGATTTTCAGATTTTTCCAGCGTTTCCTAACTCCTCTTCAAATTCTCCCATCCGATTCATTTGCATCTATCAGCTTGTGTTTCTTATATTGGATAATTTTTTCTTTGCACCGCAGAAATTCCTTCTGAACGGTTAGCAAGAATACGGACGCTGATTAGTCAGGAAACACTCATCGTGTACTGGTTTTTCATTTTCGTCAGTGTTTTTTTCTGGTTGCTTTCCTTCCTGTGCGATTATGTTGAGGATGCGCTGATGTTTGACCGTTGTAACGCGTGAACCAGTGGCGTCGTTGTCGGGACGTTGAGGGGCCATGTGGGTGCGTTACCGTGCACGGATATGATCGGTAGCAATCCGCGTGTGGATGAGCGCAGCGCCAATCGCAGTTCCTGGCACTTTCTCGTCTCCGAGACGCAGCGTCACGTGCGCGGCCACACACTCTACAAAGTCACACTCCAGGTACGCAGTTTTCTCCAGTTTGTGCTGTTGCTGACAACGGCAGGAACATGGCGACGAGTGTAACAGTAAAAAGAAGATCGTTTCGGGAAAAACAAGAATTTCCATTTTTTTTGCATTTTTCATGATTTTGTGCTTGTTTTAGTTTTTTTATTTTTTTCCAAAGTAATTTTCTTTTTCTACGACTTGTTGGGATTATTTATAATTTTAGTGTGTCTTTTTAAATTTTTTTTTGGGCAGCTTACAGTGGACTGCATATTATCCGTGTCTATTCATTTTGTCCACCATTCATTTTGTCCACCCATCGTTTTGTCCACCCATCGTTTTGTCCACCATTCATTTTGTCCACCCATCGTTTTGTCCACCCATCGTTTTGTCCACCATTCATTTTGTCCACCATTTATTTTGTCCACTATACAATTCATAGAGTACGGTATTTTTATTTTCTATAAGACAAAGCTAGTGTGAAATGAATTTAATAAACTGAGATGCGCGCAGCAATCTAAAACATAATACTTTGTATGAGATTGTATACACACGCAATTGTATATCATTAGTATTCGTTACTGTGATTTCAGTTCGCATGCCATTACAACAATAATATAATGCTGGTTATTAAAATTTTGGCATATTTGCACGTAATACTGATAACGTACCCAGTACTGCGCAGCTGTTTATGCGTCTCGAAACTGAGCGGGTTAAGTAATACAGACAGTAGGCATTGAGGCAAGAATACAGATGAGTTCGATTTATGCACATGATGTAGCGCGCATCTAATTCCTTGCATCTGCAAGTACGTATACTTCTATGTAAATCGAACTCCTTTGTCAGTTGAGTGTTAAGAATGATATTATTATCTGAAAGTCGAAGAATAAAAAATACATTGAGCACGATATCCTGCGCAATTAGATTGTGATTATTTATATATGATAATAATGGCTGAGGTGACGTTTTCTGACTAATCGGAAGAGTGCTGAACTATTAAAATTTGTCCACCACACGAGTGGGGACAAAATGAGTGGTGGACAAAATGAGTGGTGGACAAAATGAATGGTGGACAAAATGAATGGTGGACAAAATGAATGGTGGACGAAATAATAGGAAGCCATATTATCTGTTTGCCGAAATCTAGATTTTAAATAAAATAATTTAATTTTTGAAGTTTTTGTCAATATTTGCAATTTGATTATTTATTGCTGTTTTCCTGTTAGTTTTGTTTTTCGTGAAAATAATCATTTTTTGCATAATAAGGATCGTTAGCCTAGTAGAATGATTAATACTTTACAATTTACATTAATTGATTATTAATTGATTACATAAATTGCATTAATTATCAAAATTCCGTATTTTGGTGGTTTGATTTTATATTTCTATTGGTGTAATATTTTTATTATTTTTTAATAATATATATTTATGTTTCTCGTTTCGTTTATCTACAATATCAAATAACTCTGCAGAAGGAAATTAAAGTTTTGTACCGTTTTTTGTCTTATACAGATTATTCCCGTGGATATTTCAGCAGCGGTGCAGGAGGTGGGTTTTCCTTTGATTGTAATTAGAAAAATGATTTCCTCGGATTCTAAATGACGTCGATGTGTTTATCCCGGGGCAGATCATCTGGTGGAAGCGTTACACGGAATTCCACACCGTCCACAAAGTCCTCTCGCAGCTGCACACGGCGCTCTTCCTCAAGGGAACATTTCCGGTCTTCCCCAAACCCACGGTCTTCCGTAAGACGCGGCCGTCATTTATGTTTTCAATATCCGTTCGGTGTTCCGCGAAGTTTTACCGTTTAAGTTAATTAATTTCCCACTTATCACGTATTTTCCCGTGAAATATCAAACTGGCTCGATATGAGCCTGGCTTCCGGTTATTCGGGGTTTCTTCGCGAGCGCGACATTATTATCAATAATTTTTTCGTATATAATGATATATATTTATGGTAAAAATAATGGATTACCGATTTTTACCATTGTTAAGTTGCCTGTAAATTAAATTTCAGTAGAAGTACACTGGAAAAATTGATTTCGTGCGTTTTGCTATTTTTAACAATTTTTCGTGGTAATTTTTTTCTGACTTGGTCTACAAAAATACTGCCGTATTTCTTACAATTTCTTTCTTCTTTTTGTACGGCCGGAAAATGAGCTGCCGTTAATTTTCCATTTTTTTGTTTTGATTTCTTTAATTTTTTTATTAATCAATTTAGTTTGCTGATCGTCCTGAAATATATTCCATGGCATTATACTGTAATTACGTGTTGTGAATTATTGTGTTTTATTTAATTGTTTATTTTCTCGGGACAATAACATGCGCATGACGTGAATAAATTGCCTGTGTGGATTATGTATCCCGCCGATTATGATCTTGTTGTCATCCTGGTCAGATCGTCTGGAAGAGCCGGTAATCGAAGCCCGTCGGCAAGCGGCGGAGAAGCTGCTCAACTTCATCGCCGGCTTCCCCATTCTCTGCCGTCACGATGCCTTCCGCGATTTTCTAAAGGTAAGCAAACATTTTATATTTTATCAACGGCTTATAACGTACGTACTGTATCTATCAGTATCCACTTATTTTTTGTGTATTTTATTTGTTTCGTCGTTAAATTTTTGTGGAATATTTTCTTATATTTTTTTTGGAACATTTTCTTATATTTTATACTTTGCTTATAACGCACGTATCTACCCAGTACCTACTTATTTTTGCGTTTTATTTGTTTCGTCGTTCAATTTTTGTGGAATATTTTCTTATATTTTTTGGAACATTTTCTTGTATTTTATTTAATACACGGCTTATAACACACGTATCTTCCCACTTATGTTTTGTGCATTTTATTTGTTTCGTCGTTAATTTTTTGTGATTTAATTTTTACAGGACGGCGAAGAGATAACACACGCGATTGGCGATTTCGACACCACCGAGCCGCTCCGTCCACAGCGCCTGTACGCCCTCACTCCAGGACCCAGTGGAAGTGTGGATGATGAGTCCTTGTCTGATGATATCAGGTAAACAAACACCGAATAAAATAAATTTTGTTCGGCGAATACTGGATTTAATTTCTTATTATTTTATTCGAATTTTTTTATTTTGAAAATCAAATTAAACAGAATAAAGTGTTCCTCGAATGAAACTAGTTTGACTGGAAATTACAAGGAAATAATAGTGAATATTCACCGTAAAATCAGCAAAAATAATTGGCCGCGCTAAATATTGTCAACGCAATTTTCAATGCACGTTTTATCAACGATAAAATCGAAGTACCGGCATTGCCATCATACTACGATATTTCATTATAAATTATTTATCCAGTTATACTCGACTTTATGCTTTTGACATTGAAAACGTTTCACCGTGAAAACGTTAAATGGTCGTTCAAAAGTTACTGTCTTTGCGATTTTATATCCATGCTTTTTTTACCCGAATGGTTAATCATAAGGGAAATTCTTAACAACGAATGGTAATGTTAATACTGGACAATTGCCGTTTGCGCTGTCTCGTTGGTATCAAAAATTAATCTGTTCTTTGAAGGTTTCATTGTGCAAGTTTTCTATTGGAACACTAATGTGAATTATGTGATAATTTTTTTTGCCGAATTATTTTTAGAGAAAAAAATAATTTTTATTCCAGATTTCATTTTTTCTGTGCTCATTTTGATTTAGTTTTTTAGAAAATTCTTTTTCCAATTTGTTGATATTGTTTAAATTAATTATTGTTGCTGTATTACAGTAATTGTTGTTTGTATCGTTTGTATTAATTATTGTACTTGTTGGTAGTAAATATTATAGTTGACTTGTTGTTATGTTTGTTTTATTATTGCTGGTGTTACTTTGTTTGGATTATTTGTTTATTTAATTGGTTCGTTTTACTGTTTTCAATTTTTTTGGGAAATGTTCCTGGTGAAAATTGTTTAATAATATTTTAAACGATATTAATATTATTTTACAAATTCTGCATGTAATCGTTTCGCTCGGCAGTCTCGACAGCAATCTAAGCCCACGCCTCCTCTCACCCATCAGCGGCATCTGGCGGCACCGCTGCTCCGACGCCGAAGACGACCCAACCGCCGCCGCCCCTCCAGTTCCCCCCCGGACCATGCCTCCCCGGCGTCCCTGCTGGACTCCCCCCTCACCACCCCCGAACCCCTGCCCGCCCTCCTCCTCCTGCCCTCCCGGCCCCTCGATGACCTGCTGTCGCCGACGTCCTCCTCCGATCTGCTGAGCAGCACCCCCACCGACGAGGAGACCACGCCCACCATGCCCCCGCTGCGCCCCACCCCGGCGGCGTACGTGGCCACGCTGCTGCAGGCGGAGGGTGGGCGGGAGACGGCGACACCGCCCGGCGAGGCGGAGGATTATCTGTTTATCGCCGGGCATCATCTGGCACGGGCCAATGATAAGGAGTTGGCCGGGGATTTTGAAGTGGCGTTTGGACTGTATAAACTGGGGATTGATATTCTGCTGCGCGGCGTGCAGAGTAGGTGGTGCGGGATTTTTTGTTGATTAATTTTTTTTTTTATTTTCGGGAATCTTAAATGTTTTTTGCGATTTTGTTTGAATTTTTTGTAACGATACTAATAAATGGATTTTAGAAATCAGGAGTAATAATTTTGATTTACATATGTTCTGTATTTTTGTGAATTTTTAATTTATTTGCTATTCTATTCAGATTGTTGTATTTTATTCTGATTTTATTATAAATGAATTTATATGAAATGATAAGGAATTGATTTGTCTTCTTTATTTTTGAGAATTTTTAACTTCCTCTGGTTTTGCTCAGATAAGTCAAATTGATTACCTTTACAAGGAAAATTAGGATGAATGGATTTATTTTGTTTATTTTAGTCAATCTGTAATTACTGAATTCGTTATGTTTGTTATAAATTAAAGTTTCTGTATAACGAATTATGGGAATAGTTCTGCGATTATTTCGTTATTAATAAAACAGGGATGCATAGTAAAACAGAGATTTATAAGAATTTGAGGAATAAAAAATAAAATGCCTGCAGCAGAACTCGCATTAAGATAAATACGAAGGAGAACCGGTAAAAATATTTTTACTTTTTCTGCTACGAAAAAAGATCTTGTTCAGGTCTGACCGCCTGAGATAAAAACAAAAATATCGCGGGCGCAGTACACGACCGTGTGCTTGTGGTGCTTATCGTAGTGTAGTGGCGCGTTGACGACTGCGTTGAAATGGCGCTGTTGAACTTGAATAATTTTCATGAAGTAGTAGCATTGACAGCTATTTTTACCTATGAGATAAATGGGAATTAAATTTGTCGGCCGCCATTGAGTAGCTGATCATCAATTCTTGTCGCGTAAAGTTATGGATCTGTTAAAATTAAAATCCCTGAAGGCTGGAACAAGTAGACGGGAAATATTTCTATGAAATAATTGGTGTGTTGTTTGGTCGCGCAGCCGACGAAGATCCGGTGCGGCGGGATGCCGTGCGACGGAAAGCCGGGAAATATCTGAGCAAGGCGGAGCAGCTGTATAACGAGTATATTTCTACGGAGGTCAGCCATAACGTCGAACCACTGGTGCGAATTTCGGGAATAACATTATAATTAGCATGTAATAATAGTGATTAGCATTAGTAATTGTAATGCAGTAATAATGGAAAATACTGAGGAATTAGTATGGCAAATTCTACAATTATTACGTTTGTGCTGTAAAGATTAACCTCTTTTTTATGGCGTACGCTAGTAATGTTATGTTTTTATTTTTTGTGATATTTTTGAAGTGTTTTAGAATAATTACAGACTACAGTAAACTAGTAATAATAAGAAAAATCATGATAAGTTGTTTGATAAGTTCTACCGTTATTTCGCTTATATTTTAAAAATAATCTGTGACTTTGGCGTATGCTGATAATTGTATATTTTTTGTTTTATGAATTCTTTTTGAACTTTTTAAAATTGTCTATTTCTTGAGTACGTAATTGTTGACGGTTTTTGATTTGATTAGGTTGTCGTATTTTTCCGCTTTGCATAAAAAGCCGTGACAGACGTTTCTAGGAAGAAGGGATGTTATTAATCTTGAAAATAGCGCTTTTCTTGTCTCCCCGACAGATCCATTCCGAGTATTCCTCGGCGGCGGCATCACGCGCCCAGCTGGCTCAGTTTACAGTTGAGACATGATTACACCGCGGAAATTAACTTTCTCCCTGCTGATCCCGTTGTATATCGCGTTGCAGGTGATTGGTGTCGTGGATGCCGGCGTCGTCCTCGTCATGCATCGCACCACACGCGACAACTTCGTCATTAAAGTATGCAGGGATATTTCTGTTGACATTTTTACCGTGGTCGTAGTGTTTTCAGTGATTTCTCTGTATTAGTAACGGTCTATGGCAGTAATTTTTTAGTCTCAACCAGAAAAAACTGTAATTTGTTACACGTAAAATTTATAAGTTTTTCTCAAAAAGATATTCGTCAAGAATCCGAATGTTTTCTGTTTGTTACTGACCTTGAGTAACTTTCTTTCGATATTTTCTAGGCTGAAAATTTGTAATAATTCCTGATCGATTTATTCGTAAAGAAAAATCAGCACACTGAATGCTGATGCGATGAAATCAAATGATATTGTTACTACTTTATAAAATTGAAAAAAAATTTTATAAAATTAAAAAATTAAATTAATTTATGGAATCAAATTACAAAGCAGATTAACTGAACACTCGCGATCGTATTAGAAACAGACGGCAAATAATCAGTGTTTCTTTAATGCGGTTTAAACTAGTGCCCTGCAACGGAGTACAAAATTGCGTCCAGTCCGATCCGAACTTAAAAAATTTTATCCGAACCCAGTCCGACTCCGAATTCTAAAAATCGTACTCCGACCAATCCGATCCGAAAATATTTTTTGGCCAATCCGGAACCCACTCCGATCCAATCCGAAAAATTTTCCGAAAGAATATTGCTTAATTTTATTACACATCCCCAGATTAAAAAAAATTTAATGCCGAAGCAGTTAAAAATTTTAATGCCGAAGTACCGTAACATGGCATTCAAAAAAATTTTAGCCATGTTGTCGGTAGCCAAAAGACTTCAGAATTCACAGGTACAAGTTTCTTGGGCATAATAAAGGTTAAGCTAGAGGATTTATATATACAAGATTTTTTAGGTGAATTTAGTTCTTTAGCACTACAGTGTTGAAGCAATTGGAGAGGTTAGTTATCTATCCTCACTGTCAGATATCTGTATCAGATCTTTTTGTTGTATACGCTTCAGGCCACGGATTACCCACGTATTAGTTAGGTTCAAAAATAGGGACAGAAATTTAGAGGGAGGGATGTTTCTAAACGTCCGGAACTAAAAATTAATGGTAGTTTCGTGCATTCCTTAGTGTAAGTTTATATTATTATATATAATGTTAGTATATATAATTAGAATATATTATTATTGTTATCTTAATCTCAAGTATTAATCGAATTACAAGTGCTGCAAATAAAATTGGGAAGTCGGTGCCTAGCGAAACTTACTGAGCTGCACAACACATGTGGTCCGTTTAAACTTTAAACATTCAGCACAAGGCGATATTCTGTGATTGTCGTAGTGTAATGGCACATAGCAAGATAGCTTGAAATCCTTGAGCGTTTGTGTAGGGTGAAATTAAATCCCGTTAACTGTTTCTTGACATCTGCTGATTTTTTTTAATAATTAATTCAGTTTTTAAATGAATATATATGTTCCGTTTTGTCGGAGTTGTTTCTGTTTTGCTGTACTTTTTTTCTTGAAAAGCTTTGTTGAATTGTCTATGAGACGAGTGATTCTGGGGTACTGGCTCGTGGCAGTTAATTATAAAAAAATGCCCTTTTTGTCCTGTCCCACGCGCGTGTTGCATGGAAGACGATGCCAGAATAATCCTGTGAATCATTCGCATAGACACTGCGCAAATCCCCCGGTGTGTTGGCGCGGAAGCGTGATCAGCGCACGATCATTCCCCTGGGCGGCCACAAGCACATGGTGCAGCTGCACTACTTCGTCGAGACGGATGACGCCGTCCATCTCGTCCTGGAACGCGCTCCCGGCGGGAAATTGTGGAACTACATTGCCCATCGGATGTCCGTCGCCGAAGTAGGTTTACCGGAAAATTTACGATTAACGCAAAATTAAACTGCGGTTTTACTTAAAAAAATCTGAATTAAAAACGTAAAATATTTTCCATTGGTAGTAGAGTGTTTTTGCAAAAAATTAAGAAATATTGCATATTTTTGTTTAATTGTGAGTTTCTTCTGAATTGATTTGCGCTGCTGTTTCAGTTTGATTGAATTAAATCCACCGTTTTCGGCTTGCAAGATTTATTGAGTCATAAATAAATAATATGCTTTTTTGTGATTTTGTATTCCATTGTTTTGGTAGAATTATTTAATACGGTAGATGTGTTGACATTTTCCTGTACATAATTTTGATACAATTATTTTAGAATTTATTTCGTAGAGCCTGATTTACGTAGTAAATCAGTTTTTAAAAAACAAAACTAATAAAGTACATAATTATTATTAACTGCATTAGTGAATAAATTAATAGATATTTGAAATATTAATTAGAAAGTATTAAAATTTGTTAATAAATATTTTTTAAACTTTCGTGAAATATATGTCTGAGGTCGGTTTTGAGTTGAATAAAATCGAATAAAATTCAAGTAAAATTGGGAAGACTTTGGAAAATTCCCCCACCTGTTCCTTTCACAGGATTCGCCTAAACCCCGCCTGCCCACCTCCGACTCGGTGTCGTCCAACCTTTCTACCACCAGCAGCGACGGCTCGACCTCCTTCGCCAAACTGATGCACTCCATCGACGCCGCGGCCCCGCCCCCCGCCGGCGGCTCCTCCTCCGAGTACGCCGCCCTCTTCTACAAGTTCGTCCCCGACGCCGACGCCCAGCAGCGCTCCCGCACCTCCTCCCTGGCCTTTCTGGAGCGCTCCACCTCGGCGGACGCCCCGGAGACGCTGGACAGCGGCGACATGCTCCCGGATTGGGCGGACACGTCGGAACCGATAAATCGCGTCCACCCGGATGCGTTGTACCTCCAGGACATGGAGCCGCTGGCGTCACCCACCTTGCGGGGCCTGGAGAACTGGCGGGATGTCGGGGAGATTGATTCGCAGCAGCTAATCGCCAAATCCAAAGAGTAGGACGATTTTTACCAGTATTTTCATTAATTTCTGCCCTTTTTTTGCTGTTTATTTGATTATCTGTTTAAAAGCCTATTTGGCTGTTTATTTAGATGTGTAATTATTTTGCTATTGATTTATCTGGTTATTTACTTGTTTATTATAAATTTGTTTGATAAGTTTTTCAGTTTTATTTATTGTATAACAAAATTTGTCAACGCTACTTATTTATTTAATTCAATTGATTTATACATTAGTTATCCATTTATTCATTTAACTAGCTATTTAATTACGTGGCTATTTATGTAGTACCAGTTTATTTATGGATTAATTTGTCTGCTTATTTATACCGTTACCAATTTTGTATGTTGTTTAATTTGTCTGTTGATTTGTCTAATTTTATTTCCTTTTTATTTATTTGATTACATGTTTAATTATACATATATCTATTTGTTTATTAGATTATTTATCGATTTATTTAACCAGTGGTGTATCTGTTTATTAGTCTAAACGTGTACGTAAGTGCCTGTTTATTTATTTTTAATAATTATTTTCTCGTTATATTAGGCTTGTATTCTAATTTTCAGCAATTTTCCTTTGTAGATTGTTGTTGTCGGTGGACAAGGTCATCAGCATCCCGGAGGTCCAGCGCGCCGTGACCCCGGTGGCACCGGTGACCCTCCCGGAGCCGGAAGGAGCTGACAGCGTTCCCGGGACGGACGAGACCCTTCTGGAAGACACCGTGATCGAAGAAGAGGCTCCCACGATGTCCGGGGACCTCCGGAAGGTCCCCGAGGCCCTGGTCCGCCGGTGGATGGCGGAGATTGTCCTGGGCGTGGAGGCGCTGCACGAGCTGGGGATTGTGTGCGGGGATCTGCACTGGGATAATATTCTCCTGGGTGATAAAGGTCAAAAACTCATTTTTCCATAAAATAACAATTTGCAGCAAGTTTCGTATTAATTTCTGATTTTTTTTTATAGGGCGCATCAAGTTGACGTACTTTAGTCAATGGAGTTCTGTGATTAAAGAGGATGATTATGCGTGTTTAACGGATAACGCTCACATTCCGCCTGGTAAGTTTCCTGTGAAGAAAAAAAATTGGTTTTACATTTTTTTAAAAATTATTTTATGGAATTAATAGAAAAAATGACATTTGTATTTTTCGGATAATTTTTTGTATTTGTTTTTAAATGCTTAACGCGACTGGGATTTTGTTTTTTTCCCAGTATTGTGTGCTGTCAGGTTCAGTAAAATTTGCATGGAAATTTATTTCCATAATTTACGGGTATTAATTTTTACATTGTTAATTTTAACGGGAATTTAATTCCGAAAATTCCCATTTAATTCTGTATTTAATATCCGGCGTTGTTATTGAAAATAGAATTGCGGCGCGGTCGGCGGGACGTGATGGATCCGGTGGCCGATTCCTGGAGTATCGGCGTACTGTTATTTGAATTACTGACGGGCCAGGTGAGATTATTTCATAATTAATTAAATTTCAATTTAATTATTAATAAAAATTTTTTTTGCCTTTTATAATGGGAATTTTTCTCGATTTTAAATAATTTTATTTGTCCTTGAAAATTCCAGAGATTTTCCGAAATCAACGTCCCGACGCCCAATGCTCACCGCTCATTCCGCATCCCGGCTGACCTTTCCGCGGAAGCTCAAGATTTATTGCGAAAGGTGATAAAAAATAATATATTTTATTTTTTGTAGTATTTTTAATGATCTAATTTTTTGATTATTTTAATTGTTAATTGCAGTTGTTAAAGTACAGTCCGCGTGAACGGCTGACGTTAATGGAGACCAAAGAGCATCCCTTCTTCCGCTCCCTGGAATGGCGACGTCTCCAGCCCTGACCAAATTCATCATTCCCGTTTCGGCAGACATCGGGATGCAGCGTGCGACGAATAATTATTATTAATTTAATAACAATTCGCCGATTAATTTTTTTACAGATTTTCTATTAATTTATTTTTCTATGCCCGTTTCTAATTCCTGTTTTTATTACTGAAGTGTGTCATTCTCTAGTGCCATTCGTGTGATTTATTCCCTGCTGGATTTCTCTGTATTTAATTCTATGTTTTTGCGGGTGAATTTTGACAATAAATACTGGTTTTTAATTTAATTTTCCGCTAATTTGAATATTTCTCCAGTTACCGGTAAATACGGTTTTTTAATGCTGTTTATTTATTTTATCATTAACGATAAATTCCGCTCATCAGTTTTCCAGTTACCGATGAGTTCTCGTTAATAATTTCCAATCAATAACGGTAAAATATTTGGTTTGTTGAAACTAAGATTTTCTAAATAATTCTTTTTTTACCAATAAATACGTTGTATTAAATTTCCCATTAATGATAAATACTGTTTATTAATTTTCCCGCCAGAAATTACTCAAGAACACTGACCAACAAAAGCGATTAATAAACCTACAGCACACACAGACAGAGAATTCTAACCACAAATTCCTACGCCGACAAAAAAAAGGAAACCAAACAAAACCAAAAAATCAACCTCCACATTAAGCCAAAAAAGCAGCGTGCACACACAACCCACATTTTTCCTATTAATTTGTAATTTTTCCGCGACTACCAATAATTAAACCGAAAACAAAAATTAATTCAACCGCCCGACAAAAAAAAATTCACTCCTTCCCCTCGTCACGCCCACCCCGTCGGGGGCCCCGCCCCCCACCACTTCCACTCCCGTTTCGGGGGGCCGCCCCCGCCCCCGTCGCCCCCCGATTATTCCGAGGGGCGCCGCCGCCCCGCCCCGAACTATTGGTGAACGTCCGCGTCCCGTAGGCGGTGGCCACGCCCCCGCCCCCTATGGGGCCCCCCGAGGGGCGACCGCTGTGCTTGCGTCCGTGGCTGACCGTGGTGAATTCGCCGTCGTCGCTGTGCTGGGCCGAATGACCGCCGCCCGATGGGTGGGCGGCTTCATCGCCGTTGTGATCGTCGCCACCGCCCTCGGGATGCGGTTCATTGACGCTGCTGCTCTCGCTGGCGTTGCTGCTGGTCTGGCGCAGGATGCGATGCTTCTCCTGCAGATGCGGGTTGAACAGTTCCGGTGGGGGCGGGGCGGAGGCCCGTGGGGGGCCGCCGCGTCCGCCGCCGCGGTGGTGATCCATGTCGCGGCGCGGTACAAAAGCACCGTTGGAAGCTGCGGAAAAACACCAGGAATAAATCATCGCATTTTTTTACTGTTTTTTACTTGCTCGAAATTTTTAGTATTTATACGAGAAAAAAAGTTAAGTAACAGGAAACTAACAGCATACAGTAACTGAATTATACACAATTTAATAATTTTACCAGGCTTTTAAATGCTCATCGATTAAGCCAGTTTGTTACCAATTAACGATTATCAATGCTCGTTAATTAAAATCATTTAGTCAACTCATTAATCAGTTCTAATTGCGAGCACTAATGCTCCTTAATTAAAATAGTCTTAGTCTATTTATTAATCATTTATAATAACTATTACTGCTCATAATAGTTAATTAAAATCATTCCGTCAATTTAATATTATTATTACTAAAAATCATGATTTTTTACAAGACTATTACCGATATCTCAGTCTTATTTGAATGAAGGATTAATTCGGTAATTCGTAGTACAATATTTACCTGCGGACTGCAGCTGGGTGGGCGGCGGGCCGGCCAGCTTCTTGTCGCGCTCGGCAGCCGCCCGCGCTTCGGCGTCGGCACGGGCCTTGGCGCGCGCTTCCTCCTCCTCGCGGCGGCGCTTCTCCTCCACCTCCCGCTCGCGGGCGGTGGTGTCCACCGGCTTCGCTCCGCCGAAGATGGCCGAGCTGCTGGCCGTCGGGGTCGGCGTGCCGGCGCCGGCGGCCCCGGAGGCGGCCGGCTCCTCCACCGGTTTTGTGCGCGGTACCAGATTCAGCCTAATCGAAGCATGTATATTATTTCTTTATACTGATGGCAACGATGTTTTATACTGATGGCAACTGGCGACCAACGATTAACGAACCAAATCAAGGACATCTTGCTTATTATTTTATCAATGTATTATTGAATAGTGGATCATTTTACTGTTAACTGTCTTGTCATCATCAATCATTCCGTCCTTACACTGTCAAATCGACGTAAATCAATACACAATAATTAATCACATCGAAGATAATAAATACGCCAATAAATATAGAAATAAATATGGCAGCTGAAAAAAAATTGATTAATTGAGTAGATTAATTACAAAAAAATAGAATTAATTGCTAAACCATAAAAAACTTATTTCTTTAATTATTCAGTCATAATAAACGTGGCACACAATCACAGCTGTCACCTTTGAGTGGCCAAATCAACAACGAAATGATTTCAGTGAATTAAATCGGTCAAAATTATTATAATGAAATTAGCAGACTAATCTTCCGACACAATTACGAATAAATTCTGGTACATTTCGATCAAGCAACCATGAACTGTTTTGAATGTCGTATGTACGTACTTGGGACGCTGCGGCGGCGCGTTATGCGCCGGCGGGGGCGCGGCGCCCTGTGAATCGCGGGAATCCTGCCGGCTGAGCGGCTCGCGGGATATCTGCGGCGTGAAATTACTGCGGCGCATCTGCAGGCCCTGGTCGCCGCCCGAGGCGCCGGCGGCCTCCCCGCTGTACGAGTCCGTGCGCTGAAAGGAGTCATTGCGACGGATAACCGGATCCCGGTCGCGATTCTGCCAATAGTACGACAATCAGTCATAAAAAATTTCAACTCAGTGAAATAAAGCAGAACTGATTCAAATTTTATGATAAATACATACATCGACATTCCCGAACAAATCGACGGAAAAAAACGCAGCCAATTTTATTGATACCATTTAATTTTTTCAACAAAATAAAACATTTTATTATTATTTTAAAACGATTAAGGGATTAAAGGATTATTTAAGTTTTCTGTTTAATTTTTCGTTACAAAAAATCACCGTGAGAAAACGCTAACACTTTACACGCAACTTTCCATTAATATTACCAAAAACATGAAAAACACCAGTCCCATCCAGGCACCAATTGCGGGCAGTATAATCGTTTATTTAAACGCCACCGCCAGGGCACACCGATACCCAATGAAGACCCGATGAGTTAATTTCGATATATCGTTCAATAGAAATCTTATCAGCAGTCGATAAAGACGGCGCAGAATTTTTGTTGATAACCCACTGTTTTGATATTTTTGCCCAACAACGTCAAATGGAAATCTTACATAATTGGTGTCACTAAACGTAAATATTCATCACTGAACGTACTGTAAATATTCTATCGGCAAAAGAATCGTACTACTTGCGAATATTAATTTAATTTTTTACACATCATGCCTTCATTATTTTTAATTTTTTCCAATTTTTTTACCTTTTCTTTTCTCCATTTTTCAACGTTGTTAATTGTTAATTATTACCATGGAAATATTTCCTGGATACGCACATCATGGTTTAGCAAACAAAATTAATAACAATAAAAAAAATTATTTTATAAATTAAAAAAGAATGGTTTAACAAAGGAAATTAATAAAACAAAAGAAAATTATTTTTATTAATTAAAAAAAGAATGGTTTAATAAAGAAAATTAATAAAAATCCTAAAACGTCCAAAACCGGCTAAAATTTACTCCGCCTTACCGCTGGCGCATCGAACCCGCGTCGTCCCGGTCCGCCGCGGTCCCCACCGCGCCCGCCCGCGGGGGCGCCACCCCCAACCCCTCCGTAGCGATCCCCGCGTCGTCCCATCCCGGTATCATAATCCGGCGGCGGCAGATCCCCGTAGGAAGTGTCCCGGCTCATGGGGCGGGACGAGGGATGCGAGCCATACGATCCGCGCGACATGGTGTCGTCCCGCGAGTCCGCCCGCTCCAGACCGCCTCCACTGCCGCCGCCCACGTCGAAACGCGGTCCGCGCTCCTGGTTGAAGGGCTGCACGTGCGACGGCACGGCCGCCGGCGGGGGGCGCTCAAAGGGGCGCGTGTCGAAGCGGGAGTCCATGCCACCGAAACCGCTGCCGCCCGGCGGGCGCCGGTCGCCCTGCGGAGGAAGGGCGGGGACGAAGGAGCGCTCGAAACCACCGCCGCCGCCGCGGAAGTCGTCGTCGCGTGTCGGCGGTCGCATATCTACCGGGAAATAAATTAAATCATGTTATTACTACCAGTAAAAAATACCACATAGTACGATAAAAGAAAACCTAAAATCGATCAATCGAAATATTACGGCTGCCCTTCGTGAATAAAAATTAGAAATACAGTACTAAAATAAACTGTTTACATCATACTATTTTATTTATTATTTTTCGTAGACCTACCAACTTTTCACTTTGTCTTGTCGTCATTATTATAAGAAAATAAATTAAATAATTAACAAATAATCCACAAATAATTAATAATTACTACTATCGCTTAACAACAATTTTAGTGAACAATAACATTCATTCTAATATGATGCGTTGAAAGTACAATCGGAAGGCGCATTACTGAATTTTTTAAAGATACAGAATTTTAAAAAAAATATAGTAACAACTAAGAAACTGTTGATTGATTTTTGGAACGATGGAAAAATTCCACAAAAATCTGCACAAGAATAAAATTTTCTACTGCGATCTTCAGCGTAAAGCCGTTCGGATGCCGATCATTAATCCTTCACCGGCGAATTACAGTTGTTAAAAAACCGACATATTCGTACCGTCGCGTGTGAAGGGGCGCGCATTATCGTTGGGCATGAGGGGCCGGGTGAATCCCGGCGACGGCTGATCACGCGGCACATCCGGCTGCGCCGTGCGCCAGTTGCCCAGCGTCAGATCCGGACCGCTGCCCCGCCGGTCCATCCCGCCGCGATTATAGTCCCGTCCGCCCCGCTCGCCGCGCTGCTGCTCCATCTCCGACGGCAGCTTCAGATAGATCTTCCGCCCGGTGATCGCCTACACCGCCATACAACCGCACAATTATTAACTTCTCATTTAATTATCAAATTTATCTTAAGTTATAATTAGCATCCCTGCAATTATTTTCAAAATTTATTCGGATCTATTGTTCAGTGATCGATACTTAACATCATCAATTTCACTGTCTGTTTTAATTTGCACTTATTTTATACACTTGATGCTTCAGTTTCATGCAGCAACTGAATTTTTCACAAAATTATTCCTGAATTTTCACGAGCTTTATTCTGATTTTCTTTTTACCACATATTCATAAATTCATTCATCAGTTCAATTTTCATCAATCTCCATGCTTTCAAAGGTATATTTTTAATTCCGTAATTTCCTCTTCAATTTATCCGATTCAATTTTATTTAATCTGACTCTTCAGTAACTCTTCTTTATTTTACTTTTCAATTTATTCCAGTTTTTAACTATACTTATTTCAGTTACTCGAGAATTCCTGAGCTCCTTCACTTGAATTTATTCTCTAATTTAATTTGTAATTATTCTTATGTCAATTGTTATTCTCAGTATCATCGCCTCCGTGGCGATGGCATTACCGAATCGGATTTCTCCTTGAGAGCCCGGATGAGGAGATCGCGCGTGTCGAACTCCACCATGGGTGGTTTGCGGCGGTCCTCGTTGACCTGCACACTACTCGGGACCAGCGGCACGAAGAACTTGACAATCTGCTCGGCGCTGACTTCAAAGGGGGCATTGTTCAGGTACAGGGAGAAGGGCGGGTGCTCGGGGATGCGCGACAGATCCAGCTCGCCGCCCAGCATGGACCGCGGCGCCGAGGGCAGGGCGCCCTTGTCCATGGAGCCCCGCGGACGCCCGGCGGAGTACGGTTCTGTCAACCACCACAAAATCTCACCAACATATTCCTCTTAATTTACATCAACAATAAACCATCAACGAATACGCACAGTATTTTATACCGAATTAAAACGAATTTACAATCGCTTTGCTCGCTTAATTAGCGAATTATTACAGAAAATCGCATTTCACCGACAATTTTTTATAATTTTCCCTGAAAAAAAATTTATAAAAAGGTAAGGAAATATTATAAAAATGTTAGAAGGGTTGGATAAAATTCAGATAAGGAAAATAGCGAGGTTAAGAGATTTTTATAAGGGTACCAGGTACCTGATGGCAGATTGTTCTCCAGTTCGCTGGCCCAATCCAAATCCAGTCCTGTCGCCGCGGTCGGACTGGAATCCCCCAGGAACACATCCAGCGACATGACCGTCTTCTTCCCGCCTTTTTTCCCCTTCTTTCCCTTGGCTTCAGCCATGTTGGCGACCGTGAAAGTGAAGATGAGAAACTAGCACCGCGCTGCTTCGAACGAAGAGCCAATCCGTTCTGTACAAGAAATTCACAACATCCGCCTCAATTTTACCGTGTGAAACAGGCAGAGAAAACATTCAGCGGAATGTGTACTACATTTACATGCTGTGTTGATACGAATCAAGGTAAAATCGGGCCTATTTTACATGAATCAGAGGAAAGCAGGCATAAATTATGACACCCAGGTTCCTCATTGCAACATAGCGTTTCTGCCACAGGGTAAATGTGCGAAAGCAATATTCAAACCTGTACTCACAGTGTCACGGTTGTGTCTCGGACTGGAAGAAGATTTCCCTCACGGATAAAAAGACAAATGTTTTTGCCGTAAATGAACAAGAATTGCGAAATCAAGTACACGTGGTAAAGAGTTGTTTTTTCACTGCGAGATGAAGATCTCACAAATAAAATTTTCCGCAGGATACCGTAGCAAAATTTCGTAGGCCTGCTTTTGCAGCGCAAGTTCGCAAGGACCGATGCAGACTTGGCGTGACGTCACGCCAGAGTAGTGTGTACGTGACCATGTGTAGCGTTTCACACATACTTTAACGCGGGCGTCACGTCGCGAGCATGCTGTTGACTGAGTGTTGTGCCATGAGGGCACACTGAGAAGACCTTCGTTGCGCCACCCGCCATTAATCAAACAGAATCGTGTTTGCACTGGACCATGCGGGTCACGTTTGTTGTCCCACAATTTCCTGTTATCCTTTTTTCTCTCTGGCATGTCATTTGTCACATTAATGATTACACTCTGATAATCTGTTTTTAATTTTTCCCCGGTCAAAGACGTTAATTCTTTTTAATTACCGGAAATATTTATAATTTCACCTGGCGTATCACTGATAAATTTATTCTGTCAGTAAATTGTGTGGAGATAAAATGTAATTTTCCTGTTAAAGATTAGGGGGGAAGAGAATGTTATGTTGTTCACATCCTGCAGCCGATATCGGATAAATGCAGATTATCAATCCCCTTTTCTTTGTGACGTCGACACGCGGCTGGAAAGTTCAATCACCGATAGCGATACCGAACAGCCACGCACACTGTGTGTTCTGACATCACCAAGGCGCCGCAGAGCCGGTGCAGTCCAATGGGCTGGCAGCACGGCAGCGTGTGCACTGGTGCAAGGCAACGCGTGTGGCAGTGTGCTGCGCAGTGCTTCGTCTCTAGGCTCCTCTCGCTTATGTGTGCGTCGAACGCTGCTGTTGTTGCCTATACTGTGCTGTGTATACTGTGTGTGTTAACGAGCGAAAAAATAAAAATCCATGTGCTATGATATGACCCTTTCCCCGTTTCTCCTCTCTCCTATTCCACCACCACCTCGGCCAGGATCCGCGTGAACGGAGGAGGACGACCACTCCAACGCCTATGTACTAACCGTCCGTTGGTTAATTCCGCAGAACCGAAGGAAAGCTGGCCGGGGAAATGAACAATCTGGGAATTGTGGCCCGCGGTGAATTCATCGTCGCTGGACGCTACCGTCTGGTCCGGAAGATCGGCGGGGGATCCTTTGGGGATATATACCTCGGGATCAGTATCACCAGCGGGGAGGAGGTGGCCGTGAAATTGGAGCCCAAAACGGCAGCCCATCCGCAGCTGCTCTACGAGTCTAAACTGTACAAAATCCTGCAAGGTGGTGTGGGGATTCCTCATATTCGGTAAGTGCTGCGCGGCACCGCGCCGTCCCTGTAGTGCACACGCTACTAACCGGGCCGTGAACAATGCGGGTACAGGGAAGGCAGTGTGTGCGGGGGGTTTATTTACGCTACAGAGGAAGTCTTACGTAAATCGGCTGCAGACGCCGTCGCGCTGCTGTTTTTGCATCCTTTTTTTACTTTTCCTCCTTGAAATAGTTAAAAAAAATTTATTTTTCTTGATGAGTTATTTTATTAGTTTCTATGATATCAGCGACCCCGTTTCTGTCGAATCAGGGAACTACGGTATGGGAAATTAGAGCGGCGCTCGAGATTTCGCTGTGTGTGTCACCTGTTTAATGTAGATCTAGTACAAGGAAACAATACAGCGCGTACAGTTCGAAACTAAAATTAGCTTCTCTGCGTGTGTTCAGCTGTTTCTCCCTCATTTATTTCAAATTTTCTGGTCAGTTGATGTTTACTTTATCCAGATTAATCTAGGAGTGTAGGAAAAAATATTTGCCAGCTGGATTTGCGAACGAACAGTTGCAGGCAGTGTTAACGAACCTAACGCACATTTTCTTCGATTTTTTATAAATATTTTATTTTCTCGCTGTCCTTGTTGACAACCGCGACGCATCCTTTCTTAATCAGTTAATTTCCATACTAATTAGTATACAGACACTCCACAGGGGGACTGTCGATTTGTTTACAGCACACGTTTTGTCAGGAGGGTAGGGTTGCGTCATCTGTTTGGCAGTCGTAATTTTCTGGGTATTATCAAATCAGATGATTTAATAATCATCGTCTGCAGTCGCTTTTTGCCTTCTGCAGCACACGCTGATGTTAGCTTGGGGAGGTTTTTCATGCGCAGCAGTGATTAGGGTGAAGCGGGGCTTCATTCTCGCGATGCTAAGGTGGCTGTTTATTGAATCGGAAGAAAATCAGGTTGAATGGTTGAATAATTAATTGAGTGCTGTGCTAGACAGCAACGGTTAAGCGTTCTTTGTCTTCTCCGATGAATATCGCAACGTCGCGCTTCGAATAAAATTATGGATTGATTAATAGTGCATTAATTAATTGGGGATCTAACTAAAAAAAATTATTACAGAATTAAATCTGAATTTAAAACGTAGAAAATAAATTCTAATGGAAAATAGGTACTTTCTTCGACGTTAAACAATTTTTTTGGAATTAATAATATTTCATTGATGGATTAGAAAAATAATTAGCAAACATTATTTAAAGAATTACAAATGAATCTGAAATGCAGGAAATAAATTTCATCGGAAAAAAATTATTTTTGCAGTTAGGCAAGTTTTTGGGAAGAATATAACCTTTAAAAAGTGGTAAAAAATTGAATATTGCCGCAGATAACTCACATAAAATTGTTAATAACTTCTTAATTAAGTTGAATATTTAATGTGACTTATAGGAATGTTTTATTTAAGAGTTTTACGAATTTAATTGGTAGGAACATTTTACTGGAATATTTGACGTGATTTTATAGGAATATTTAGAACATTTTTACGAGAATTAGCGAGACGATTTATTTACGTAATCCCACAAGCAAAAAGGAATAAAAACCCCCGCAATCGATAGGAATTAGGAGCAATTAGCCTTGTTATGTGCGGATGTGCCGATTAGCCTTGTTATTGAGCGGTATTTTTCTCTGCGTCTCCCTTGCGACGGTTTTTAATGGGCTGTTGTTCTGGTTTCCACCGGTGTGGATGTCGGTGGGTCGTTAAAAGGTACGAGAGCGCACACGAAGGGTTTATGATGCTGCTGTTGCTGTAGAGTCATAAGACCTTGAAAGTGTATTTAGTCGCAAATTGCATGTAGCTTGAGTACACCCCGTCTGACGGTTGAGATGGGTCGCGATAATTACTCGTCAAATGGCGCTGCGCAGCTCAAGCGGCACTGCGCGCGCGGCCCTCCGTGATTCCGGAGGTTGCAAGAGAGAAAGCACTCTCCTTGTGGCGGACATTTTTCTGTCAACACGACAACAACCGGTCGTTAAATGAAGAAATGGGTTTTTTGTCATCGGTCCATGATTTTCAGGAATTTTATTTGAAATAAAACAGAAGCAAGAAAAAACGAAAATAAATAAGGATAGAGAACAAGACTAATAAGGATAAAGGATAAAGAATAAGGATAAAACAATTAATAAGGATAAAGAATAAAGAATAAAATAAGAAACATAAAAACGTCTAAAAAATAATAATGATAATATTAATATTTTGGAAGATAAAACGGACTAAGAACACATTGTTTGTTGGAAATGATTGATTTTTGCGAATTATTAGTGTGTATAATTTCTCAGAAATTTTCTTGGAAATAAACAGAAGCTAAAAAATAAAATAAACAGTGAAAATAAATAAGAAAAACCTTTTTTTTAAGTAATGGTGATTAATGATTATAATAATATTTTGAAGGATAAGAATCATAAAACTGAATAAATACCCGTTTTTGTTGGGAATTATTTCTTTTTTTGAATAAAAATATTCCGTTATTAATATGAATATCTAACATGTGCGTGTGTTGTTGTTGAATTTAATCGTGATTTGTTCCTCGTAGGTGGTTCGGCACGGAACGCGAATACAATGTCCTGGTTATGGATTTGCTGGGCCCATCCTTGGAGGATCTCTTCAATTTTTGCGGGCGCCGTTTCACGATCAAAACCGTGCTCATGCTGGCTGATCAGGTACCGCTGCCATTCTGAATTTTAATATTTATTTAAATGATTAAAGAACCTGTTTTTCCTCGAATAATGATTTTTAATATATTTTCCCGTCATTCCGTCGTCAACAGGGATTTTTATTTTAATTAAAACGTACATTATTCACGGATCAGTCAGGGATTTGGTCAATAATGTCATCAAGTATTTACCTATTTATGTAAGGATGTTTTGCACCGGAAGGACCGTCGGTGCTGCTGACCGCGTACGTGTTATGCGGCTGATACGTGTCAGTATTTCGGAAATTATTTACGCATCACATACAGCACACGTTGACAGATGGTGTTTTTGAATTGGCTGAAAAGCACCTGTTATATAATTGCGGAAAATGTGGTGGAGAGCCGTTTATTACGAAATTTATTGTAATTTTTTGTAAATAAATAACCCGCGTTAGGAATTATCTCATACAAACATTATGCGATCGATCTTAAAATGATTTAATTTATTTATATGTGGATTTTCACTTGATTCGTTAACCGATTTGCTGTTAACTTGAGATTCGAATTGCAGTTTCCGCAGGCGAATTCGCCTTTGACAGACATTAATTCCAATAATGTATCGAATTTCTGGGAAGTTTTGTTCGAATAAAATGCATGAAATTAATGCGATTAATTTCCTTAAAAAGTAATTAAATTTGGCTGAAAGTTTGTGTAATCCTCTTTTGTCGGCGAATTTTAGCGGGACAGACATTAATCCTAACAGCGTCGATTTTCTGGAAATTTGTTTTAAAAATTAAATCGCTGAAAATTAGCTGTTTAATTCCCGGATAAAAATTAATTGGTTTTTTTATAATTTGCCTGATCTACCGGTGAAGTTGCATTTGTCAGACATTAATTCTACGAATGTCGATTTTCTGGGAATATTTGTGAAATTAAACTGCACAAAATTAATGCGATTAATTTCCTTATAAAACTAATTAACTTTGGCTGAAAGTTTGAATAATCCAATTCTGCCGGCAAATTTTAACGTGACAGACATTAATCCTAACAGCGTCGATTTTCTGTGAATTTTTCCTCAATTAAACCGCTCAAAATTAAGGGCTTAATTTCCTTGTATAAAAATTAACTGGTTTTTAATTGAATTTTACCCGCAGGCTGATAGGATAATTAATAGCTATGAGGAAAAATTGACTGAAGCGTACAAAAGTGAAGCAGGAATTTTCTGCTGACTCGGCGTTTTTTTTTTATTTATTAACAAACTCGTTATCCTTCCCTCTTGTTGGCTTCTCCCTCCCCCTCGCGCGCGCGTGCGATCAGTCAGCATCGTTAAGCGGCTTACGTAAGAGGCAAAACGGGTCCGTTGGTATCTGTATGCGGCCCGGTGGGTGGCTGGCGGCGCAACGGGTTTTTTAATACGTAAATACCGGTTTAAAAATGACGCTGTAATGTGTGCTGTATGTTGTTTTTCTCCGTTGCAGATGATTGCTCGTGTGGAGTATGTCCACAATCGCAATTTCATCCATCGCGACATTAAACCCGATAACTTTCTCATGGGCATTGGACGGCATTGTAATAAGGTAAAGAAAACGGGGAATTTTTGTTGTGGTGTGGTGATTTTCCTTCGTCCGAACTGCTGATCGCTGTTGTCAGCCGAGAAAACGCCCCCGGGGAGTTTGTTTTGTTTCGTTTTGTTGTGCTTGTGATTCTTGTCAGTTGGTGTTTGGTTTTGTGATTTTTCGACGTAGTCGCGGATTTCTTGGAATTTGTTTGCTTTTTAGAATTTATTAATGAATATTTAAGGTACTTATTTTTTTATTATTTGAATTTTTCTTGTACGCTTTGTATAGCTATCGCTCCTTTTTTGTTTACGGGATTGTGTTTTCCTTTTTTCCCTTTCACTGCTGCAATTCGATTAGATCAATTTTCAAATCATTTTTATTATTTTTTATTATTGTCGTAATTTTAGAATCAATCAATCTGTGATTTTTTTATTTGATAATAACATGGGGAAATTTCCGAAAATTACTTGGCGAATTATTTTTACATTTTTATTCCGGTTGAATCGTTTCATTATTTAAATTTTTATTCACAAAGATGATTTAATAATTTTAGACGCTTGTAATTTTCAATATTTTTCTAATAATTTTCGACGCTTATAATTTTTAATATTTTTCTAATAATTATCGACGCCTTATAATTTTTAATATTTTTCTAATAATTTTCGACGCTTGTAATTTTTTAATATTTTCTAATAATTTTCGACGCTTGTAATTTTTTAATATTTTTCTAATAATTGTTGACGCTTGTGATTTTTAATATTTTTCTGATAATTTGCGACGCCCTTGTATCAGTTTGTGGTGTCAGTGATTTCACGTGAAGATTTTCTCGGAAAATCCACCGATTTTAATGACTGTTGATTTAATCGCTTCGACGCGATGTTGTCGGATTTTCGGTAATGACTTTTCGCATGTACTGTACATGCAGCCGAAGAAAAACACCGTTTCCTCTTTTGCGCGGCCTGGGTAAATGACCGACACAGGGGGAGAAATAGATGTCATGAGCATAAATGTCAGGCCGGCTGTTGATCTGTACGACGGTTGCCAAGCGGGAGAATGTACAGCTCCTGATGGGCACTTCCGCTGGCTGCGTGTTATACATGTAGCGGGTCGTTTAATTATCAATTGTGGGACTGTTTTTTTGTGGTCTGGTCTTCGTCGGGTGATTAATGAGCGGCTGACTGTTGACGGATCGTGGCAGAATGGTTGCCGTCTCCAATGTAAACGGGCTAATTGAAAGGGAAACGATGCGTTACAGGATGAGATTGGGCTAATTAACTGGAGAAAATTAAATTAAAAATAAATTTCCAGAAAGAACCACGTTGTGTTTCCTTTTAAAAATTTGATTCTTGTTGTCATATTAATTATTAAATTAAGAAATCGCTCGCAGCTGACCAGGCACTGTTGGAAGAAAGACGGGATAAGGAAGAAAAACATTTTGAAAAATCTTTCGGGAAATAAAATGGGATGAATTGCTTAAATAATTGTTAAATTACTGATCGTTGTTTTTGAAAAAATGCTGATAATAAAGATGTCATTCTTTTTGAAAATTACTTTTTAAATTTACGAATATCTCCTGAATTACAGGGTACTTACTGTTTGAAGGAAATGCAGATAATGATAAGAAATGCTGTGGAAATTCCGTGTTGTTAAACCGCATAAATAACTGCTGATATACCAAACATTCTTTAATACATGCATTATAATAAAATTAACTCAAATGGGAGCTTCATAATTCGCTGAAAAATTATAAACGATTTGCGATGTCATTTTCTCACATTACGTATCACGTATTTTGGAAAACTGCGTTATCGTTTGATTTTATAATTGCGAGAAAAAGGGCAGAATAGCTCGCTTCTGCGAGAAGTTAATTAATTTGTCAAAGGGGCATTTTTCTGGGGAAAAATCATGATGGAGTTGGATCAGCCGCAACAAGGGATGACTGTTTCGCTCGGCACTTCCGTTTGACGGGGAAGCAGGGGGAAAAACAGTTCCCGGTGCCGGGGTCGGGGAGAGGTTTCGGCTTTCCGCCGTCAGAGATCAGGCGGTGCGGGAGAAAGGGAGAAAGCGCTCAGAATGGGATCAGCTGGTGTGATTGATTTTCCCGGAATGCACCGGCATTTCCCGGTGTGCATGGAGGCGCTGTTGTGCGTTATCGGGTCTGTTTTCGCCGCGTGTACGTGCTGGTGCAAGCTCCTGCATAATGGATAATCCCATCACGCAGATTTGAAGGGGAATTTGGTCATTAGCTAATTGGAGGATTATGGGGATTTTGTATATAGGGAAAAAGGGGATTTTTGAGATTTTTTTTCTCGGTCACGGGTGGAATTTCTCGGTGATTTTATTTTAGACGTGTAATGATTTTGCGCGGAAAATCAGTTGGGTCTGGGAATTTGATCGATTTAAAAATTGACTAATTTAATTTTGGTAATTGCTGGAAGATGGAGATGACTTTTCGTGATAATGATGCAGCCGTGTTTCGTTGGATTGCGGTCACGTGTGTTGGCTGTTCGTTTCCGGATTATTGACATTTTAGCATATTACTGCGTAAATTAATTCGTCACGTTTTCTTATAGTTTTTATGAATGTTACGTGCGGAATATTGTCGCGTTTTTGGTTTGAAATTGTTGATATGATAATCGCATTTTTCGATATCATTATCAATTCCAGTAACTGTGATTAATTCGGGAAATATAATACTTAAGTTGATTAAGTAGGAATTAATTCAATTTAAAATTGAGATCGTGGAAGAAGTTTTTCTGGAAAATCTGAATTAATTCGATACTATGGTACGAGTATCTGTACACTGTACAGTGTGTTAATATTTTGATAATTAGGAATTAATTGAAGTTCAACTTGAAGTAACGGAAGAAGTAGTCGGAAAAAAAATCTGACTTAATTCGAACTGATTACAGTGTACTTAATAATTAGGAATAAATTATTTTTAAAATTTAAGTGATGGAAGAAACAGTCGAAAAAAGCTTAATTATTCGGAATAATTATAATGTGCTTATTTAATAGGAATTAATTCAATTTAAAATTCATTAATGAAGAAAGGGTTCTGAAAAATTAATTCGGAATGTTCATAGCATACTTAATAATCAGGAATTTATCATATTTGAAATTCCAGTGACCTGAGAACCAGTCGAAAAAAATCGAAATTAATTCGGAACAGTTGGGAATTAAATTCTGAATTAATTTGAGTTGCCTGATGTTCATTGCAGCTTTTTCTAATTGACTTCGGTCTGGCCAAGAAGTACCGCGATAGTCGCACGCGCCAGCATATTGCCTATCGGGAAGATAAGAATTTGACCGGGACGGCCCGGTATGCCTCCATAAACGCTCACCTCGGCATTGAACAAAGGTGAGTTCTTTCGAATTTGGATAATATTTTGTGGAACAGCTGGAAGGCGGCGATGATGTCAGAGCCGGCGAATCAATAGCCAATGCGGCATGAAAAGTAAAGATGCTGGTTGTTGCAGTCGTCGTGACGATATGGAATCTCTGGGCTACGTGATGATGTACTTCAACCGCGGCAGTCTGCCCTGGCAGGGCCTCAAGGCCGCCAATAAGAAGCAGAAGTACGAGAAGATTAGCGAGCGCAAGATGACCACTGTAGTGGAAACGCTCTGCAAGGTACGGACCATGCATTTTCTGGGTTATTGAATTTTCAGCAATTTGTTTTAAATTTTTTCGAATAATTTTGTTTGTTGATGATGTCGTTATTGTTCGTTATATTCAGTTAATGCTCGTTTAAAAATTGTTGTTAAATTTATCAGCTGGTATGGGTAATATTTAAGAATCGTAGGTTTACAAAATTTCCCCCTTTTCTCTCCATTTGAAGAATTGGGGCTTCTTTTAAATTCATGGTGGATGGGTCGGAATGCATCCGGCCGTGTTGTCAAAATTTTCATAATGGCGTCAGCGGTGCTTGTAGCCATCGTACATCAGCTGACATTTATTTTTTATTAATAATTTACGTGATTGCTAAAACATTTTAAAAATCAACATGTTTTGTGGTATAAGTAAGTATAAGAATTAATTTTGTTTTGATTTCGCGTGCTTTATTAATAGATTGTTTAAATTTTATTTAGTGATTTCTGTTTCAATTGGGTGTTAAATGATCTTTTTATGTTGCAGCTTTTGTAAACAGTTATTCAAATTTCAGTGGGTAATTATATTTATTTGTTGTTGTGTTTAATATTCGTGCAAAGTTATCAGAGCTGTGATTTTTAATTTTTACTGATTTATAATAATTGTTGCTCTATTATTTCAGCATTAAAGAGGCTCTTTCTGTAGTATATAATTTTTTTAAAATTTCGTTAACAGATAATGATATTATTATTACTATGTGCAAATGACAAATCTATGTGGTTGCAAATTTTATTTTTAAATTTTATTTTTATCGGTAAATTATTCACTGAACGTTGAAGAGGATTTTTCACAGTAAATAATCGGTATAAATTGGATAAATGATTACAGGGCTATCCGGCTGAATTCGCCATGTATCTGAACTACTGTCGCGGATTGCGCTTCGAAGAAGCGCCCGACTACATGTATCTGCGGCAGTTATTCCGTATCCTCTTCCGCACCCTCAACCACCAGTACGACTACGTGTTCGACTGGACGCTGCTGAAGCAGAAGGCCGCCTCCGTCAACAGCAGCAGCATCCCGCAAATGACGGGCGCCAGCGCGGCCACCCCGGCCAACGCGCTGCACTGAACGCGAAAATCGACAACTATTGGGACAAATAATTGATGGAAAAATTCGGAAAATAATTCGATGGGCTGAAAAATTCGGGACAAATAAATCCAGCGCAGCGTGTTGATTATATTGTCGGGAATTTATATTCGTGTCATGTGTGCATCGGGAATCCAGTCAAAACAGTGGCGACGATGGGGGGCGGGGCGACGACGACGTTTTCTTTATTTTTGACTAAAATTGCGTTCTTTTTCTTCTCTCTCTCGCGTTCTTCTCTCTGTTGTCTGGCGCGCGCGCATTGAATTGTAATGGTCATTTTGATGCGAGAAAAAGATGACGGATGTGTTTTTGTGCGGGCGGCGACTACCTCATGCAGAACATTCGCGCGCGGCGGGAGAGGAGATTTTCGCGGAAGATTTCCACAACACAACCAGTTGATTCGTGGTTTTTTCTTCTCTACTCTCTCTCCTCGATTTATTTGTTTTTTCTTCTTCTTCACCTCTTTCGGTTGGGCAACGCGGCGGCCGCGCGATGACGCGGTGGGAAAATGTGTAGGGATGATTTCGTGGCGGTTTTTGAGGTGGTTTAATTCACGTGTAAAGCGAACGATGCAGCGATGAATGATCAATAAAATGAAAAGAAAATAATCGTTTGCTTGATAATCATAATGGAAAATAAATTACAGAATAAATGGTAAATTCAGGATAAAATAATTTCCAAAAGTATAATAATAAATTAAGAACAACATGGTAACAAATATAGAATAAAATAATAAAAAAATTCAAAATAAAATAATAATACAGAATATGTACCATTTAAGGAAGAAAATTATTTGGCATATGCAGCTAAATAAATTAGCTCGTACGGTAGGCTTTAAAGCGGAAAAGGCAACTTTAGCAGAATGCAGACGGGCGCACCCAGTTCTGGCTTCTTTTGTGCAATGGATTTACAGTCTTTTGTTTATATCTCTTGGTAGATCTGATAACTGCACTGCAGTACGCGCTAACAGACGGCAGATATTATTGAAAAACCACAACATCCGCATTGACGTAATCGTAATACAAAGGATCACATTCCTGTCATTCCACACCGCGCGCTTTTATTAAAATTCGTTGCACCAGGAAATTCACCACGGCGCGCGTGCGACCGTTAAACTCGCTCCACAGTATTAACACATAAACAATATTATTAACGCAAAAACGTTTCCCGTATGCCACAAATAACACAAACAAGTAAATCGGTAATTTTAAGTAGTATCACACGAATGCACTTTTGGTCAGCCAACAAAAGCGAAAATTCCCCAACTTACAGGGAAATCACGGGCAGCTCGGAGCTTTCCTTTCAAAGTCTGCAGAGACCGACTAATTTTGCAAGTGATACCAGCAGAAGCTTTTTATAGACTCAGCCTCATACAGCGTACGCCCGCCGAAAAATTGTGGCGTATGCGGATATTATACGAGTTGTGATTGGCCGATGCGCTTAGTACTCGTATTACGCCTCCGTCAGTCTGCACAACCGTCAGTCTGAAATTCGAATGTGTCGTCACTCGTCATCTTTCGAAATTTACTCTCAGGCAACGAGTACATACGGTACACTTCGGTTTTCGTCGGACCGCCTGGCCGATGGTGCCGTCAGTATGCCGATGGTGCCATCAGTATCATTTGTATGCCGTCAGCCCGTCATGCGAGTTTTGCCCACATTGGTCACACGATAAAACCGGTTTTCCCGTCTTCACTTCTCTAGAAAACGGGCGATAGTATCGCGCAGTTTCCTCTGCGTATCCCTCATGTATCCTCACAATTTTCGTACCTTTTTGTTCATTTTCGCATCCTAAAGTTTCTCTGCTATATCCTTTACGTATTAAAACATATAAGTATACCACCACAACACCTGACTACTGTAAGAAAACCTGAGAAACATAAGGAAGCCGAAAAACCTAAGAAAATTAACGGGATACATGGACGATCTACAAAATATACTACGAGGGTACTGCGGGATACCCTAGTTTAAAATACAGAATGATATGAGTCATATGACTATATTAACAGTATTCGCTATACGCAGTAACGTGCAGGATACTAATCGTAACTGATGTTTCCATGAGTACCAACTTCGAAAGCCACAGTATCCCACCGTATCTTATCTTCTACCCGAGTAGGTACTAGTATCCTTCGTGTATCCCGGGGAAAACAACTTTGGGTGTTATAATTTTTTTTTCGTAAGTATACACCAGCTGTCCCGATGTACAGGCATGTACTCGTATATAATCCTTTATAATAAAAGATTAAGAGGGGGCGTGATCAGTGTGTCTGTCAAATCCCCCAGAATCGCAGAGTGGATCAATATTCAACATTTACGGATCATTCGATAGCGCTGATTTCGTAGATGAGCCCGCAACTTTCGGATTTCAAAAAACAAACATCGTTTGAGAGAAAACTGTAAAAAACCCTATCATACAAAGTCTACGGAACCCCAACACAACCAATCAGCGAAGACTTAAAGTAACTGCCTTGCTGCAGAGCTTGCGCGGGTTATATCGTGAAACAAAATTCGAAAAATTTTGTTTGTTTTGATGTATTTGGTCTGCAATGGCTTTAAGAAACATTATATTAACAGCGGTGGGTTTAAGGATAATAAAAATTTAGGCACAAGAAAGATTTAAGTTATTTTGACAACCGAACGCACAAACGACCCAGGGAACTTAGGGAAGTGTCCCAAGTGAGAGCTGCATGCGTCGCGAATCTTGCTGGCAGCCTGGCAGTACCAATTATCAAGTAGCTGCGGGATGACGGTGGCTGCTTGATACTTAGGTAAAAGGCAGTGTTTTGCGGTAGTTTTAACCTAATCATTTCTCTGTTGACACTGTTTCTTTAGTTTCGTATTATACCGATGAAAGACGGTATTTTTAAAATTAGTAATGAAAAACGGATATTTACAGAAGGCGAAACGGAGCTGCTGCGCGAGCGGAGCTCGCTAAGCAGGAGGAGCAGCAATCAAGTGAGACATCGTTTGGCAGTTTTTTTCTTACAGTTTATCAGCCAGCTCTGCAAGACTGCAACAATTGAACCTTTTATAGTTAGTTAAGTATTAAGTAGTTAGTTGGTGTGGGATTGCCACTTGCCGCTGGAAAAAAATCACTTACCGTAATTATCGAATTTGCACCCCTGGGGTGCAAAAGTTCAAACGTCCTGGAGTAGGGGATCTTATTTCGGGGAGGAGGCGTTATTTCTGGGGGTGGTACTATTTTTCAAACGGTATTTTTCAGAAGTGGACGTTTATTTTCAAACAACTGCGCATTCTGTTCCATTGAAAATGAACGCAGTAGATACCGGTGTTTGCAGTTTCAGAACCTTACGAGCAGCATTCTGAAGCATAGCACCGAATTATTTTTGTGACCGTTTACTGTTTATTAATTACATCATAGCAGTTATTATGAAGCAATTGGCCTTATATCTATCATTTCGTGGCGCTTAACATTTAATAACACCCCCATGGGAGGCAGATTCGGGGAGGAGCTATTTTTCAAACGGGTTATGGGAGGGGGCTTACTTATTACGGATAGTGCCTTATTATGCGGGGAGGTGCAAATTCGATAATTACGGTAATTCGGTAATAACTTAGTTTTTGTCAGCGAAGTTAACTGTATTAGCAAATGCGCTAATTTTTATTTTAACTGCATTTATCATCAGGCAGCAGTCGATTTCCTCTGCGCACTTTGCGCGGTGTCAGCCATACTACCGTAGAAGTATAGGTAATTTTACCAGTACACTTGCAAGTTGCAACACATAATCGAATTTAAAATATAGAATTTGTAATTATGATCCGTATTCTTCCTATTAGTACAGTATCTCAATCATAATTTGAGTCTTAGAGCAGCCTGTATATAACGTAAATTATTTGTAGCTGATTTGTTCCGCGCAGTTTGCGCGGGGTCTACTAGTATCTATATAATATTATTATTAATTGGCGGTAAACAAAAACATGTTATCCCTTACTGCAGCATCCCAATGTACCTTAGTGTATCCGTCGAGCATCTGTCAAGTATCCGGATAATTTTCCTAGTGGAATACTTTCGAAATGCGTAAAGGATACTGCACAAATACAGTGGGATACGGCAGTGATTAAAGAAAAGTAGCAAATTTGTAAGATACATGAGAGATACATACAGTGCGGGATACGGTGTGATACTAACGATAAGGAATGTACATCAAACAACTACAAGTCAAACCTCATTTCCGGAAAAACGTAACGTGTACTAACCGTGCCATGGGAAGTACAGAATATTACAAAATGGCATTTATGTTGTCTCTTGAATGGCATATAGTGCTAGCCTGAAGCGGTGCACTTCCCTTGTTGGTATCCTACCACTTTTAATTTGTTTACAGAAGTTGACCTTTACGGGATGAGGACTTTTCGTGGTGGTGGTTTCACAGGTTTCTGGTATGGATTCGGGCAGGAACACTCATGAGTCATGTCTACTTTCACTATACTGGGTAATGGGTAGTGAGTAGTCCGAAATCAGTGTACCCGAAAACGGAATGGACTGGTGAAAAGCTTGCTTCATGTTGCACGGAAGGTCTTCTTGAAGACTCACCGACGCCGGAGTAGGGCGCGGCATAGCCGCAGTTCCGACACTCTCCAGCGTTCTGCCCTGATCAGCCGGAGTCGATACTCGATAGTCAAACCGGTAGAAACTCAGCTGACAGAGAAGCACTGTTATCGTTGACGGTGTGTTCTTGATGCTGCCGTGTTTGGTACGGTGACCCGTCATGCATTTCGTCCACGAAATTGGTCAACCGTCACTAGTACTACGTAAAACACGAAGTCGTCATAGAGTAATTTTAGACTTTCTTAGGTTACTTAAACTTCTTAGTTTTCTTGGACCTCTTAGATTTTCTTAAGTTTCTTCCGATTCTTAGGTTTTTTTTCGTAGGTTTCTTAGGTTTCACCCTCGTGACGATCGGCGTCGTGCGTGTGGTCGGCAAAGTGTAAGTCGCCATAATGTAGCGCACCGACGTAGTGTGCACAGTAAAACCTCCTCGTTCGTACACCTCTACAAAAAATTCTGCACCGAAACTCTCCGTAGACTACAGTACAATGGGAACCCTCTACGTTACGTACCTCTACGATGCGTACACGTACAGCTGTTCTCTGTATACCGCCTAACGGCCTCAGCACTGAACTGTACGCAATCACCTCGAATATAATAAATATTATACGTACGTACACCGGTGAGCCAGAATTTAAATTTTTTAAATATCTGATGGGGAAATTGTAAAAATCTAAAGAAACTAGCTCAAAATTGCATGTTGTGGTTTTCAACAATAGCATGAGTTCCCAATACAATAAAACAGAAACTGAATTTCGTCGGAAAAAGAAGTTATCGATCGAAGGAAAATTTGTCTTAATAAACACGACCGCACGAGACGGGACCGTTTGTAATTAGTACTTAATTACAACCGTTAGTCTTTACAGTTTACAGATACTAACTACTACTCGTTAGCGCTTGTGATATTCCCGTACTAAAAATTGTTAAAAAATTAAACAAATGTGTGATTATCACTAATATAAAAAATTCCTCACATCACTTTAACCAATTATATTGTCAAATGTCAATTATTAGCTTCCGCTCTTTTATCGCTTTGGAAGTGGCAGTCCCAATGCTTGGAGTAGTGGAACTGGAATGGAATGTGGCCTTGTTTGGAATGTGGAAGAACTGGAATGGAATGTGCAACATCTTGTTTCCGGTTGCAATAGTTTTGATTTTTTGCGAACGTAACAAATCAAACTTGCAAGTAAAGCAATTCTTTCTTATTTTCTAATTTCATATTCTTTTAGAATCAGTATCGATTTTATTTTGAAACATTTTCATTGTGTGATTGTGAAGTTGACCGTGTCACAGCGGTGAATCTTTGACACGCTGTTTTCGGTATTGTGTTTTCGGTACAGCGACTGTGAAGTGTGAAGTTATCCGTCGACCGTCGTTGTGCAAGACAGCCCGATTTCTATTTCTGCACTGATTTTCCTGAGGTTGTGATTTGTAACTGTTTTCATTGTTTGTTAATTTGCCAGTCCTATCCTTGCGAAAGATTCGCGAAACCTCAGAAAGACAGGAAACAGTAAGCAAAACCATCACCGATGACTGATGTAATATCGTGGTGCGGCCGTAATGCATTCTCCGTAGTGCATAAGCGGCACAGCTGGCACAATACTGGGAAGCACTAACGCCCGTTGCATTTATCTGTAGTAGCTGCGCGTTCTAATATTTCCCGTTACTTCTATGCATTTTGTGGTCTGTATCGACAGGAATGTTATCGAGTGCGCTGTTTTATTTTGACTGAATTTTCGTTCGTTTGCGTTTTTGGAGAAGTTGATTATTTTGCAGTTGCTGTCTTGATCTTCCGCAAGTTTTCCTGGACGTGTAATTCACCATGTGGATAACGCGTCTAGATGGAGGCCCTAAGAAAGTCAATCATGCGGCGGTGGTAAGTGGAAGTATTTATTAAAAATATGCAGTTACGAATATCTGTGTACCGTACTTCAGGACAGCGCGTAAAATGGCAGTTTTTGTCTGCGTTATCGCCGTTATGCGTAAATATTTTTGTCTGCGTTATGCGTCCGCGGCAAAGTTCTCCGTTGATACGATCCGTTTCCTAACGGGTGACCCTGATTTCTTGCAGGCGATTGACGATAAGATCTACTCGTTTGGTAAGTACCGTTTTTGCTTTCCAGGAAACTGTTTGAACGATGTTCGACTGTACTGTCGCAATGGAAAATTGTGGGAGACGCTGATTTTTCAGTAGTAAATACATTGAATGATTAAAATTTAAAAAAAGAATTGGTTCTTAATTATATAAATAGGAAATTTGGCATTTTAATTTTTAAGTGGTGTTGTTTGCTACCGATGTTCCGAAATTCTCCGCCGCATGTAGCCATTTTACAACGATTTCTGTTAAGATCCATTAAAATCAGTCACTTATTAATTATTAGAAATATTTGTATTTCATCTAAATACAATTTTATACACCGAAAAAAGGAAAATTTTCCTAGACTTTGTGATGTGAAAATCATTGCAGTTAATTTACGATGTACAAATGAATAAAATCTGGCAGAAAACAAAGGATATGGAAAAATAGAAACGCAATGTACTAGTATTTATTTCCATTTTTGCAGCCTGCTGGCATGCTACTAGACTACTATGATTAATACTGTAATAACAATGTAAGAAAAATAAGTATAAATAATTTCAAAGTAAAATAGTAATTAAAATAATTAATAATTATTAAAAATAATTAATATATTTAAAAATAATTCATCTGATTAAAAAATGATTAACAGTTTTACAAATTCAGTATTATCTGGCGCTCATATAAAAAGTAGACATACAATATCTAGGAAAGTTAGCATTTGTTTTAAGTGACAATATTTAATTTAAAAATTATTGAACCAGTCTAATTTTGTCGATAGGCGGGTATTGTTCGGGTGAGGATTTCGAGTCCAATCGGCCGATGGAGATCTACGTCCTGCAGACGGCCACCCTGCGCTGGAAAGCCCTGCCGCCGCCCACCGGCGGCTTTGACGAGGACTGCCGGCAATCGCAGGTCCCCTTCCACCGCTACGGCCACTCGGCCGTCGTCTGGCAGCAGTGCGTGCTGATCTGGGGCGGCCGCAACGACCTGGACGGCGCCTGCAACACCCTGTACGTGTACGATACGCAGCGGGCGGTCTGGTGGCGACCGGCGGTCCAGGGCATCGTCCCGGAGAAGCGCGACGGGCATGCGGCCACCATCCTCGGCGATGATATGTACATTTTCGGTACGCAGCAATTTGTTTTTGTTTTGCTGTTTTTCTTTAGGTTTCTTCGGTTTTAGTTCTAATCTATTATTTATTTTATATTTTCTAATACCCTACGTAATGCTCTTTAATTACTTTTATTACCGATATCATTCATTTTTACTAAAAACATTTCATAATAATTTCATTGGAATTGTTTATTTATTTTTACTTGACACACTGATGTACCGAGAGTAAGTATTTATTTCGTGGAAGCTGTACCGACTCCCGAGAGTATTTATAATTAATGATTTTAAGCGATGAAAACAACTGATGATGCCTACGCAGGCTAACATTTTTTCCTTTAATACTAACAATATAAAAAAAACGATACAATTTTTTTTAAAAATAAAGGTTCCTCAGAACTTTTTTCGTTTGCTAAAATAATATAAAATACGGTACAACATTAGGCGTAAAATACAGATAATATTATTAATATAAAAATAAGTGTGAGTTAACTAAATAATTAGTAGAAGGAAAACTAAATTAATGAGTTTAGAATACAATGAAATGAATAAGAAAATAAATTAAATAAGAAAATAAAATCAAAACAAAATGAATAAGAAAATAAAATGAATAAGAAAAGAAAGGAAAATAAAATGCGTTACTGACCTTTATGTGCGCAACTATTTTATGTTTTATTCCCAGGTGGGTTCGAAGAGCAAGGCGACCGGTTCTCGTCGGAGCTGTACCGGTTGCACATCCCCACCATGACCTGGCATCACGTCGTCCCCGCCGGCCTGCGCCCGATGCCGCGCGACTTCGCCACCATGCAGGTGGTGGACGGGCACCTCCTTCTGTGGGGCGGCCGCGGCGATCTGGACGAAGAGGGCCTGCACACCGGGACGGAGAAGTACGAGAACTTCCTGCACGAATACGACGTGGAGCACAACGCCTGGCTGCACCATGTCCTGCGGTATGCCCCGCCCGCCCGCCGCTCCCACGCCTCGTTCCTCCACCAGGGCCGCATGCACATCTTCGGCGGGTTCAATGGGCGCGATCATTTCAACGATCTGTGGGTGTTCGATCAGCGGCTGATGCGCTGGAACGAGATCAGTAAGGGAAAAATGAAATTTGCGTTTACTTTTACTTATTCAATTTTAAAAACTAGTTTATTGATTGTAGTACATGCACATGCCTGTTGACAAATTCAGCATGTAAAGGAACAGGTAGAGCGATATTGGCGCGAAGTTACAGCTTAAATGATGGTCACTGCACTACGTTTACTACGTAGTCTACGTTAGTAAAGATTTACGTGTTGCCCATAAATTTCTAATGTTTGCTGTATTATTAATGCTCAATTTGTCGACAGGCTTGTATTTGAGTATTTAACGAAATTGTTGACCGAAAATAAAGGTTTTACTTTAGTTGTCTAGAATAAAAAACGAATACTTGTGGATTAATGTGTGCATTGCACATTGTTTGAGTACTTTATTACTTAATAAAATTGTTAACCGAAAATAAATGTATTATTTTAAATGTGCAGAATAGTAAATAAATTTTCATAGATTAATTATTATAATGAATAAAATTATTTAGTGGCTTTTATTATTAATACTGGCATTAACGGCCGTTAATACTAGCCTGATTTTTTAAAAGTACTCGTACTATTTGACCGAATTAAAACTGGTCGACGGTGATAAAATGGGTTTCGTCCCTTAAAAAATCGTAACACAATTTGTTTCGTAGAATTCGGCAGTAGTCCCGTGGTGCCGTGTCCCCGCCGGCGCATGTGCTGCTGCGTGGTGGAGGATCGCCTCTTCCTCTTCGGCGGCACCTCCCCGGCGAACCAGATCCCGGAGGCCGCCAACCTCCTGGCCGACAACGGCCTGGTGGACCACGAAGATCTCTGCATGATGGAATTCCTGCCGCGGCTGGACACGCTGGCCATGGTGGCCGTGATCCGGCACCAGCTGCCCACCACCCGGCTTCCTTTCACCGTCCGCCTCGACCTCCTCGTCCTGACCACGCCTAACAGTCTGTCGCCGCAGCAGCGCCTCCGCGCGGGCAATCACTCGGGATAGACTGGCGTTCTACGGTTTTATGTTGTTGTGATAATTTGATAAGTGTTTTTGCAGCAAGCCAAATTGTTTTCCGTTTGCGATTTGTTTTGTCGGTGATGAGAATGTGACGCGAAAATGGTTGATTACCGGGTTTTTTCACGCATTCGGCCTTTTTTAATGAAACACTATGATTTTCTTTGGAGCGATAGGCTGTGGATTTGTGATATTTTAAAGAATTAAAGCGAATCAAACCTTTAGTCATTTAGTAGAAATAAAAGTCTCTGACTATTTGTATAATCATAAAGAAATACTAAACTGAATGATAATTTATTTTCATCCAAATTTTATGCGGCCGTATATTTATGATATTTTCATTTACCTTATTAGCTATAAGCAACCGTAATGCCACAGCTGTGTAACGCGGTGTTAAAGAATTACCGTGTATTTATATTGTTATTTGTGTATGATTATTTAATAGAAAACTCCATTTTTTATTCTCCATACGTATGAGCAAAACCATTTATCGTAAACTTGGAGTATGCGTACACACTCCCAGTAAGCAATACAACATGAAAACTCGGTTTCCATTCTCGAAACATTTCTGTAATAACATTACAATAATAACATCGTTGAGAACTTGTAGAGGAAGGTGTATTTTTTGCTTTAAAAAAGTCTCGTTATAGTCTTATATTATACAAATAGTTTTCCAACTTTGCACAAAACGGCACATGAAAATTAGTGTATTAAAAGCCAAAATAAAGATCATTTTCGCATCAAATCAGATTTCTGACGCTTATCTTCCAGGTTTTTAACTTGCAAGGTTACTGTGGAGCGGAAGATAGTTAAAACTGTCAAATAAAGCATTCACGAAATAGTCGGCTTTAACGTCAACTCTGCGCTCTGTATGACACTGTATGTACCGTACGACGTACTGTAGACGTGAGTACAGTACGAGTATGTATATGTACATGCAAAGCACATCAGGCTGCAAAAGTGACGTAAACGTCCGATCGGACCAGCTGCGCAATCGGCTTTAGCGGCTCTCTCGCTCTGCGTTAAGTCAACAGCGGAATACGAGTACTACAGGAAGGCAGCTTGCAAAGCTGACTGTGAGCTTCAGCGTGCTGAATTAGATTTGCTTTGTGTTGGGATTTCACAATTTAAGCTTCACACTTTTATTTTGGTAATCACCACCAGCAGTCACAGTTTCGGATTTGACTACTGCATACAGTAAGTTAGTAACTATTTTTTGTCTCTAGTAATCTTACGGAGTGAGTGTTTACTGTACAGAACGGTTTCAAATACCGAATTGTGTACGATTTCTGTGGTATACTTTAGTGGAAGTTTAAGTCAGCGTTTTATTGTGCTTTCAGCTTGCTGACCATGAATGCTAATCAGCCCATCGTCCCGGGACAGGCGGATGAAGCAGCCGCAGCCGGACAAGCGGACGCGCAACCAGCCAATCCTGCTCCCGCGCTACAGGAAGTCCTCCAGCAACATGCTGGAAACCCGGTGAAGTCCGTGGAAGTGAAGGCAGATCTGCCTAATGGCCAGACCATCACCGTATTCCGTAAATTTTGATTGTTGTCTGTTCAGTTTTATTTTATTGCGTTTATGTTGTTTGTTCCGAGCAGCTTAAGTAAGCTTATGCAGTTTTTAGTAAAAACAGTTATCAGAATAGCGTTCTTATTTTGCAGTAAATTGTTGTATAGATTATTATCATTTTGTATTTTTTTTGGTTGAATTTGTCTATTGAATTAAATTTGGTAAGCGTTCTGAATGTCTTTTGAGTACTGTATATCCAGTCTCATTACCAGTTGATATTTTCGTCCACTAATTGTGGCTAACATGTTTGAAAGCTGAATTTCGTCGGCCGCCACCGTAGCCGATTTAGAAATGCGCAAAAATTTCATAGAAAATATTAAGCCGATTGTCCATTATAACTGTGATGAGTAAAACGGCGGCGCTCACCGATTTCTTTAAATCCATGGGCACACCTTCAGCTGCAAGACGACGGTTTTAAGTTTTATTCAAACAACCATGGAAGCAAGAACACCAGTAAAATATCATTTTACAAATGGAGCAGACAGCGGGAATGCAAAAGCAGTCCGGAATCTAATTTTCGAAGCAGGAGCTAACGCTTAACGGCAGTGCATTCCAGTACCTAGCACAAATTTCTTGCATACAAACATAAAATCTCGCGCTTCCGCAAGCTCAAACACTTCCACCAAACAGTTCCTTCCATCGTTTCTAAGCATTCTGTAGCTAATACACTTGCAGTTATATCCATTCAGCTACTGTACATGGGTGCAGAAACCGTACGTGTGCATAACATCCGGATGGGGAATTCTGGGTAATATGTGGTCCTCACACTTTAAAATGCAAACAGGTGCACCAAAAGTCGGATTCAGGACCGATCTTCTCTGAATCTTGCACTTAGATGCGCTCAGGTATGAGAATGGTTCTACATCCTGCGTTTTTTTAAATACGTTGACAGTATTTTCAAACTTTAGTATGAATTTTAAAACTCTTAAAATTTATTTTGTGACATTAGCGAACTGCAGCCCTTTGGAAAGGGAAGCACAACTGTACTGAATTAAATGAATTCAACTCAGCAAGCAATCAGCGGTCTATGTATTCGCGGGAGTTATGTAAATATGTAACACCAACTTCAAACGTCGACAAACCGCGGGGTGCATTTCTCGCTGTGGTTATGGTGTACGTTCTGGTAACTAGCCTCTACATCATCTATATCGCTTTGTTAGCTGGTGACCTTTACGAATCTTTACTGCTGGTTAACATATGATGGCGGTTTTTTGCCTCGCAGTGGCAGGTCATCTTAGTGCTGGCAGAGGTCTGACCTCAGGGAATATTCGCTTGAACCGCCATCATATGTTAACCAGCAGTAAAGATTCGTAAAGGTCGGCTCACCGACATTTCGTCGACTAACACTTCGTCGACTGACATAACGTCGATGGCACTACGTCGACCTTTACGAGAGCGACGGCTAGAAAACCTAAGAAATCTAAGAAAACCTAAGAAAACGGAGAAGCCGACAAAGCTAAAAAACTAGAAAAACCTAAGAAACCTAGGATAACCCGAGAAACCTCAAAGAACTAAGAAAAGTGGGATTGGTTTAGCTAAACGCTAGTCCCGCGACATTGTGGCGGGTCGGCATAGTGTCCGTTCGACGAAGTGACGGTCGCCGAAAAGGAGGGAGGGTCACCGTGGCGGCCGCGCAGGGCCTTGTGGCCATCAGTCACAAGCGGTACACATCGGTAGTTCCAGCTCCGATGTCTTCGGTCCCAGCAACGTCTCCACTAACAACAACGGGAAGCCAATCATGATGCCGATCAAGGACAAGATTTGTCCTTGATCGGCCAATTTAATCGACCCGGCAGTTCCGAAATCCATTTGCATCCGTATCTTGTATCTTCTACAGTACTTGTTTTTTCTTAAGCCTTTAACTGAATGGTGGCATATCCGCCATCGTTACGTGTTATCTGTGCTCAACGTATTACGCATCAGATTTCCTATCCCGGAAGCGTTAGTAAGTCTCACCCATACAGCTACTTCCTTGTGAGCCGTGTTTCATTTGATCGGGATTATTCTGGAGAAGGTTGATCCTGCAAATTTCCGGCACCGGGCCATATTCATATAGGTCACGGCAGTACACTGATTCTGGCGACTGCATCAGACTTCATTCTGCCCTGCAACTTACGGCAAGACAACAGATTTGCTGCCGGTAATTGGTTCGCCGCTCGATAATTTTATGCTGCAGGCTCCGAGATGCGGCGCTTTACCGGAATTTCCAGAACACAATGACTTGGGCGCGCCCTCATTATTTTGACAGGTTATTGTACCAAGAGCTTGTGTTGTAATCAGTATTAATACAGGCAATACGGTAAGGTCAAAATTTTGTTTAGGAGAGCTTTACTGTCCCGTATTATTGAAACTACTGCTGCCAGGAATCGACACAGATGTACAGTACGAGTATGTACAAGCCAAATAAATTTTGTTCCTTGTTCGCATAATTACGAATTTCGTATATTCGCTTACTAAGTCGCACATTCGTTTTTTATTCTAACAAAAATCTCTACGACTACACGTCTCATAGAGAGCAATAAAAACATTATTGTAGCTTCTTGCGAAGCGAAGGTTTATAGGAAATTACATCAGTTTCGCAACAAGATTCAGCCTCACCATCTGTATAAACACTTGTTAAAATGCTTAAAACAAGATCAACAACATCAACAAAACAAGAGAAATCATCAGCCATATCACAAAGAACAAGAAACAACTGAAGACAGACGTATCCGTGTACGTGTGAAACTTACATAAATCCGGACACCTTCACTTTGCGCCCGTCGGCTACCGTGATGGTCACCTCGACGGACTGGATGCTGGTCGTGTCGCTGCCGATCGAGCGCAGGACGTTCTTTAAGAAATCCGCCGCATTGGACGCCGGTGGCGGGTTCCCGATAGTCGTCGGTCCCCAGGCAACACCCCTGGACGACGGTATAGGTGGCACCTCCAGCGTCGGCTCCTCAGCACGTGCAGGAACGTTACCCGCTGTCGAGATACTAGCGGCCGCATGCACGGATGCTGAAGATTTCTTTGGTTGCGTGCCAGCACCAGCTACGTTACCAAATGGAACGGCATCAATAATCACTGGTGGCGGTAGAGTGCGCTTCTTCGGTGGCAAGTTACCAGTAGCCGCGTTACCCGATGCGGCGGTACCAGGAGCTGCTATCGGTGGCAGCGCTGGCTTCTCCAGTTGCACGGTACCAGCAGCAACTTCCCCAGTTGAAGCGCTATTCCCATGCGGTGGTAGCGATTTCTTCGACGGCAAACCAGCGACAGTCCCTTTACCAGTTGCGGTGGTACCAGGAGCTGCTACAGGCGGCAGAGTAGGTTTCCCAGGTTGCACGGCGCTAGCAGCCACTTTAGCAGATGAAACGCTATTAACAAGCGGTGGTGGCGGTTTCTTCGACAGCAAACCACCAGCCACGTTGCCAGATGCGGTGGTTCCAAGAGCTGCTACAGGCAGAGTAGGTTTCGCGGGTTGCAAGTTAACAGCGGCCACTTTACCGGATGAAACGCTGTTAGCAGACGGTGGTGGTGGTTTCTTCGGCAAACCGGCTGCCACGTTACCACTTGCGGCAGTTCCAAGAGCTGCTATAGGCGGCAGAGCAGGTTTCCCCAGCTGCACGGTACCAGCAGCCACCTTACCAGATGAAACGGTATGCCCAAGCGGTGGTAGCGGGTTCTTTGACGGCAAACTAACTGCCACGCTGCCAGAAGCGGCGGTGCCAAGAGCTGCTATAGGCAGAGTAGGTTTTGCGGGTTGCACGGTACCAGCCACTTTGCCCGGTGGATCGCTATTCCCAAGCGATGGAAGTGGGTTCTTCAACGGGAAACTAGCAGCAGCCACGTTACCAGATGAAACGCTACCAGTAGCCGATGATAACGCGGTCGGTTTCTCAGGTTGCATATTACCAACAGCCGATGACGCCAGCGGTGCAGCTTTCTTTGGTGACGGCGGCTTCGTTACCGGAATCCCACGGCAAGCTTTCTTTCTCTCTGGAGACATACTGCGCTCGTCGGCGGCCGCTGCTGCCTGCAACAGCGGACCGTTGTGCATCCCTAAAGGTCCCACATTGCTCGCGGCTTTCCCTGCCGCACTGTTCAATGCATCCGGGTTTTCCCCGGGGATCTTTGGTGGATATACGTAAGCGTACAGTACGTAGCAGGGATCCTCCACATCGCGGTCGCCCAGGAGCAGAAGTTGCTTCTTGATGGCGTCCACCACCAGCTCCTCGTTCTGCAATTTGTTGACCTCCCCGAACAGCTCAACATGGGCGTCGGCCGGAAGATGCAGCTCCCCCATCGCCCATTGCCGCACCTTCCCCAGGGTCGCCGTCGGTTTGTTGCCGCACCACAGCATGTCCGGCCTCCCGTCCGCGTGTGGCTGCGGGTTCGTCCCGGGCAGGGGGGCGCTGCCGTCGGCGTTCATGTAGATCACGCGGATCTCGAGCGGAATGGCCATGCTGCGTCCAGAGAAAAAGGGCGGAATGAGTAATCTGCAACGAATATTTACCATAAGCCGCACACTTACAACATGGGCGTAAATATCAAACAGAAAGCATAAAATGTATTGTACAAGTATTCATTATGATGTACTGTATCTGTACTACTTCGATGCTTTTCGCATAAAAAACGCTCTCGTTGTAATTTTTCCGCGGAAAAATCACTAAACTTCATTTCGTTACTTAATAATTTGTTTTCCAGTTCTTTACACATTCTGTATACCTAAAACCGGTTTGATAATAAAAAACATACATATCATAGGTACCAGATAGCCTGGAAGGCTTAAGCGTTTGCACCCGGCGCGCATATTCTGCAGCAGGCCGGGAAAGTGTCACCGCCATATAATGCGACTATCAGTACATTATAATATAGTTATACTTCGTATGCGAAGCGGTAATTAAAACGCAAACATTCGAATAACATTATTTAAAGTTAAACAACTTTCAGTTGATTTTTATACGTAGTACACTAAAAACAGATAGAGGTCTGGGGAACAGAATATCACTCACGAATAGTACGAATGTATAGATGTAAAGCTTCACGAAAATCACGCAGCAATAATACAAAACTCTCATTTACTCACCTTTCAGAACACAGGCTTCCAGTTCAAAAAGATCCGAAAGAATCAAGAGTTGTTTTCAAAGGTCGTAGTCACAAAATACATTCAAAATTGGCAGCGAAAACTCCACGAGCTGCTGCATTCGTAAACAACGTGAGCATTTGAGAGCCAGTTCGACGCATGCGGCATAAAAACTGATTTTTTGAGTGAAAACTGAAAAAACAGCGTTATCGCGTGACCAATGAGGAATCACCGTTAGCGATAAAATTTTTCTATTGGTCTGACGGCCGTCAGAAATACATTCTTGGCCAACACACAGTTGCTGACGACACATCCGTATTGGAAATATTTAGGCCGATTAAGCTGCTTTCATCGCCGGCCAATCAAATACTGAGAGAATTATTTCAGGCACATAACTGCTAATATGTACGGCCGAGTATAAATAGCTGATGCTTGTTTCATTTCGAAAATTATTCGATGCCTTTCGAGTTTATACGTGCCATTGTACAAATCTTACTTTTGTGTTTAATTCCAGCGATCTAGTACGGTACTTTTAGCTTAGCTATTCCGTGTATCGTTCCTCTTGATTATACGGTATTTCTTGCGTTTCCGGCGCTTTTACAGTAGACGATCATGGAACCAGTAGTCCCTGCCCCGTATAATGCCGGGGCATCGAAGCCACCACCCTCACCGCCTTCCGTTCCCGGAAACGATAGCAGCCCTGTGAAGCCCCCGTCCACCGTTGGTTCTCTGCAGACCGACCTGCAGTCCGTCTCCAGTAAGAAGGTCGTGGCGTGCACAGTTACCGCGGAGCTGGAAGATGGACAGGTGTATACCATCCAGAAACAGTTCTAACGTTAACGTTGAATTTGTATTTTGTCTGTATTTGCCGACTGCAGCCGTTGTGGTGTCGATAAGTTGCTGCTAAAGAGATATTGTTTATGTAATACGGTGTAGCGGATGCTGCGGATTTACAGTAGTTGTCGTGCAGCTGTGTTCAGGTTCCGAGCACAATAATTAAATAAAAGCGTGCGGTGTGAAAAATTCTGACTCTGTGAATTTCGGATCGGCAGTGCGGATACACGAATTAAACAGCCGTCCGTGCACGCGCAACAGGATGTTTAATAATTATTGTTAAACTTAAGGAAATGCAACAAGATTCATAGAATTTTGCTTCTAACTCAGAAAAGCTGTACAAGCCACATTCATAATTACATACAGAGTAGTTGCGTAAAAATACAGATATTGCAACATTGGCGCTTATACAAAGTAGCAATAGCCACTACACTACCTAAGCTTAACCCATGAATTCGTATTTTTCGCTGTACCTTTACGCAACTAATTATGATTCTGGCTTGTACATTAATTTCAAGTTTTCAACCTTTACTGACTATGCCGGCGTCGCACAGAGCTACTCGCAGTGCCACAAAAACCATCGCAAAAGCAACCAGCCAGTGCTTGTGCAGTTTTTCCGGTGTTCATACTCAAAGCGTTCAATGTTATTACTAAAAGTAGAACGTAACAACGGAAAATTAATCTTTAACAGGGCCTTCATTCTGCTGTTCCTCAATGTTATACAATTGACTGCTTAATACCAAGCCACTATTTATGTAGTAGCGAAATGGCGACACTGGACGAAATGCAACGATGACTTTGAATCTTCCCAGTCTAAAATTCAGTTATCCATATTTATCGGCAAAAGGTATACAAACTTTAAAAGTTGAAGTTTTCGCAATGCAGTATTGTATTAATGCAAAATTATGCAAGTAGGTTCTTATGTTTTTACATTTTCGTTAATTTTCGTCGTATACGTTTGGTATCTGGATGCGGCTTGTTGAATTCTGTTTTACATATGTTCCATACTTGAGGGACCAAAAACAACAGACCGCCAGCAAGTGCGTACACAACAGTGCGACAATCCGGTTAAGTAATTTTTTTAAAATACCGCGGTGCATGACCAGTATCTGCCCTTGGTGGTAAAGAACGCCATCCGAAGCAGTTGGGAAATCATTTTCCAGTTAGTCCCGGCACCGGACATGCTTTGGCACGTTGCACCAGCGTTCAGTCGGGATTTGCGACGAAATGGATCCGATCGTTTTGCTAGCTCCAAAACGAAATCCACGCCGAAATTTCTCACCATTTTATGTGCAAAATTTTATTTAATGAATATGGTAAAGCCGTTAATATAATTGAGAAATTTTAAGACATTTAATCAAAAAATCCTTCTGACGTTTTCGTCAAGGCGAATGTGACCTGCATCCGTCACGCCGACAGTTTACGGCGTCGGCGACATGAGGCTTCCGGGGCTGCTAATCCCGGCAGCGTTGTCGGTATCCGGCATGTAATCATACACTCTTTAGACGATTGCATCTACGATTGAACAATCCCGCGTTATCATGAAGACCGACCCATTGCACAACACAGTTTCCATGGTATGCACTTTGGCTAGGGCATTGACCGGTTGACCACTGGCTCATAGGCCAGATTACGCATTAACGAACAAATTCGAAACACCTGTGTATCTGTACAGCATGACCTGTGCCGCAACAGCGCCGCGGTTATATAACACTAGCTTGAACTTTGCACCGGCCACTTCTGCATGCTCCTGTAAAAGAAATCGAACCGCTCTTTCACTCCCGTAGATTTTACCACTAGTGCTTGTGAAGTAGCCTGCATAGCATCCAGTGAAGAGTTCAATTATTTTTTTCTATATTCGTCGTACGCTTACGTACTGATTTTTAAACGAATATATATTGAACACGTAAGGTAAGGTTTGGCATGGTTATTCCTTCCTAATTCCTGCCGATCTTAGTTTTACAAACTGCAGTTTTGGATGAAAATCGTAAAAATGGTTGGCGGGTTTTGATTTCTTTAAGCAGCTTCGTTAATTAATAAGCTATTGGAAAAATATAAAATTTGAGAATTTTGACGGTCTATACGTGCGCGTCATCGAATCCGTATTGACCAGTTATTTATTTTCGATTGCCGGCAGAAAATTTTCTCGCAACATGGTGGCGGACATCCCCCTCAAGCTGGTGTACATCCACCCGGCGGGCGAGTTTAAACGTGACGAGACGCCGCCCATGTTCCTATTTGGCGACACGGACGCTGACCCAGCCATCACCATGGCCGAGCTGCACTACGCCACGCTACGCGAGCTCTGTCTGCCGGCGGATACGCCCATCGTCCTGTCCAACGGGACCCTGGTGCCGGATGACAATGACACCCTGGCCGAGGCCATCGCGAAGGGCTACCTGCATCTGCACTTTGAATCGCCCGCGGCGCCACGCTACGTCATTTTCGTGCACGTGTATCCTCCGTCGGCAGCGTGGGTACCGGCACCACCAGAGCCTGATGTAACAGCGGAGCGAATGCCGGATGAATGCGAGAGCGTTGATGGTTATGTGACTGAGCGGCCGGATGACGGCGATGCGGACTGTCACGTAAATCACACGCAGCTTGACAGTACAGAATATGAGGTGTAGCGGCGAATCTGAAGAGATTTACTTAGCGCTCGTTTTTATGGTACTCTTTCTTATCTTCATACGTTTTCGTTTGCGCGGAACATTGGAGATGTTACGAGATACCGAAAAATGCGAGAATTTGTCCTAACATACTTTGGCTTTAATGTTTGGTCATTTGGAAACGACAAGAATATAACAGATAAGAATAACCCTATCCTATAAGGCTATAACCGTATTTTTACCGAATCTTCGGCATATTACAAGTATATGGGCCTTATTAATACGAGTAAACGGTACTGGAAAGAGTACTGTACAATATGTGTTTTCAGAACTTCCGGTTCGTTTATTTTTCGATTCCGAAACCTGACGGCTACATTCAGACACTACTGCTTTTAAAATTAGATTTAACAGCCACTGCCGTCGTTAGAATTACATATCCTACTGTTTTAATTTTACATGACATTCTGACAAAGTGATGCAGTAGAATACTGTACTGTGCAGGTCCACCGGCGACCGTAACGTTCGGCCAAAAGCTGTCTAATCGTATAAAATTCGTCGTATATAATTCATTTCGTTCGTAGAACTACGAAATTGCTACGAGGTAGATATGGCACGGTCGGTTTCGGTAGAAATACAGCAGTTCCCATATACGGTAAAATGTCGTTGGTATGTGTTTCTGCAGAAATACAGCAGTACCACAGTAAGTAAATATTATATAATTCCCTATCTGAAACGCAATATGCGTAAAAGTAGTTCGCTGGTGCCGGAAACGAAACGTTGTACCGATCGTGCCGCCTCTGCTACGATAGACAGGCACGAGATTGCTATGAGAAATTGGTGAGATATCTTTTTTAGTTAGCAATTTACTGGAAATATCTGAAAAAAATTTATGGAATTTTGTTATACGGGCATTGCAAGGCAGGTTTCAAAAAAGCTATTTTGACCAGAACAGAACAAGCATGTGGATTTTGATTTTCATCCGCAGAACCAAAACAATCCTTATACAATGTAGGACTAAATGGTCGCATAGCCCCATACCCAGCATTCTGTACGCAAGCGGTGCAGTGCACTTGTACGAAACGGATATTTTGAACTCAGTCGTACGGTGCACTGCGCTGCATTCGTACTGAATGTGGAAATGTTGGGTATGCGACCATTTTGTCCTAAGCTGTATGTGAGCGCAAAGCCAGTACACCGATACACATGCCGCATGCGTACCGAAACGAATCGTAAACGAGTATGTGCAAAAACATATACTTCAGTCATCCAAAACAAATTGACCCGGCTGGCACCATGCCGACGGGTTAGCGGGGAATCCCGAATCGCGGAACTCGGGGAATTTGGTCAGTTCCAGCAGGAAGTGCAGCGTGATGCGGGACAGCCGGTGCAGCTGTACGCCCTTCAGTCCGTCCACGCACCACTGCTTCCCGCGATAATGCAGTGACGGCCACGGATCAGCAGTCTGCACGGCGCACACCATCTGCAAAGAACATAAGTAAGTACTGTACAAGCCCGTCCGGATGATGAGCACGATAGAGAACAGCGACAAATGTAAATTCATGGGTTACGCCAAACGAGATACCACGCAACACCACGCCACACTGTTCAACCACGTAACATGCGTTTGGCTGGCTGGTGGCCTGGTGCACGCCATATATTTCAATGGGAATAATCGTAGTTGCCTGGCGGAAGGTGGTCAGAAAACGGTCGGTGCAGTAAGGGACAATCTAACTGCGGAGCGCATTTATGCATTGTGGCAAACGTAGTGCAGTGGCCATCGTGCTATGCGTTAGCTTTATCTTTACGTGCTCATCATCCGGACGGGCTTGTACATGGTAGGGAAAAAAGAGTGGGAACTTGACCATTCAGTCGACTCGCTGGTCAAAGGTTTGACATTGCAATCAAACCGTGCTAAAGTAAGATATACAATTCTACGTAGTGGGTTCGAACACAAAAGCGTTTGCTTGCACAGCTGCACAGTATCCATTTATAACCAGCAAAACTATTCGGAAAACAAAATCCACCACGCGCGTTTGCCGTTAAACCGGTAAAATTGTCCGCCGGCCCAAGAACGCCCGGCCGTAAATTTTGCCCTCACACTTTTTTGTCTTGAGGATTCCGCATTCGAACCGGACGCTTCTGCCGGAATGGGTTCACGGTTCTACGCGATTTTAGATCGGCGGACGGTTTTGCCGGCTTAACAGAAAAAGCGTCCGACGGACGGCTTTGCCGGTTGCATGTTACACGCTTTGCCTGGTTCCCTACGGTGTTACCTTGCGGATCATCCTGAAAGCAGCGCTCAGCGGATCATGGTCTCCCAACCAACGGGCCATCTTGTTCAGCTGCCGATCACTCAGCACCGGCAGCGCCGCGTCCAGTGCATCCCACAACGCACACCCGTCATTATCCGGCATCGTGAGTCGCGCAGCGGGAACCGGGATCACCAGTCTCTTCCCGCCGTACTCCAGATGCACGTAACAGTGGACCAGGTAGATCGCCACACACGGGCAGTTCTTCCACGATGCGACGAAGTCATTGAGGAGAAATTCGTACCCTTCCACGGCATACCGTCGTGCACGTGGACGGTCCGCCGCGTGCATCGCACACTGGGTACTCCGAAAAGTGTCCTTAACGGTTCCCAGCATGAGCCGCTCCTCCATCCCCACCAAATAGATCGCGGCTAACTGGATTCCGGTGCGGTGCTGCACCACGAAGCGGATCATGTCGAAGAGGATCGCGTGATCGCCGGGATGCAGACGGTGTGACGATCCCCTGGTGTCCACAATGATCCGCTGTGTGGTGGAGTCCAGGCATTTGAAGATGGGTGCTGCTAGTAAATACATCAGTCGACGCGGAACGGGGTCCTCCAGTTGATCACGACCGCAGCTCCTGATCACAATGCTTTCGGTCAACGGCGGCGATTGGACAAAGCCATTCCACTTGGTACACACGGCGCGCAGTTCGTTCTGTTTCAGAGTATCCAGATACGACAAGACATCCACCAGAAGACCCTCTGGCAGCTGATCTAAATCGTCTTTGACGCGAGCCCAAACTACGGTCTGCGACGCGAGAAGTGGCGGAAGACGTACGGTCAATACGCTGTCGAAATCGTTATACTGCTTCTGTAGGATTGTATCGCACGCCGTGCGTGCCTTAAAGGTGTTCGGTACCACGGTGCACGAATCATCGGCGTGTTTCGGCTGGCGATAGATATACCAGAAGCACCCGTCGGCCACGTCCACACACACCCCGGTCCACGCGTAACCCAGGCAGGCTGCACTGCTGATGAGCTCGTTGAGTGCTGCAGCGGCTAGTGGACAGTCGTCGTTCAGGGGCACGCAGCGCTGGACGTACTGCCATTTGGTCACACGTTGTCGTTGAGGCCAAATCTTACTAGCATAGTCACCATAACCATAATAACCTGCAAAATATTCAGTAGAACTAATTGTTTTTTAATGTCGCTAAGAGAGATAAAAACCTCGCTTAATTTTTAACAGTAATGGAAACCTTAAGAAGTCGGCCGTTGGGTCCTTGGTTAAACAGTTTAATAATATTACTAGCAAACAGCTTGCCACAGGATGCTACCAGGACCCTTAATTCCCTAACTCTGGGTACGATCAGAAAAGCGCTAAATTTCGTTAAAGTGGAGCAACTAGTTTTTTATTTTACGGTGTTCGTCAAATAGGTTTTTTTTAGCGGATATGTGTACCTGGATAAGTGGGTTTATATCCAGCTGGTGCCGACCGACCAATCGCTTCCCACCACTCACTTGACGCGCGCCAGCGAACCCGATCCGTGGGGACCACGTCCGTATAGCTTTTTCCGTCCTGCGACCACTGCACCACAGCCACGTTGTATGCAAAGTGAGCAGCGCCACGCGCCAAATTGATCACTTCCGCTGGAAACCAGATCCACGGACCGGTCGGAGTTTCCCGCATCAGCACTTCCACGGGGATGGTCGACTGCGGTCCACAGAACGCGACCGCTAGCTCGGGAAACTGGAAGTCTTGCGAGCCGAAATAGAGGAAAATTTGATTGAGGGGTGTCAGTTCGTGACGGCGGTTGGGACAGAAGAAGTCGATGAAGAGCCCGGTGTCCACCACGTCCACGACGCGTCCGTAACGGAACTGGCCGTCGTCACCCAGAACGTCGACGGTGTTGCATTTGTGAATTGAGGACGGCATGGCGGCAACGTAACTGGTGCTTGTGTCGCTCTAAAAAAATGGGGACGTGTAATTCCGATTAAATATTAAGCAACAAAAGAACATAAACAGTACAAGTAATTTACAATTAATTCTTACGTTTACGTAACCCCAATGACCAAGCTGTAGACGAGAAACACTAAATTACTCTGAACAGTAAGGTCTTCTGGTATAAAAAACTAGTGGATACAAAAACCGCAGGATGGTTAAAATGAAGAATACGAACAGCAGAGGAACTGCAGAGTAATCGGCTGTTTACTTTCTCGGCTTTGTGCATACAACTCTGTATCGGTTTTGTTTTTAACCCTCAGTTTCTAAAGCGCGGCTATTTTATTTTAGCCGATGCATCCGTTTAGTGGACTATGGCGCAGACTTAACCAAAGCCAGCACAAAATAAACTATATTTACGAAATTTTTGTACGATCAGTCATTCGACCGTCGGCTTGTACACTGGTATGAATATCGTGAACTTTAATTTTATTTTGCACTAATAAATTTCGCTGTTCCTTTCCACTCGTTTCTGACTTGAACTCCGGGATTTTTTACGTGCTTCACGGTGCCTGCTGAGCTGCGAAGTCCATCTTCTGCGATAGGCTAGGTAAAGGATATTTACCGAGATTTCCAGTACATGTTGTGGTAATTACAGCAATCAATTGATTACATGTAACTGTTACATGTTTTCACATGTTTTTCCTGTGTAAAACTGAATCAAAAGCAGATCGTTTAACAAGGTCTTTTAACTTTTCTTGTCAATGTGGTAGGCTATTGTACAGTATAATCTTATTACTTATCTGTTAGATATGATATAAATCAATAAATGTTAATGCTTACATATATTACGTTAACATAATATTCAACTGATGGTGAATACGCGTTGCAGATTTCCGCTTCGTTCTCGCCTGACGCAGCATGGCCATTACGCTCGAGATCCTCGTGACCTACCTGAACGCCAATGGCACCGGCCCCGGGGAGCAGCCGCGTGGTCGCCCGGACCTGCTGTTCTGCGGCGCCGAACCGACGACGACCTTGGGGACGGTACGGCAATGGGTGAACGAGCAGCTGCGTCTGCCGGCCGTCGCCCGTGTTGACCTGTTCGGTCATGTCGCCGGATTACGTGACGAAGAGTCGGTGGGGGCGGCCGTTAACAGCCAGCGTCTGCTCCTGGACGACCCCGATGCCAAGGATCCGTGCTACACCGTGTACGCCTACGTGTACCCGCCTGCAGTAGGTCCAACGGCAACCGCCCGCAAAGGCGTACTTCCGGCATGGCCGGGTAAAGCAGCTCGTGCGGCAGGAAAGACCGGGGAAATTCTGGGGCCCTCGGTGGCAGGCAGCGGTTCGTTCTCGCACGAAACAGCGGCCGCTGACGAGCGCAGTGGACAGAAAGCGCTGGATTTGTCGCCGGAGAGAAAGATGCTGGTTATAGCACCACGGTCACCGAAGAAACCTGCACCGCTGGCGCCATCGTCCGTTGGTAAAATGCAACCTCAGAAACGCACACCGTCACCATCGCTTGGTAATTGCGTTTCATCTGGCCACGTGGAACTTGCGAGGCCTACACTGCCGCCAACAGCAGTTCTTGGTACCACCGCATCGGGTAACGCGGCTGCTGGTAACTTGCCACCGAAGAAGTGGCACTCTACCGTCACCAGCGATTGTGGATTCCGTTTCCTCTGGTAACGTAGTTGGTGTTGGCACGCCACCGAAGAAGCCTTCAGCATCCGTGTATGCGGCCGCTATCAGCTCGACATCGGGTACCGTACCAGCCAGTGATGAGGAGCCGACGCTTGCGGCGCCATCTTCACCGTCGTCCGCGGTGCTGCTTGGGGCTCCGCGACTCTCGGGAATCCGCCACCGGCGATCAGTGCGGCGGATTTCCTGAAGAACGTTCTCCGTTCGATCGGCAGCGACACGACCAGCATCCAATCTGTGGAGGTGACGGTCACGGTAGCCGACGGGCGCAAAGTGACCCTGTCGGGAATTGTGTAAACTGCTCACGTCTTCGGATACGCTATCAGTTGTTTCTGATTGTGTAAAAAATGGCTATTAGTTTCTTGCTGGTATTTTGAGCAATCTGACAAATGTATATGGCGACGCTGATCGGAAAAGTTCCCTTCTATTAACTTCCGACTCAAGGTCGATTAGTTTTTCTGTGATTTTCTGTGTCTAAAGAAACGACCGTGCGTCAGTGCGATTATGCTGTGGAAAAGGTCACAAAATAACTGATACGTGTATGGTCGTTTGATTTCATTTCTAATGATTCTGGAAATAAAAGGAAATGTCCAGGTCAAATTTATGTCAACGTATCCACGTAACCAAAATGATAAAGTATTCGAATAAAAAAACACGAATTTTATTAAAACCCGAGATTGTTAAACTGAAGAAATCGAACAGCTACAGTAAGAGTAATCTTCTTTTCGCAGAATCCTTTCTTTCCAAAGAGCGGCTATTTCGTTAACCGACGCTGCGGCCCATAGTTAGATGCACTGCTGCAAATACAGTGAAACCTGGTTACTAAATAAACCTTCGGTTAAAGCAAAACCGTATGTGTAGGCGTATGTATCACACAGAGCTAGATTGCAGTCTATGGGACGCGCCGGTTAAACGAATACTTTCCGCGCATGTAATTTCCAGGTGTATGTATTTACCGGTGTATGTAAAAGACAGGTTTTACTGTACCGTAGCGGCAATCCGACTTTCGCACATTCAGAATCCGCTGCTGTAAATCCGGTGTATCCGTTCGGTATTACAGCACCAATACCAAAGGCAGAGAGGGAACGGGCTATAAAGTGCGTATAAAACTAAGTCTAATGTATGGTCAGAAAATTCAGTCGCCCGTCGGCTATTTTCCACGAGTTTAATTTCGCACAAATTTATTATTTGCATCTGCGCTTTTCCCGACTCAACTTATAAAGTGATTACCCGAATCTTTTACGTGCTTGTGCTGGCGGCTGAAGGCACAATTTTGGACAGGTGAGCTATCGAAGATTTAACAAATTTAATATGTAAATTGAGTGTTACCAACTCCTAAAGTACATTTCCCTGTGGCAAATTAAATTTCAATGTAGGTTGCGTTAAAAATGACTTTTCATGTTAATGCATTACACTGTCACATACTAGGTAGTCTACCTATTAGCATACAAACTGTACGCTTTGTGATAATATTCAGCTAATGGAGAATATGTGGTTGCAGTTCTTCCGCTTCGTCATTTTTCGTCTAGCGCAGCATGGCCATTCCCATCCAGATTCACGTAATGTACATGGACCCCACCAGCGGCGCGCACGTTACACCGCATCCTAACCCCCCTTCGGATCTGGTCCTGTCCTGCCGCACCGCACCGACGGTGACGATGCCGGCGCTACAGACGTGGACACAGAAGCGGCTGCATCTGGCGGCCGATGTCCGTGTTCAGCTGTTTAGCGGGAGAGTGCCGTTAGGCAACGAGGAATCGGTGGGCGGCGCCATTCACCAGCAGCGCCTGCAAGTTGGACACTATGTTAACGGCGAACCCTCCTACGCTCTGTACGCTTGCGTACAGAGCGTAGGCCGTCCCGCAGGACCGGTTAAGCGGATACGCGTTGCCGAGGAAACCGCTGCGGCGGAGAATCGGTGGCCTGTGGAGGCGGACATGCCGGACAGC